AGCCGGTACATCCCTTGATCGTGGGGCAGTTGATTGAATCCAATGCGGATGAGACGGGCGTGTAGATACTGCTGCCATAGCCGCGGGGCTTGCTTAATCCCGTAGAGCGATTTCAGTAGTTGACAGACCTTGTTTGGTTCTCCGTTAGTGCCATGTGGGAGTTCGACGAAGATCTCCGCGTCGACAGGTGCGTAGAGAAATGCGTTGGCGACATCGATCTGTCGTAGCTTCTTCTTCTTCATGGCGGCGATCGCGAGAAGAATTCGGAGTGAGGTGTGTCGGCTGACCGGGGCGAATGTCTCGGTGAAGTCCCGTCCGTGCTCCTGATCGAATCCACGTACCACCCAGCGTGCTTTAAATTTCTCGATTGTGCCGTCTGCCTTTGTTTTGACGCGGAAGACCCATTTCCCGGTAAGAATGGTCTTGTTTCTTGCCACGCTGATGGGAACGACTTTCCAGGTGTTCCGTTCCTCCAGCGCTTTTAATTCTCTGTCCATGGCTTCACGCCATTTCTCCCTGTGTTCCCCCCCCAGAGCCTGCTGAACCGTGGCAGGCTCCTTAGGAATGGCTGAGCCGTGGACTGCGGTGACGAGGCCGAGAATTTGCAGTCCACTTTGTGAGTAGCGGGGGAGTGTGGTATCCTCGGGATAAACAGCTTCGTCTCCTGTTTCAGGTGTTGGATTGAAATTCGGTCCTACTCGTTCTGCTTCGTTGGTGTTGACCCGTGCAGGTGTAACGTAACCATTGTCGGCGAATTCGTAGAAGACTTCGGCGTTGACGCTTTCGCGAGGATTGTCTTCGTCCATTGGGATGTCCACGGAGCAGTAAGGGAGAGGTCCGGCTGCTTCCGAGGCTCCCTCCACGTTCTGCTCGTCCCAGTCAGCTTCGTCTTCTGCCGAGGCGAAGGCTCGGTGCCCATGAAATCCGCCCGAGAGGTCAGGTCTGTTTTCTTCGATGTACATGAGGTGAGTTCCGAGGGTGAGGTGTTCGTAGAAGATGACATCACGTGCTGCTACTGTTTCTTTGCTGTTGATGTCGAAAATTTTCCACGCGTTGTAATGTTTTGCGATGCCCAGGTGTAGTCCCCACTGTGCGCGTTGAGAGAATCGCCCAGCTCGTGCAGATGGGGGTCGGTACTGTACCATGCAACCGAAGACTCTCAACATTTTTGTGCTGCCCAATTTCCCTGTCCACAGCAGATGCGGTGATGCGTTGTTCGGGAGCGATGATGACGAAAGCAAGTTGTGCAGCATGACGGCGTGGTCCATCGCTTCGGGCCACTGGTGGTTGGGCAGGTGCATGCCACGTAGCAGCTTGCGCATGGTGGCTTGCAGCGTCCTGTTCATTCTTTCGGCTACGCCTTGCTGTTGGTGAGCGTAGGGAAGGGAGATGAGCCTCTTGATTCCTCTTTCTGCCAAGTACTGCTTGAACCTCTGTGAGGTGTATTCTCCTCCCCCGTCTGACTGAAAACTCCCTAGCTTAGCTCCCGATTCTCGTTCTGCGACTGGAAGCCAGGCGACAAAGGCTTCGAAAGCCATGTCGCGACTTGGAAGGTTTAGGTGCCAGACATATCGAGTTGCGGCGTCGATGAAGGTGATGGTGTAGCTGTAGGCGTTTTGTCCGGGTTCACGGTTGTATAAGATGTCGCTGTACACCTTTTCGAGAGGTGTGTATGCAGGTGCGCTTGGATTGTGATGCGAGTGAGATGAACGGCTGATGTGGTAAGTCGGCTTCAGGGCAGGTGAAGCACGTTCCACGGGCTCGTTGAAGTTCTCTGCCGTCGATCAATAGAAGTGAGTCTTTATCGAGCACTCCTGCTCTTATCGTGTTGTTTAACACTGTGTTGCTTGGATGTCCCATTCTTGCGTGCCAGGTACCTTCAGTGGCGCGATGTCCGGGTGACCGTCGATATAGGTCCGAGTTGGAGTAGAAGCCGGCTGTGACGTTGGTGCTTCGGTGGACTTCTCGTGGTGCCGGTTTTAACTGTTGTGCGGGTGTCGGTGGCGAATCGTCGATGGAGATTGGTGCCGTTGAAGGACCGGCGATGGGTGGCGGTGTAGTCGCTGCTGATGCTGATGTTGTCTCTGCTGCTGCCGATGTTGTTCCTGCTGCTGCCGATGTTGTCTCTGCTGCTGCCGATGTTTGTTGAATTGTTGCTAACGCCCTTGTTCTCTCTGCTTCAGGAATGGTGTGTGAGTGCCAGAAGCCGCCGGGGCTGAAGTTTGGGTCAAGGTCTGGAGGATGTGTCCAAGGAGCAAAGCTGACGATGCCGTCGCTGTCAGCGGTGCCGAGATCTGGTACGAAGTCAAGAATGAAGACGTTGTTCTTGAGGATTGCCTTTCCGATGTAGAGGCCGCCCTTTCCGTGGTACAGTCTGAACTCCTGGGTGGTGCTGTCTGCTTCGAGGTGAATGCCTTTCGCCATCAACTGACTGACGCTCAGTAAGTTATAGCCGAGACCTTCTGCGATTAAGACCTTGGTCATTTGTAGAATCACACTTGTTTCTCGTGACTGAAGTTGTACCACTCCTTGTCGTCGTGTGCGCAGGTTCTGGTTGTTGGCGACGGTGATGACTACTTCTCGTTGAAGTTGATACTCTCGTTGTACGAAGCGTCCTGAAGAGCACATGTGCTGTCCGCAGCAACTGTCCAAGAACCATGTGTCTTTCCCGGATGGCTCACTCTGGGCGATAGCGGCGTATGTCGGGTTCGGCTGCAGTGACTCGCGGCGGGGCGTGCTGTTGTCAAGCTGTTCTTCCGGTGAGTAATGAGGTGGTGATTCGGTGATGCAGGAGTCGGTCAGTCTTGCCATACAACTGACGATGTTTCTTGCGCCTTGTGCAGGTTGTCCCGTTGATGTTGTTGAAGCTTGGACCTGGGGCGTAGGATTCACTTGTGTTGAGGCAACTTGGCTGCTTGAAGGTCGAAGCTGTCGCTGTTGTGGCGTTGACTGTTGTCGATTCGGGCAGTGTGTGCGTGGGTGCCCTGACGTCTTGCAGATATGGCAGAACGGAGGTACGGGTTTTGGTTGTTGTCGGTTGTTGTTGTAGCGTCGCTGAGTGTGGAACGCGAACTCCGGAACTGACGTTTTTCTCTTGTGTCGTTCTTCTTGCAGGTCCATATCTTGCTGCTCGGCGTGGATTTCGGCACAGAGTGCTGCTTCGGAGATTTTTCCGTGAGCTCGAAGGATGGCTCGGGTGGAACGCCATTGCGGACCGAGGCCACCGATGACGACTGTTACGAAAGCTTCTTCGGCTATTGATCCTCCGCATCGAAGGAGTTTGTCGCGCAGTTCGCGACAGCGGCTGATATACGCCATTCATTTTTCGCCAGGTTTCATTTCGACGTTTGTCAATTGCGCCATCAATCGACTCTGGTTCACGCAGTCTGTTGCTTGGTACAGGTTCTTCAGATGGCTGTAAGCGAGCTCGGCAGAGTTGCCGTATCCCCGGTAAGATCGAATGTTCTGCTGCTGACTCGGAGTGATGTTTCTCAGTAGGATTGTGTACGCCATCATCGACTGATATGTGTACTGCTGCTTCTCATACTGTGTGCCGTTGATTGGGTATGGCACAGATCCGTCGAAGAACCCAAGTATCTGCGCGCCTTCCATCATGAGCTCGAACTCGAATGACCAGGTAAAGAAGTCCTTTCCGTCAAAGGGTCTTGATGTCTGCAGCTTCAAGACGTGCGCGAATTGCGATTGAACTTGTAGTGCGTCCAGTGGTTTTTCTTGTCCAGGTGGGGCTTGCGGCTGCGGCATGAAGCTGATGGACCCGCGCTCATACGGAGCAAAGGTAGGTTGTTGCTGGTTTCCGCGCGCATATGATGAACCATCAAGACTCATTGGAGTCACGTTGTTGTTGTTGCTGTTGTTTGACTGCGCAGGTGCCGACTGCTGGTGTTGCTCGTAAAACGACATGAAGGAGAAAAATTTCTCCATCATACTCTGGTCGAAGCTGGCAGGCTGGCTGGCTGAAGGCGCTGCTGGTCCCGTTGCAGTTCCTTCCTCTGTCTGCAGGCCAGAGGCAGGAGGTGGGGTAGGAGTGGTCCCGGGAGAACCATTAGAGGAACTCCTCTCCTTGTATGTTGCCATGTCTTGTGATGTGTTGATAGTAGTCGAATTTCCCCTGATAGCTCTCATACCATGTTGGGCTGAGAAAATGGCCCTTAGGATCTTTGCAAGGGTAAATTCGGGGTAGGATAATTGTAATAGCGGAAGCGTTTAATGAAGTGCTTGTGAACCACCTTGCGCTGGTATGTGAGGGCAAAGTAAGTTGATTATAACAAAGAGATACAAGAATATATAGTGATACAAGGAATACGAAAGGATACGATTGTAACTAATTTGCTGTTGCGGTTCGATACAGTACGACTCGGGCAACTGCTCTGTAACGAGTCAGTTGTGTGTCCTTAACTGTCGCGCTGTACTTGTCAGGTCAAAGGTCGCTTGACCTTTGACTTTCGCGTAACCTCCAGCAACCTCTTTCAACCTCCGAGGGTTGACTCGCTCGTGCCTCGATATGACTTGCTTCGCTTCTGGTGTGATGTTTCGACACGACAGAGGCGCTTTAGGAATTACTTGTTTCCAACATTACGAAACTGTTCCCGCCAGATTCATCGTCCCTGCAGCTGCCCGATGCCGTTTTTCTCCGACGGTCTAGATCCACCCTAACCGTCTGACGCTTCGAGTCAACTCTGACTCCTCGCATTCGTTCTCGATACTGCATGCCTCTTTGCTGCGGTGAGGAGTGCACAGTAATATCAAGTATTACTATTCGTAACAATACCAACCAACCAAAATACACTCTGACAATACCCATATAGCGTACATGTAATGCATCAAATTCGGTAGCACAGTGATTTCCGTGCATGCCTTCCCATGCTCGCCAAGGCACCTTCATTAATGCCTTGCCTGTTCATGCATTTAGAGCACAGCTTGAAGCGCACAGTGCTGATGTGTCTGCTCACATAATGCTTTTCCACGACTTAAAGCTCGCTTCAGTGCAGCGGCTGTGCGGCCTGCTTGGCCCGAGCAGATGTGCACTTAGCCATGGTCACCGAGGCCCGTGAAATGGCATCTGTCATGTAGAAATTGGGCACCTGGGAGCGGACGATGCAAGGGGGGGTTGAGAGAGATGTTGAGAAGGGTTGAGAGAGATGTTGAGAAGGGTTGAGAGATATGTTGATAAGGGTTGAGAGAGATTTTGAGAAGGGTTGAGAGAGATGGAGTTCCTAGCAGATGTGCACTTAGCCATGGCCACCGATGCCCGTGAAATGGCATCCGTCATGTAGCGATAGGGCACCTGGGAGCAGATAACGTAACGTGAGTGGGGTTGAGAGGGGGTCCATGCAGATGACAGGGAAAGAGGGGTTGAGAGGGGGTCAATGCAGATGACAGGGAAAGAGGGGTTGAGAGGGGGTCAATGCAGATGACAGGGAAAGAGGGGTTGAGAGGGGGTCAATGCAGATGACAGGGAAAGAGGGGTTGAGAGAAGATGGGGCGATGAAGAGGGGAAACGGGAGAGAGAGGGGTTGAGAGGTGAGTGGGGTTGAGAGAGGGGGTTGAGAGAGAGGGAGTTGAGAGAGAGGGAGTTGAGAGAGAGGGAGTTGAGAGAGAGGGAGTTGAGTACTACAAGGTAGTAGGATGGAAGTTGCGTTGAGGCAGAACAGAGGAGAATCACCGTGTTGGGCGACAGGTCCTTACGATTTCTCCTAGCACGAGTCCTTTGAGTTTTGGCCCAGCACGAGTCACGTGTTTGAGGCAAAACAGGATGTGGCTTGGGAATCGACTCAACGGCGAACGCGAAACACAGTGTGGTGACTTTAAGGGATACAAAAAGAGAGGCAGAGCAGCAGTGCCTAAAGCGAGAGCAGTATCTTGTGCGCAGTGCACCATTGCTTGGGTGCTGAGGGCGAAAGGAGCTCCTACCTTGTTGATCCGACTTCACAGTCGACTAAAAAAATACCACCAACGACTTAAGAGGCAACTCAAAACTCACCGGCAGCTCAAAGGGGTCTGCGAGGGCAGAACCAGGCGTGTGCTGCACCCCTGCTTGAGCGCTGAGCGTGAGAGGCGGCTCCACCTTGTCGATCCGTGCCAGATGGGGAGCCACCTGATGGGGAAGGGAAGGGAAGGGGCGTGGGGCGTGGTGTGGAGCTCACTTGCTCCACCATGTCATGGGGTAGCGCCACGCCTGCCACTTCACACACACACAGCCCACACGAGTGATCTTCCAGTCACCCCTCGCACCTCACACGCACCTCACACGCACCACACACGCACCACACACGCACCCCACACGCACCCCACACGCACCACACACGCACCACACACGCACCACACATGCACCCCACACGCACCCCACTTGTTCGCCTCTCCCTCCCACCACCCCCCTCGTACCTCTCGCAGGCGCTCTCTGACTTGCACCACAGTGTCATACGGCAGAGCCACGCCTGCCACTTGAAGCATTCCCCCCCTCCCAACCTCCTCGTCACACTGCCTGCCTGCCTCCCTCCCACCACCCCCCTCGTACCTCTCGCAGGCGCTCTCTGACTTGCTCCACGGTGTCATACGGCAGAGCCACGCCCGCCACTTCAGACACGGCCCGAATGATCTTCCAGTCGTCCCTCGCACTCCCCACTGTCGGCACCGCTGCCCGCGTCATCTGCACCCGCCCCTCCGTGTTCACGTATGTGGCTTCCTGAGTAGGGGAACGAGGGGGGATGGAGGAAGGATGCGGATTACAGAGAAGAGAGAGCGAAGGAGAGGAGGAAAGGAGGAGAGGAAGAGAGGAAGAGAGGAAGAGAGGAAGAGAGGAAGAGAGGAAGAGAGGAAGAGAGGAAGAGAGGAGGAGGAGAGAAGAGAGGAGGAGAGGAAGAGAGGAGGAGAGGAGGAGAGGAAGAGAGGAGGAGAGGAAGAGAGGAGGAGAGGAAGAGAGGAGGAGAGAGAGAGGAGGAGAGGAGAGAGGAGGAGAGGAAGAGAGAGGAGAGCAGATGTTGATAGGAGGGAAGCACGAGAGCAGGAGATGTTGATAGGAGGGAAGCACGAGAGCAGGAGATGTTGATAGGAGGGAAGCACGAGAGCAGGAGATGTTGATAGGAGGGAAGCACGAGAGCAGGAGAGAAGGAATCAGTTTGTACAGGGGTGCGCTGTGCTGCACGCGCGCCCCACAACACCTTCCCCATGACATAAACGCAGTTCTCACCATAAAGACGTGTGAGCGACCCGCAAAGACATGTGAGCGACCCGCAAAGACATGTGAGCGACCCGCAAAGACATGTGAGCGACCCGCAAAGACATGTGAGCGACCCGCAAAGACATGTGAGCGACCCGCAAAGACATGTGAGCGACCCGCAAAGACATGTGAGCGACCCGCAAAGACATGTGAGCGACCCGCTAAGACATGTGAGCGACCCGCAAAGACATGTGAGCGACCCGCAAACTAAACCCGTCAAAAGTGCTGTGTGGCACAGGCACACCCACCCCACCCCACCCAACCCCACCCCACCCCACCCCACCCCACATCACTTGCAAATTCTCACCAAACCGACTCACGCCCCACCTTCTCAGTGTAAGCAGCCCCCGGCAGCACAATATCAGCCCGGCTGGCCCCACGGTCCCCGTGATGCCCCTGGTAGATCACAACCGCGCCTGCTGGGATGTCCGCCTCTGCAAAATCATCCGCTCCCAGCAGATATACCACCTTGGGGGGCGTGCTGTTGAGGAGGAGGGTGGGGGGAGGAGGAGAGAGGGACAGAGGGGGAAGGAGGGGGGCAGTGGGTGGACAGAGTGCGGACAGATCAAGGCTGTGGGGTTGTGTGCCTCTGCTCTGCCATGTCGTCCGCTCCCAGCAGATATACCACCTTGGGGGGCGTGCTGTGATAGGGGAGTGGGGGGATGGGGGTAGAAGGGCCGGATGGGGGAAGGAGGGCCGGATGGGGGAAGGAGGGCCGGATGGGGGAAGGAGGGCCGGATGGGGGAAGGAGGGCCGGATGGGGGAAACATCAAGCCTGCGTTTGCCTGAAGACACAGCACCTTGGGAGGCGTCCAAAGAGGCCACGCGGCCGGCAGAGAGGTGCAGCACGCACACTGAAGCAGAGAAAAGGCCGGGCTCACACAGAACAGACACACTGGGAGGGGGAAGCGTGAGGCCGGGCGCGCGCACACACGCACGCACGCACGCACGCACACACACACACACACACACACACACACACACACACACAGACACACACACAGACACACAGACACACACACACACACACACACACACACACACCCACACACACACACACACACCTGGTTACTCACCTGGAGAGAGCAGCTTTGGGCCCGGGCACAAAGCCAACGTCCAGAGAGGCCACACGGCCAGCAGAGAGGTGCAACACGTTGTAGCCGTTCCACCCCTCCCTCACCACCCCCGCCTGCTCGCAATGATGGCACACACATGCGCAAGAGGGAAGGGGACATATGAGGGACGTGGGCGGAGGGGACGGGGCGGGCGCAGCAGGCGGGGAGGCGGCAGGAGGGAAAGATACAAGCAGGAAACAAGTATTGGGCTCTGAGAGGGCTCGAAACTTGAGGATATAGGAAGAGAGGAAAGGGGATGGACGAGGTGACACAGAAAGAAGGGTCACAGCACAGCATCCCTCCATGCACCCTGCCATGCCATTTCCCTACCATAGCCCTGCCAACACCCCCATCCCCTCTTTTCTATCACGCTCTCCACAATCATGCCCATACCACCCATCCCATTCCCTTCCCATCTCTCAACACCAAATATCCTCCTCCCACCACATCCCGTCACCTCGCGTTACTCCAATCCCCCACAGTCACCCCTCGTTATACTCACATTTGCAACGATCGTCTGCACGGCAGCCATCACAGCCTCCCTATCGGCGCGCTTCATCACCCCTGCGCCCACGATCACAGCCGGCTGCTTTGCCTGCGCCAGCACCTCACAGAACGGATGCTTCCCCTCCGCTATTTTCACTAGCACGTCTGCTCCCTCCCCTAAACCCTCACTGGGGAAGGTGAGATCCAGGGGAGGGCCTATGTTGGCGACTTTGGCGCGTCGGCCAATCACAGCCTTTCTCAGGCGGAGATTCAGGAGGGGCGCTTCGCTGCGCGGGTCCGTCCCGATCAGCAGCACCACGTCAGCGTCCTCCAAGCCGGCCAATCCCGTGTTTGCCACGTAGGACGACCGCAGATCCGCGTTCGCGGCGCCTCCCGCAACCCAGTCCCCATCGTCTGGGCGGAGGTTATCACACCCGAGCCGGTTCATTAGGTCTTTAAGAGCTATTAGCGCCTCGGCGTCTGCGAGCCGCCCCGCCACCGCCTGCACCTCCTCCCCCTTAACTCCCACCAGCGCCTTCGCCGCCGCTTCCAGCGCCTCGGGCCAGCTGGCAACCTCTAATTGGCCGGTAATCGCGCTGCGAACCATAGGCGCAAAGAGGCGCTGGCGCTTCAACCCGTCGTACGAAAACCTCCCCTTATCCGTCAACCACTCTTCGTTCACCCCCTCGTTCAAGCGCGGAAGGATCCGCATCACCTCCCCGCCGCGGCTATCCACGCGGATCGCGGCGCCGATCGCGTCCGACACGTCGACGGATTCCGTCCCCTTCAGTTCCCACGACCGCGCCGTGAATGCGAACGGCTTCGACGTGAGCGCGCCGACGGGGCAGAGGTCGATCACGTTCCCGGAAAGTTCGCTCGTGAGCATGCGCTCCACGTAGGTCCCGATCTCCGAGTCGCGCCCGCGCCCGGTCATCCCTAGGTCCTCCACCCCCGCGACCTCCTTCGCGAATCGCACGCAGCGCGTGCAGTGGATGCAGCGCGTCATGACCGTTTTAACCAGCGGACCGAAGTTCTTATCCTCTACACTCCGCTTAAACCCGTAGAACCGACCCCGATCGCTCCCGAACTCCATGGACTGATCCTGCAGGTCGCACTCGCCGCCTTGATCGCAGATCGGGCAGTCGAGCGGGTGGTTGAGGAGGAGGAATTCCATAACTCCTTCGCGCGCTTTTTTGACGAGCGGCGTGGTGGTTTTGATTTTCATGCCCGGCATGGTCGGCATGGCGCAGGACGCGACGGGCTTGGGGGCTTTTTCGATCTCGACGAGACACATGCGGCAGTTGCCCGCGATGGAGAGGCGCGGGTGGTAGCAGAAGCGCGGGATGTCGATCCCCGCCGCGTCGCACGCCTGGTGTGACGAGGGGAAGCGGGGAGGGGCGGGGGGGGGGGAGGGGGACGTAGGAAGGGTTGGGAGAAGGGGTTGGGAGGGTGGGGAAGAGGGAAAGGGAGGGGGAGAAACACCCGGGGAAGGCGGGGAATCTGATGGGCATGCGCGGGTCATAGCAGCAGAAGCGGCTGTATTCCCACGCCTAGAAACGGAGGCTCGCGGACAAGTTCATATTCTTAAATATCGGGGGATGCTTGAGACTAAAACGGAAGAAAACAAAAATGAACGCTTGAATGTACTGCATGGATTCAGCGATCGGGAGGAGGGGGGAGGGGAGGGGGGGAAACAGCGGCGGACGAGCGCCAATCCAACAGAATAGGAGCCATGGAGGGAAAGAGCGAGGGAGATACATCTGACAAAAAGCATATCACTTCCAAGACTTGACTCTTTACTCTCACCCCACTACCTCATTCGCACGCAACGATCACCTGCAGCACTACCGAGCCATTCGGAAACGCGCAACCCCCTCCCATCCACGAACACGTCGATGTGACGCGACGGAGGAAGCAAAGGAGATAAGTGCGACTCGAAGGAATGTACTAATAACCTAAGTCTAACCTGCAGGACCGTCGATCCCTTAGGAACGTGCAGGCCCTTCCCATCGACGAACACTTCGATGTGATCCGGCGGGGGAGGCGGCGGAGCGACGGGTTCCGCCGCCGGTTGCGCAGCGGCCGTGGGGGCGCTGGCGGACGCGGTGGGAGAAGGCGCGGGTTTCAGCAGGGACGCGGCGGAGGTGATCGTGCGGAGGAGAGAACGCGGAGTGGCGGGAGAGTCATTGGCGGAAAGGCGGAGGGATGGCGCGGAATGGGTGGCGGACGTGGCGGATCGGGGGGAGTGGGTGAAGGAGCGGGAGAGGATCTGCGACGCTCGGCGCGCTGACGATGCCTTGGCGACGCGATACATGGCTAAAGACGTTAAGAATCCACACGGAGTGGGTGAGCGTTGCGTGCGTAATAGGAAGAGTTACGTGTAGTGCCGGAAGGAGGAAGGATCGACGCGCGAGAGGAGCGAGGAACAGATAGCGGCGCGACGGGAAGGCAGCGCAAAAACAGCAGCCCGTAGACGCGCTGACGCCCTAACGCGGCTGCAGGAAACGCAGCGGAGCTGGCGGGATTGAATTACCGACTAAGATCAAGCAACCCTAAACGTGTGGCGGGAGAAAGCGGCGGAGAGGGGGAAGCGGAAAGTGAACCTCGTGCTAAGGGGAAAATTGCGCAAAGGGGAAAATTGCGGGAACCTCATGCCTGACTCCTCGAGAACTCAAACCTAACGCGGAGCTCCCAATAGCGGTGATGAAAACACTTGTACTCAGATATGGTATTATATTCGTAAGGATTGCCAAAGCACTACCCTAGAGAGATAAATAGTACTTCACAAAAGGCACATAGCACATAGAAAAACTGCACTACTATGCCAAACCATTTTCTTTGGAGCCAAAAATGGTAAACCACCATCCCTCGTCTCAAAGCGACAGCTCATCATCATCGTCTTGTGGAGCCTTCACCTGTGCTCTTCCCAGTGATGCCATCCCACCTAGTCTCGTCTTTCTTGCCCGGCCAACCTGACTTGCTCCTCCGAGCCCCATACCCTGGGTTGCCCCCAAGCTCGTATCACTACCCACATTCGCCCGCCTTTTTCCCAAAAACGTTTTCTTAGTAACCCGGACACTAGTTATCCCTTCTCCTGTCCCATCCTTGTCCCCAACCTCCCCTCCCAGTTCCCCACCACCACCATCACCAACTCCCCCGGTGGACGATTCAGATCCCTCCAATCCCGATGTGTCAAATCCAAATGTGCTTGCCTTCCCTCCCGCTCCTCTCGCATTCAGCCTACCAGCCTTTCCTGTCACACCACTTGCACCGCTCAACCTCCCACCGGATCTCCCACTCAGCCGCCCAGCCTTCCCTGTCCCTGCCCCTCCCAGAAGTCGCAGCTGGCGAATCAGATTCATCCACGTCAGAAGCATCAGAAGAGTCAGTAGCATCAACGCCATTACCCCCAGTTGGAACACCACCAAGCGCAGTAGCAGCTTCTGAATCATCATCATCCTGGGCCTCTCCTCCTGTACCTGCAGCACCAGAACCAGCAACAGCACCAGCAGCACCCCGGACAAACCGGGCCTTGTTAAAACCTTTCGCTGTCGCCACTGCAACATCCGCATCTGCATCTGCATCACCACCAGCATCAGCACCAGCGTTGTCAGCAGCAGCAGCAGAAGCAGCAGAAGATGAGCCGTAGTCATCCTCCCCACCCATCGCTCCGCTGCTGCTGCTGCCAAACCTGCTCCTGGAAAAGCCTCCACCAGTTCCCCCCTCCTCCTCAGTGCTCCTCAGAGCATCTTCCACTGCTGACTCTGCCGTGCTCTTCCCCGCCTCAAACCCCTCCACCTCCCCTCCTTCTCCTGCCCCTTCCCCTGCCGCCTTCCCAGACGCTTTACTGCTCCCTCCGCCGCCGAACATACGAGAGACGAAACCAAACAGACCGCCACCACCAGAGGAAGAGGAAGAGGAGGAGCCGTCTCCCCCCTCGCCCTTCCCTGTCTTGGATCCTACCACTGCCTTTCCAGAACCTACTCCTCCATCCTCATCCACCTCCTCTCCAAACCCCTCACTCCCTGCACCGCCCATGCTTTCCATGCCATCCCCATCGTCCATGCTTGAAGCGTCCCGTCCTGCTGAGGCGCCTCCTGCTGCCTTAGCGCCTGTGCCTTCCTCCTGCTCCTCCCCGTACGGATCTGCTGCTGCCACACCACCACGCCTGCTGAAGCTGCTGCTGGCAGTGCCAAAGCTGCTGCTTCCAGCTCTGCTTCTCGCCCCAAACAGCCCACTTGCTCCACTGCTGCTGCTACTGCTGCTGCTGCCGCTGATGCCAGTGCCGGAATCAGCTGCTACCCCTTCGCTGTAATCATCTGTAGCAGCAGCAGCAGCAGCGCCAGCAACACGACCAGCGCCAGCAACGCCAGCAGCACCGGCAGCACCGGCAGCACCGGCAGCACCGGCAGCTCCATCAGCAGGGTAATCATCCTCCCCACCCAGGCCAAGGCCTTGCTGCTGCTGACCTGTTCGCGCTCTAAACATCCCTCCGGCTCCCACTCCTCCTGCTTGCCCCCTCTGCGTCTGCTGCTGCCAGAGGCTCCCTGACCTGCCTCCCAAACGGCCAGCCACACCACCGCCCATGCCAGCCATACCACCACCCATTCCACCAGCCATCCCGCTCCTCACCCCGCTCCTCCCAGCAACACCTGCGCCTGCCATCCCTGCCTCCTCATCTGCCCCACCCATCTCATCGTCCCCACCCATCCCCCCTGCGCCCATCCCCCCTCCGCCCATTCCCTCTGCGCCCATCCCCCCTCCGCCCATTCCCTCTACGCCCTTCCCCCCACCGCCCATTCTCCCAGCCGCTGCTGCCCCTGCGGCACCTCGGAACGCCCCTCTGGCTGCTCCTGCTGCCCCTGCTGTTCCGACGCCTCCCATTCCCACTCCCCCCAACCCACCTCCACCGCTCTGTCCGTAATCCTCATCCGTTTCAGCCCCTCCCACCATCCCAGCACCCATACCTGAACCGAAACCGGAACCAGCAGCACCAGAGGCACTCCCTCCCATCCTACCCGCTCCCCCAACGCCCCCCAAGCCCCCCATACCCCCCATTCCGCCAAACCCAGCGCTCGTGGCCCCTAGCCTGCTTCTGCCCCTTGCAGGCAGCCCCCCTGCGCCCATAGCGCCCATCGTACCCACAGTGGCGCCTGCACGACCACCACCGGCAGCGCTTGTACCCATACCCATGTCATCCTCCCCGTCTAAATCCGCCCCTTCCCCCAACCCCCCACCAAGCCCACCCCCCATACCTCCCCCCGCACCTCCCCTCCCCGCCCTTGCGCCTCCCTGAACCCCCCCCCCGAAGCCACCAGTGTTACTCCGGCCTCTTCCCCCAAACGCTGCTGCACCACCCCCCACACCTCCCCCAAACGCAGCTGCACCTCCCCTCACACCTCCCCCAAACGCCCCGCCAGCAGCAGCACCGCTTCTTCCCCCCAGTGCTCCCCCTGCTGCTCCGCCATAAGCATCCTCATCATCGTCATTAACCCCAGTCATCCCACCCGCTCCTCTCCCTCCCCCAGCTCCCGCTCCCATTCTGCCCATCCCTCCCGCGCCCCCACTTCCCCCTTTTCCGTAGCCTCCTAGTCTGCTGCTCCCCGCGTCCGCCCCTCCCCACCCCATCGCCCGCTGCTGCGGCTGCTGCTGGGCCGCTCCCCCACCCCATCCTCCCCTTCCGCCGCCCCTGCCCCCGCTTTGCCACGTGTCCTCCGTGGCAATGCCAGCGCTGCCCCCTCGCGCCCACGTGTTGCTGGAAGGGAGGAGGCAAGCAGGAGAAGAAGAGAAGAAAAATACAGTCTGCATGTCAGAGACACAGCCATTCATGTCATGTCAGAGACACAGCCATTCATGTCATGTCAGAAACCTACAGAAGCTCACAGCTATTCTTGCCTGAGCATGCATTTTCGTCATTCCTTCTTCTTCTCTTTGCCTTCTCTACTTCCCTTTTTTGCCTTCTCTATTTCCTCTCTTTGCCTTCTATGCAAATTTGATTTCGGTTGTAACACACTCCACATAGCAAACCGAACCATCGAAACACTACATCCCAAACCAAGTCAAACCATCAGCACACAACATTCCGAGCCCCATTCTTGTAGAAACGCCAGTCCCCTCATCATTCATTATTCACACTCACCCACTTGTAGTCCTCCCGCCGTCGCAATATCATGTCCCAAAATGCAAGTCCAACCATCAACACACAGCATTCCAAACCCCATCCTAGTGGGAACGCCAGTCCCCTCACCATTCATTATTCACACTCACCCACTTGTAGTCCTCCCGCCGTCGCCGTAATCATCCACGTCAGCACCCCGCTGCCCAAATTTTCCGCTGTACGCCCCTCGTCCGCTCGCCTGCCGTTGCTGCCGCGCGCCCACGCCTCCGCCTCCCCCCATCTCCGCCTCCGCGTCATCGTCTCCCCGGCCAAACCCGCGCCCTCCCCGCCCCCCCCGTCCGCCCCCCAGGTCATCCCAAGCCTGGTCCAGCGGATCACCTCCCCCCTTGTCAAACCCGCGGCCCCCGCGCCCTCCGCGCTCCCCGCGGCTCCCCCCCATGCGGTCCGCGCCCTGTCTATACGACGAGGCGGTATCCGCGTCTCCATAGCCCCCCGCGCCCCGCGAACGCTTCTTTGAGTATCCCGACCCACCAGAGCTGCCATATCTGCTGCTGCTGCCCCTGTCATCGTCGTCTTCGTTTTCCTCGTCAACGTCCTCCTCTTCCTCTGCTGCCTTGCTCCGTCGGCTCTTCTTCTTCCGTCCCCATTTTCCCAGGGGACCGAACGTCCTGTCCTCGTCCTCCCAGTCCGAATCGCTGCCTTTGCTGCCGCTTTTAACGCCGCTCTTTTTACCGTATTTGCGTGATTTCCGCTTGGTAGTCTTCTTCGTCTTTCCCCTCGTTTTAGTCTTCTTCCCAATCTTCTTCTTACTCCTCTTCGCTTTCTTCCCCTTCCTCCCCTTCTTTCTGCTGCTCCTAGTATCCTCCTCCTCCACGTCATCCTCCTCCTCATCCACGTCATCCTCATCATCCCCACGACCGCCTTTCCGCGTCGAAGCGACTCCGCCTCTTCCGCTCTTACCATACCCTGTCGTCCCTTTACCATATCCCGCCGCGCCTTTCGCGAACCCAGCAGCATTGCTCTTAGAATACCCTTCGAGCTCCATACCCCTCCCGGTCTCCCGGTCTCCTGCTCTCGCCCTGCCTTTCTCCTTGGGATACAAACCTCCCCCATCGTCATCGTCATCGTCTCCCATACCCAGATCGCCCATCGCGCCACTGCCAAACCTTCCCGCGCTTTTCGCGCTGCTCGAGAACGCGTCCACGTCATCATCCAACACATCCGCGCCGCCGCCACCCCACGAGTTCCCGGTGCTCCCCCTGCCGGCAGCCCCTTTTTTCCAGCTCGACGAAGCGCCAAGTCCGCCGTCAAACCCGCCGCCAATTGCGGAGCTACTCTTGCTCGGCCAGCTGGAGCCGCTGGTGGTTCCCAGGTCATCCTCATCCTCCGACATTTCGTCCCAAGACGGTTTCTTTCCGAAGTTTTCCGTTAAGCCGGTCGACCCGAACGAGCCTGAAACTCCCGTTCCGGTGGTTGTCAATTTTGACGATTTGCTGCCGCTCGGCCACGTGGAACCTGCCGCATTGGTTGTTGTGCCGTAACCGTCATCGTCGCCGCTTCCGTAATCGCCGTCTAAGGAGCCTCGCGACGCGCTGGAGCGCGGCGCGGGAGCCTCGACGCGGAAATTACGGAAGCCGATGAAAAGGAGAGCGGCGACGAAGACCGCGGAGAGCAGGAGGATCGTCGATGTGGTCGAAAGGCGGAGAATCGAAGGGCGGCGAGAGGGGGAGCTCGGTGAAACTGGCTCTTCGCCGGGGTTGTCCCACTGGAATCCGTCAGCCTTGGCGTTGCGTCGCCCGCGAGCGGCGCTGGCTGGAGCAGTGGACGCCATTGATTGGGAATCACGAGATCATGCCAGGAAACGGAGCTATGTAGACAGACGTGAGAAATAACTATGAAGGCAACGCTGTTTCTTCAAACATTAGTTAGTTCAATCGATCGGCGGCTGCCTTTTCACGAGGAACTGGTCTGGCGAGGCGACCAGTTCAAGCGCTCTGACTAGACGCGAGGAACACGTGATGCGAGAAATGCAGTCGAAGGATGCCTGAACTGAACTGAGAATCAGAAAATCGGTGAAATCGAGGAGTACGTGCAGGAGAGTGGAGCTGTGGGTGGGAGCGAGAGGATGGTCAGATGATTCCGAGGGTGGTGAGCGGGCGGATTTGCGGTCAGCGGGGCAGATCAGGCGCGCGCGGTAAAAGAAGATGGGGCAATTGGGTTTGTGGTCGGGTTTGTGGCGCGCGCTGGCTGGTAGGTGAGCGACGTAGGTCCGCGCGTTTGATGGGACGGGCTCCCTGGTTGGTGGAGCGCAAATGGCCGGCGAGCGTGTCAGCTCTGTTCCGGTCTGAGAGGTGGCGGAACTTGTGCGTCATTCAATTGAACCGCCTTTGCCCCACACCCCACCCCACCCCATCCCACACTTCGCAATACCCAGGTGCTGGCCACGGAAGGTGGCCAATGAGAGCACTCACTTTTTATTCTCGGTATTAGCTAACCCAGGACGATTCTTCTCTTTTTTGCATTACGAATCATTGTTACGGTCTTGCAGATTGAGAACTCCCCGCTTATTTTTCCACCTGTGCGTCAGCATACTTTCCTATCAATCTGCTCCATTCCCTTCAGATCGCCGCCACGCGTTACTTCTGTCCGTAGGTCCGTCTGTATCAGATCCCTCGCCTAGTTCGCGACGCGAAGCCGTCCAGACCCGCCGCAGCCATGGTGGGGAGGGTTCCAGTGCGTCTCAAGGAGGTGACGTACGCGCTGTCGCCGTTCGAGCAGAAGATCATGCCGGGGCTGTGGAAAGATATGGGCAAGGAGTGGGTCAAGAAGATCAAGAACAACTGGCTTGATGCAGCTACCTGCGTCGGACCCCTCGCAGGCACCTACTGGTACGCGATATTAGATCGCACTTTAGTCGACTTAAAAAGCCACTTCCAGGACCACTTTAAGCGCGAGTTCGTCGCTGCGATCGCAGTCACCTACCGTTCCTTTTCTGTCAACGGTAGTGCGTCGATGAATGCTCTTCACGATCAGAACTTGCGTCGCTAGCTCCTTCCGCGTATTCCTTTCCGGTGTCGCCCTTTCCTTTTGAGTCGACTTGCGGCACTCTTCCAACGCGGTGAAGAGCACACGACCTCCGTCGCTCCCGGGGAATGAGCCGATCGTGGCACTATCTTTAGATTCTCAACATCTTTCGCCTCCGTTGGTCGCATTTCATCCTAAACATCTCCCGGAGGGTCGCCCTATCCGTCCTTGACCCCTCGTTCCCAATCTCCTTCCTTCCTTCCTTCCATCTTGTTCTCGTATTTCTCCTGTGTTCTATTTTACCCAACCCCGCTTTCCCAGCCTTTTCGCTCCGATGAAAAATCGATTTTTGACGCATATGTCTCTCTTTTCATTTAGCTTCTAACCCCGTCTTTGCCCGTTTCTCACCCTTCTATCGCCAATCCAGCTGATTTCACCTCTGTTCCATTCTACTTCACCCGTGGTCCATCTTTCTCTCACTCATCACTTGCTGTTGCATTCACGCAGGTATGTGCAGTGGTACAACGAGCAGGAGAAGCAGCACCACCGGTGCTGATATGCTTAACAAACAACTCATTGGTTATGGTGAGTCCTATTACTACTTTTACCTGTAGGTCCACCTTGCGATGCGGGCCCATTTTCAGTGCTGATGCTGGCCTTAATCGTTTGTAGAAATTTTTCACAAGTGTTTTGATGGACTACTCTCAACGCTTACTGTGTCTTGGTCTACTCTTGCAGGCACTGCAAGGCTTGTGAGTATATTTTCCTGTGATTCCAAGTCCCCAGTTACATTGTTGTATCAGTCCACCTTATTATACAGAAAAGACTTCATGCCATACAGCTGTGCAGACAGTATTGGGGTTACCACAGTATCCAGAACTGGTGCTAACAGAAATGGACCATATTGTGAGATGCATAGATATTGCATCATCAGTGGCAGCAGCTAGCTGTGGCATTGCTGCCAGTGGCATTGCTGCCAGTGGCATTCCCACATTGACCACATAGTTCTGTATGGTACATTGTACAGTACCAGTGGCAAACTCAGTGGCGGCACTTGCTGCGAACAACAGTAGGAACAAGGTCCACCACCACCTGCCAACACCGTAGGAGACGGGGGAGTGAGGTGGTTGAAGTTGCAGTACAACCATGGGTCACGGGTGGCAGGCACATACCGTACCGTACATGGCTGGCTGAACTAAGGTTTGTAGCTTGAAAACAGCAGCACTAGATTCTACAAGCAGCAGAAGATTTCAGAAGAAGCAATGCATCTGGAAGCTCAACTTGCTTGTAGAAGCAGTGCACTATTTCTGGAAGATAATGGGGATTGTGGCTGGCGGGCGGGTAGGTAGGACTCACACGACCATCATAGGATAGAGAGGCAAACACCCATGGGTCAATGGCGCTCCATGTGACGCCTGGTGGGGAGAGGGGGGAAGAGGGGAGGGATGGGAAGAAGATGGGGAGCGTATTAGTTAGGTCGACTTTTAAGACGTTTTACGAGAGGCGAACACAGGGGTCAATGACGCACCACGTGATGCCTGGGGGGAGAGGGACGGCCCATAACGACAGGGTGTCGTGAGGCAGTCTGTCGTGGGTTCTGTGAGGCGTTTATGGTAGGACCTCACAGACCCTCACGGCGGCACTAACCATAAGCGCCACAATCTGTGAAACTGACAGCCAGTTCATTCACGCCTCCTCTAAGATAACCCCCAGCTACTGCTAGTGACAGACAGAATGTCTGATACCTCACAGAATGTCTGGTACCTCACAGAATCGCGCAGCACCCACCGTAGACTCTGTCCTCATAGTCTGTGAAACTGACTGCCAACTCGTCCACTCCCCCCCTGGGATACCCTCCTGCTGCTGCTGCTGGTGCTGCCGATTGTGACAGACATACCGCCTGGTACCTCACAGAACCTCTCAGCACCCACCATAAACGCTGTCCTCATAATCTGTGAAGCTGACTGCCAGCTCATCCACTCCCCCCCTGGGATACCCTCCTGCTGCTGCTCCTGCTCTTCCCGAGCCTGCTGGGTTAGGTCCGGCACGCAGGTGGTCAGCCACAGCTGCTGCCGAGGCAGACGGCACGTGCCACAGGTTGACTGCTGACTCGGTGCCACTGCTCTGTGGGGGTTGGACGTGAAGAGGAGAAAGGAGGAAGGGGTTGGAGGTGAGGGTGGAGCAAAGCAAAGAGAATAATAGAAGCGAGTGGAAAATTGGAGGAGCAGGAGACGGCACAGCACTGACCAGCAGGATCAGGAGAAGAAACTCAGGGGAACAATTGGGAAATTAGAGAAGCACGAGGGGGCAGCACTGACCAGCAGTAGCTCATCGTAGAATCGGTTGTAGCGGACAGAGCAAGTCCTGCTCAGAGATCACGGCAGGTACGGGGGCAAGAGGTGGGAACGGTACAGACAGTATGTGAGGAGACATGGGTGTGTTTAGGCGAATGACCAGCAGGCTGTAGCTCATCGTAGAATCGGTTGTAGCGGACAGAGCGAGTCCTGCTCAGAGATCTAGGCAGACAGGCAGGTAGGCACGCATGGGAAGACAATGATAGAGCTACTAGGACGTGAGGACGCACAGAGGTGTGCAGGGCAGGCAATGCAATGGGAACTGTACAAGGAAACTGCAACTAGGAGGTACCGTGAGGCAACAGAAGTCGACACAGGTCAACACAACGGAAAGGAAGCCACCAAAGTAGCCCGTACCAGTGAGAGTGCCATGGGAGCTCCACGATGGCCTGCTTGGTGGAGCGCAGGTCCCACAGGTGAATGCATGAGTCACCTGTTTAAAGGCAACCTTATAGATTTGTTTGCACCAGCACCTGCCCGTACCACTGCAGATTGACCCATGGTCCCATACTAGTGGGAGTGACTCGTACCAGTGACAATGGCCTGGGAGCTCCACAATGGCCTGGGAGCTCCACAATGGCCTGCTTGGTGGAGCGCAGGTCCCACAGGCACATGATCAAGAAAATATGGATTCGAGCCGCAGCAAGCGTAGGGTCTCCTCGAAATTCTTGACTAACAACTAGGAGTACTTAGAGTGGGAAAAAAAGGTAGAATCAGGACTTGGTAAGTCCAACTTCAGTAAAGAACGTAGGCGTACGCGTTTCGGCCGTGAGGCCTTCGTCAGCGCCGTAGGATTACAGAATGAAAGACTACTCTAACCCCTTTTCTACCCATTTCCCGTTATCCTCTAACTTCCCCGAATTCCCCTAGGTCTAGACAAACTCCAGGTGTAATCTACCCGAACTTCAAGCAACTGCCAAGTCGGATCACCCTTGCCAGCGCGGACAATTGGTCCCGAAGGTCAAAGGGACTACCAATCCTCAACATTAGGTGAGTTCGCTGTAGTGAAGCGAGCCCTTACCAGTCGGTGTTGTAACCGCGCAGGTAACTTCCAACATGTAAAAAAACGAGGGAATTGTACGCCGGCTATATGGAAATCACTTTTGAGAATTCTCAAAAAGTGATTTCCATATGGCCTGGGAGCTCCACAATGGCCTGCTTGGTGGAGCACAGGTCCCACAGGCACATGATTTTGAGGCTATTGCTCAAAACGGCACCTTAAGAACGTACCAGTGCGAGTGCCCTGGGAGCTCTACGATGGCCTGCTTGGTGGAGCGCAGGTCCCACAGGCGAATGCGCGAGTCATCCCCCGCTGATGCGAGGATGTGCGGGTGGTTGGGGTTGAAGTCTATGTCCCGTATCTGCAGGTGGTGCGCTCCCTCTATGCTGGCTGTCTTGCTGCAAAGAGGAGTGTTGGAGATAGGGATGGGGAAAATGGACACATGTTACTGACGTGGCAGCTCTCAGGCCCCAACAGGAAATGGAGGTGTCAGCAGTGGTGGCAATGGTGTCAGCAGTGGTGGCAATGGTGCTGAGACGCGTTGAGAAATGGATACGATACAAGTTACTCACATGGCGGCTCACAGGTCCCACCAGGCAATGGAGGTGTCGGCCGTGGTGGCAATGGTGTCAGCAGTGGTGGCAATGGTGTCAGCAGTGGTGGCAATGGTGTCAACAGTGGTGGGTGGGAGTGGTTTAGAGGCGCCTTAGTAGACGGAAACACATCACTCACATGGCGGCTCTGAGGTCCCAGCACGCAATGGAGGTATCCGCAGTGGTGGCAATGGTGTCCGCGTTGTGTGGGTCCCACGCCCCTGTGTGAAGCCTCTGCAGCCCGCTGCCTGTCACCCGCTGCTTCGCCTGTTAATTCATGCACGATCAGATGGGGGGTCAGCCATGCCATCGGATGGGACAAGCATAAAAAAAGCGGTGCACTCTTCAAGATGACATTCACGCTACGAAGCAACGTGTCACAAATTTGAGGGGCCGGGTCAGTCAAAAACAGCCTACCAAGGCGAACTGCGCTGCTCGAGTGCTGGAGGCGAGGTCCCATGCGCAGATAATCTCCTCATCAATGGTGATCACTCTGTGCAACGCCACACACAGGCTGCAGACCTCACAGAGTCGAGCTGCACTGAACTCACAGAGGCGAACTGCGCTGCTCGGGTGCTGGAAGCGAGATCCCATGCACAGATAATCTCCTCGTCTATGGTGATCACTCTGTGCAGTGCCACGTCACCTGCGTACCACAGCACTCTGTCGGGCACAGATAGGAAACATAAAGGGAAACAGAAAGGGAACAGGAAGGGAAGAGAAGGGGGTGTATATGCCTAATGGAGAAACTCGTCGATGGTGATCACCCTGTGCAGTGCCACATCGCCTCCGTACCACAGCACTCTGTCTGTGCACAAATAGGGGTGCATCATGTTGAGAACAAAATGAGGTGCATCTGGCTCACGTATTAAAATAGAATTTCACTGCACCTCCCCCCCCCCCCCCTGCCACAGCACTCTGTAGGGCACAGAAACAGGTGAATCAGCATGTATTTTGAAGCGCCCGAAAAGTAGAAACGGGGCATAATTGTGAAACTGTACACCTCATTATAGTGAATCATACAGTGCAATGAGGGAGTGCAAGCTCCATACGAAAAAGGTGAATGGAAAGAGAGCGTGAGACACGAGAGCACTTGCTTTTTAACAGGAGCTTCGAGTCCCTTGAGTTCTGCGGCCAGTTGCAAGGAGGGAGCGCCAGTGCCGTACGAAAAGGCCTTGTCGGGTATCCGCCAGATGGCAGCGTGGTATTCGCCGGCGGAGGCGTAGACAGTGGAGAGCAGTGCTGAGTCAAAGGGACACGTGGCAAGGTCCCAGATCTCATGCTGATGCAGGTACAGCCCCTCACATGTCACCTCTGAGCCGTCGTCTGCCAGCTGGATGAGATGCACCTGGGGGAGGTGAGGTGAAGCAGCAACAACAAAATGGGACAATAAGAGGGGCGAATCACAGCGTCTGGTGCAGCCGTTTGTAGTGGCCTATGGGCCATAACATGGACTACTGGTTAGAACTTAGACGAGAGGTTATTTGCACCCACTCGCCATCGTGCCGTCTCTTGTGAATGCCAATGCTCACCCTTTCGTTCGATCTCATCCTCACTTCCCAGGTGATTGCCCAGGTAGGGTCCCACCTGAGGCTCATCTGAAAACAAGATTAATTTCCAGAGTCCATCCCATTCCATTGTCTTCCCATCCCGCACACGGTCCCATCCGACTCCATTTCAATCAGCAATGTCCACCTCGATCAGTTGCATTATTCACATCGCCTTCAGCTGTCCCATCCCAGAACACCGTCACGTCACCTACACGGCACCTCATTCCCCTCGCTCAGACTCAGCGTGTCGACCGGGAACCGCGTTCAACGCTTTGAGAGACCTCAAGAATTCCAGTTACATATTCCTCATAGACATTCTAGGCAGTCACACCTCTCCCATCCCACAGCATCGTCACCTACACAGCACTTCATTCTCCTCGCGCAGGCTGAAAGTGCTGACCAAGAACCGCATTTCAGTGCACTAAAAGGCCTCAAGGAATTCCAGAGACAACTCTCTCATTGCCATCCTCGGCACACCTCTCCCATCCCACGACACCGTCACCTACACAGCACCTCATTCTCCTCGCGCAGGCTGAGCGTGCCGACGAGGAAGCGCGTGTGGTGCTTCTCACCGGCCTGCGCCGCGATGCATCTCGCCTGAAACTTAACGCCGTACGTCCGACTCGTTCCCCCGCCGAACATCGGCACGACTGATTCGCCGATTCCCTGACTGTCGGTTTGTTTCACCAGTAACGCTGATAAGCCGTTACGGTGCAGTTCGGTTTAGAGATCGAGCGGCGACAGGAGTGGATACAGAACGTGGGTAGGCCTAATGGGTCACTAACCACTGGTCAAGGTGCAATCTTGGGAAGACACCAAACCACTTGACACGAATAATCCCTGACAGGACACTTGTGGATGTTGGAAGTAAATTTAGTTGGAATTTCTTTTACTGGTAATCCGGAAGAGTATTTCTCATCTGAGAGTCATTTACATGTCGCATGCGGTTACGTTGGGTTCCTCACGGTTCTTGCGAATTACCCTGACAGACCATGGATGAAGAGGGTTCGAACCTGGCGTGGGCTTGCAAAAGTCGGAACCAAGAATTTGGGGTCTGCGAAGAAAAACTGTTCATGAGCTGAAGTGTACACAGCTCGAATGGCTGGTCTACAAAAAGTTTGGTGCCAGCTTCTAACGAGCCATTGTTCCCCTTCCCTTGCGTCTAGCTGCAAGCTTCTGCAGCGGTATATAACAGCTTCTGAAGCTTCTACAAGCTTATACCAACACAATTCCGTCGTCTCCCCTCAGTTCTGTCTTCTAGGTTCTAAGCCCCAAACCTCACTTGTCTTGTCAAGCGATGCACGCCTCTTTCGATGGCATTTCCATTTCGCCCCTCGTTCCCATGCTGGCGCTTGAATGCGTTGCGATGCTGACTCACGTTTACCTGGTTAACGCCCGTTTCTGGCGTTAGCCAGGACTTTGTTTTCTAACAATGCACTTGCTATCTTCTCTGTTGTATGTTGTGTCTGACACAATACTTTTTTTTTACAACGCCGACTGAAGTGCTTGCATAACTCTTCAGCGTGGTAAGCTACTCAACCCTCTTCACCACCATTTTTTTGTGACATTTTGGCGCTCACGGTGATGAAATCACACGTATATGAGGCCTTTCGAGGCTGATGCGTACCCTTTTTATACCCTTTAAGAAGTCCTGAGTGAGCTTTGATATAACAGATGCATCTTTCGAAGTGTTTTGGGCATTCCTGCCACGGGAGTATGGCTTTCATGGTCTGTTTCTCCTGTCCAAGGATTGCCAACAGTGAGCTTTTCAGCCAACTGATAGGAAGCTCTTAATGCATTTTCCGTTGCTTGAGAGTGCCATTTTTTGGCGATTACATGTGAATCTTGAGATTCTTGCCTGCTCTTTTCGGCCTCTTTTGGGTTGCTCAGTCAGCACAGATTAGGTTGCCCAATCAAATGAGACGTGTTGTTTGGGAATTCATTTTCTCTGCCCTTCTGGTTTTGGCTGCAGGTTGGTGATGGGGATTCGTGTGATTTGATGGGGATTCTTCTGATTGAAGGCACGTCATAGCATATTGTTTCTATGCACCACGGCTTATCAGCGTTACTGGTGAATACTGAGATTCTGCACATGATTCCGCATCTTGGAGCTTCTTGTGGTGACATTAGTAGTGGATGTAAGTTCCCAGGCAGTAGTAGAAAATCTTTCTGGTAAAAGAACATGCTGATACCTAGCGGACCTTGATTGGTCAGGGGTAATGAGGAGATGTAACGTAATTGTGCTTCATAATAGGGGAATGAGAATTCTTATAAAATATATCTACACCCAAACATATCGGGTGCACTGCTGTTACATCAAACGAGATTTCTGAAACGCTTACCAATAGTGGCGCGCATCTGCATAGATGAACAAACTGACAGTCTTGGGACATCTCCCTTCGATACTGTCACTTGCTGTCGTGCTGTCGTGCTATTCATCCGAGCCAAATAGGCACCACACACAGAGGATGTTTCCTAGGTTCCTCCATACAGGATCTGGTTCCTCAACCCGGTTATTCGCGTGCTCGTGTCAACGGTAAACTCTCTTCAGGATTGCTGGCTATCAGTTGCAGCTGCTCCTTACGTTGTCCGTCTAATCGAAGGCGAATTCTTTGGAATCTCGTTGCACGTTCTGTGGCCTGCTCCTTTGACCAGTGCCGATGACCAATCTCTGAACGCTGATCGCGTTGCGTCGTAGCCTGACGGGTATTGCTGTCTTGGGTTCTTGACAGATCCGAGTGTCTGTAGCCGTTTAAACGTCTCTGGAAAATTTTACAAAGGGGCCGTCGAGGGAACGGCTTGAATTCGCTATTCTGGGTTGCTGGGCCTCGTGCCTTTAGTACCACAACGCTAATGTACGCGAATACATTCGACCGGTTCATTTACGCGTCTAGGAACCCGAGCTTTCAGGGCCTTCGCAACGCCGCGAGCAAAGCTTAGGTGACCTCTCAGGAGCCGGTAGGTAGCTTTTCCAAGCCGGTCCGCCTATGCTGAATGTGATTAAAACGAGGGCGTAGTAGCTCCTTAGGCTGGAGCCACGTGCGGGCCTCGAGTAGGCTGCGGCTCGAAGCTAACATGCGATGCGGGGGACCTCAAGACCAACCCCGGCATTTCCGCTGCGGGCATAAAGATCGCACGAAACGTCCTACCCGCCGTCGTTACAATCACACTCCACTTACTCAATTAAGATGGGCTCCATCCGTGCTAGCAGTTGTCCTCTTAGCGAGCGTTTTTGTGTCGAATCGCGGAGTGAAGGGTCAAGAAGAAGAGGGGATGATACCGGGGGAGGAGCGGTACCAATGCAGCAAGGAGAGCGAGTGGGTCGGATTCGTCGCCGATCTCAGCATGCTGCAGCATCAGCTCCGCGGAACGGTCGAGATCCTAGACGATTGCTCGTTCAAAGTGAGTGATTTCATTACGAGATGCTTCAACAGAACAGGATTCGTCGACGATCTCAGCATGCTCCCGCACAGCTCCGCGGAACGATCGAGATTCGTTGAGATTATAACCTTTTGTTTGCTCTTGGCTGTGTTGATTCTGTCAACTCGTTGTGCGGCTCAGGAATGTATGTAATGGTGGGGTACGACCGTGCGACGACCGACGAATGTCTCCTTGTCTTTCCACGCATTTGCCTTCCTGTACTGGCCGTGATGCTTTCACGAATCCTCGTCGCAGGTGACGCGGTTTGACATGTTGCCAGGGAAGGACGTGTACTGGTGGGGGGCAGCGTCCGCGTCCCTCACCGACCTGCTGCACGGCTTCCCTGTCTCGCCCAAGCCCCTCCTCGGCACCTTCAACAGCCAGACAGTCGTGGTTGGTACCAGTGTCCTATAGCAACACTCATCAGCAACACCATTTAGCAGCACCCCTTGTCAATGCAATCCCCCTAGCAGTACCCGTACCCAATGCCTCCTTGGCATCTCCAACAGCCAGACGCTCGTGGTAGGTAGCAGAGCCCCGTGACAGTGATCCTCGGGCCTCAGCAGTCCTCGCAGTATCCCTCACAATACCCCTTAGAAGCACCCCTTAACATATTTTTTCTAATTCAATGTCCCGCAACTCCTTGGTCTCGAATCACAGCATCAGACTACGGCCATCTAGCCCCAGCAACAACCAGGCTTTCATAAATTTCCTCCCTTCCGCATCCATTTCCCGTCCTTTCCCCATCCCTTCCTCCATTCCGCCCCTCATTCCTGAAACCAGGTGCGTCTGGCATCAAACGTGACGTGGAGCGACTTCAAGCTACTCTCAGTGTGGTCGCGAACCACAGCATCAGACTACGGCCACATAGCCTCAACAACAGCTAACCCTTCATAATACTCCCTTCCCTCCCTTCCCCATCCCTTTCCCTCCCTTCCCCATCCCTTCCCCATCCCTTCCCCATCCCTTCCCCGGGTCCGCCTCTCATTCCTCCTGAACCAGGTGCGTCTGGCATCAAACGTGACGTGGAGCGACTTCAAGCTGCTCTCAGTGTGGTCGCGAACCACTGCCTCAGACTACGGCCACATAGCTCTAGAGATCATCGAGCCTCCAGCCCCCCCGCCCGCCCCATCCCCAGCGCCATCCCCCTCCCCCGCACCCTCCCCCGCCCCCGCCTCCGCCCCTTCCCCTTCCCCCCTCGCCCCAGCCTCCTCCCCTCAGCCCTCCAAACCCCTCCCTCCCGGCCCAGATACCCCCTCCCCCGGTCACGCCCTCCCTTCAGAACCCTCATACGCACTCCCTCCAGAGTCCCCACCTTTGTCGTCCCCCCCGCCGCCAGCTAAGCCGCGGCTAAAGCAGGGGCAGAGGCAGCCGACGATGTTTGACAACTGCATGCAGCTGAGTCACCGTTACAGGGTGCGGTGGATGCTGGATGAGGCGAGAGGGTTCGTTGACGTGGGGTTGGAAGCGGTTGTGGGGAGTGGGCCGCATTACCTAGGGTTTGGATGGGCGGATCCCGACAGTGTGACCAAGTTCATGGGGTTTGCTGACGTGGTGATTGCGGGATTTGATGAAGTGGTGAGTTGATGGGGGGTTGGGAGGGTGGGGGAGGGGGAGGAGGCGGTAGTTGGGAGTGGACAACTGTGCGTGGGTTTGGGTTTGGGTTGGCGGATTATGAGAGTGTGGCCAAGTTTATGGGATTTGCTGACGTGGTGATTGCGGGATTTGATGAAGTGGTGAGTTGAGGGAGGAGAGAGCGGATTGAAGAAAGAGAACGAAAACATTTTCCACAACTGTTCTTTTTGCCTCCCTTCCCACAATCCCACTCTTTCTACCCTTTTCTCTGACTCTGTCCCATGAGTACCCCTTCCCAACCCCCTTTCCCCTCACCCAATTTCTTCACCAGGCAAAACCGTTTGTGGAAGATTACTATATCACATCATACGGGGAATGCAATCTCGAGAAAAAACCACCAGAGGGCGTGTGTCCGGACCAGCTTATGGGCGGTGGCAACTCGTCTCTCGACAACGTGGATCTGATCTACGGGCACCGCGTGGACGGCATCACTTTCGTCCGCTTCCGCCGCCCGCTCGTGAGCCCGGACAAAAGATTTGATCACGATATCGACGCAGAGGACGAGATGAACGTGATCTGGGCCCTTGGATCCTTAAAGCCCATCCCATCCCCCTCCTCTTCCTCCTCCTCTTCCTCCTCCTCCTCCACCTCTAATCCGTCGGTGGTAGGTGGGGTGGCAGGGGCGGCACGAACCCCCCCCGCCCACCTCTTTCCGTCCTACCATGGGGTTCCCCAGGGGTCGTTTTTCGGGGTGGCGGTGTTGACTCTAAGCCTTGCAGTAGACGACTGTCAGAGTGTGTTGAACCCTGCAGTTGGTGTGGGAAATGCAGGAGGAGGTGGGGGAGGAGCAGGTGGAGGAGGAGGAGGAGTGGGAGGAGGGGCTGGTGGGAGTGGGGTTGGGAGTGGTGATGATGACGATGATGACGATGAGGATGGGTTGGGAGGGGTGGTGGGGAGCGGATGGGGGAAAGTCGTCGTGGCCGACAGAGGCACACTCATCACAGTCACATCAGGAAAAAGCACACACTATCCCAACCCGCCAGCGTCAACCAAAAGCTTCTATGTGAACGGGCATGAGGCACCGGAAATTAAGGTGGAGAGGGGAGTACCGGTGCAGTTTTCAATACAAGCTGGACACGACCTGGGGGTGTATATTACGTCAGATCCTGTGGGCGGGCGGTTTAACAAGTCGGAGATTATATTCGCGGGCGGCGAGGAGGCGCATGGCGTGCCGGCGGATCCGTACACCCTGCTGTGGAAGCCCACTAGCTCTACCCCAGACCTCGTTTACTACCAGGTGGGTGTAGGGTGGCTGGATGACTGGGTGCCTGGTAGTGCCCTGTAGTGGCAGGACAGGACTCGTGTTGGTATTCAGACCCATACACCCTGCAGTGGAAGCCCACTAGTTCCACTCCAGACCCGTTCAGTACAACCACAGCTTCTACCTCCTCCCTTCCCCTTTCCTTCGCCTTTCCACTTCGCTCTGCCCTCCCTCCTCTCCCTCTGCCCTTCCCTTCCCTCCACCCTCCTCAGTGCTACTCAGAGCCCAAGATGGGGTGGCGAATCCACGTGGTGGATGGGGGTCTATCAGACATGTACAACCACAGCTTCCAGCTCGCAGACGGGCTCGTCACCATGTTCTGGACCCTCACTGCCTCATCTATATCTGTTGCGGTTAGGGGCGAGCACCCCTCGGGTTACATCGCCATCGCCTTTGGGAGGTGAGCTTCTGTTGACAGCCTTTGCCGGGACCCAGGGGTAGGCTGCAAGGACATGACATGTACAACCACAGCTTCCAGCTCGCAGACGGGCTCGTCACCATGTTCTGGACCCTCACTGCCTCATCTATATCTGTTGCGGTTAGGGGCGAGCACCCCTCGGGTTACATCGCCATCGCCTTTGGGAGGTGAGCTTCTGTTGACAGCCTTTGCCGGGACCCAGGGGTAGGCTGCAAGGACATGACATGTACAATCACAGCTTCCAGCTCGCAGACGGGCTCGTCACCATGTTCTGGACGCTCACTGCCTCAAAAATATCCGTGGCTGTGAGGGGCGAGCACCCCTCGGGCTACATTGCCATCGTGTTTGGAAGGTAAGGCGAGCTGGTACCTTCTGATCACCTTCCAGCTCGCAGACATGCTGGTTACCATTTTCTGGATTCTCACCGCTTCATGAATATCCGTGGCTGTGAGGGGCGAGCGCCCGTCCGGCTACATTGAGGGGCGAGCGCCCGTCCAGCTACATTGAGTTTTGAGACGTCTCCCAACGTTTTGAGTTTTGACACACCTCAATATCCGTGGCTGCGAGGGGCGAGCGCCCGTCTGGCTGCATTGCGGTAGCTCTGTTGTGATAGTTGTTGCTGAAACAGAAATGGCATCATCATTGCACTGACACCAATCAATCGTTTCAATCACCTCCCCCCCCCGCTTCCCCCTCCTCCTCTGCATCTTCCCAGCGGAATGGTGAACTCGTGGGCATATGTGGGGTGGGTGGAGGGGGGTTGAGAGGCGAACAGACTCATCTCGTTGCGCTCAAACCACTCACTTCCTTCAATCCTCTCCCTCCTCCCTTCTTCTCTCCCCGCCATCTCTCCCTCTCCCCCTCCCCCAGTGGCATGGTGAACTCGTGGGCGTGTGTGGCGTGGGTGGAGGGCAGCAATGGGTGAACAGTCTCCCATCACTTCATTCCCTCGATTCTCTCCCTCTCCCTCTCCCCCCTCCAGTGGAATGGTGAACTCGTGGGCGTATGTGGGGTGGGTGGAGGGCGGCGAGGGACGGGTGGCATCTTATTGGATAGATGGCAAGGACGCCAGTAGCGTGCATGCTGCTAAGGAGGCCCTTGATATGACCAAGTGCATGCAGGTGCGTGTGAGGGAAGGGTGTGGGTAAGGGGGAAGGTGGGGGGTTGCGTGCATGAAAGGAAGGGAGAAGGGAGAGCACAGTGGATGGATGGATGGCAAGGATGCTAGCAGCGTGCATGCCACCAGGGATGCTAGCGGCTTATGGGAGTGAAGAGGAGCATGCATGCATGCATGGTGCATGCAGAGCAGTGCAGCGCAGTGTGATGCAGTGCAATGCAGTACAATGCAGTGCAGTGCAGTGCAGTACAATGCAGTGCAGTGCAGTGCAGTGCAGTGCAGTGCAGTGCAGTGCAATGCAGTACAATGCAGTGCAGTGCAATGCAGTACAATGCAGTGCAGTACAATGCAGTGCAGTGCAGTGCAGTACAATGCAGTGCAGTGCAGTGCAGGTACATCAAATGTTGAGGTACTGGAAGGATGGTACCGTGCATGCTGCAAGGGAATCGCTCGACATGACCAGGTGCATGCAGGTGCGGCATGGGGGAGGGGAAAGGGGATGGGGAGGGAGGAGCACATGTGTGCACATGTGGATGGACTGATTTTTTAAACGCTTTCAGAGAGTGTTTGTCCCTTCTTTCTTCCCTGTGTGTGAGTGAGTGCGTGCGTGCACACAGGTGGATGGGGTGCTGACCTTCGAGTTCAGCCGGCCATTGAAGCCACCCGATTCGGACTGTGACGACAAGTGCAGCGTCATTGACCCCTCAGAACCCCTCAAAGTCATCTGGGCGTACGGGCCGTCCTGGACCTCAGGTATTACCCTCATTCTGCTTTGTCAAACCCCACTCTTCAGAATTCCACAGCTTTGTGCCTCATTCTGCTTTTCAAACCCCCCTCCTCCTTTGCTCTTTTCCCCCAAGGCAAGCTGTCCTACATGAACATGCACACGGTGTGGAGCACCACCGTCACCATCCTGGACTTGGAAACCGGCGAGGGCACGGTGGAGCATCTGCAGCCGGTGTTTGTGGTGCATGGCTTCATGATGACCATGGCGTGGGCCGTGCTCATGCCCTTTGGAGTGCTGGCGGCGAGATACCTCAAGCACAACGACTGGCTCTCGTAAGTGGTTGGGTCCCACTTGTTCTGAAAGGCATTTGCAGTCCAGCCAGTGGGTTTTTGTGGTGCATGGCTTCATGATGACCATGGCGTGGGCTGTGCTCATGCATTTCGGGGTCTTGGCTGCTCGCTATCTCAAGCACAACGACTGGCTCTCGTAAGTGGTTGGGTCCCAGTTGTGTTAAACGGCATCTCCAGCTGGTGTGTGTTTGTGGTGCATGCCTTCATGATGACCATGTCATTCTTCATGGCACCCATCAGAACCTACCAGCAGCAGCAATACTGAACCCTCGGACTCATGCTGCTGAGTGCTGACTGTCTAATCCCACATTGAATCTTCCCCTCCCCTCCCCTTCCTCCCAACAGCATCCACCAGTACACGCAGTATAGCGCCCTCGCGCTCATGCTGCTCGGTCTGCTCTTCGCCGTCGGTGAACTTGGCGGGTACGTTCTCCCACCCGGCTTTTGAGGCGCCTCAAAAGCCACCCGGCCTGAAAAAAAAAAAAAAAAAAAAAAAAAAAAAAAAAAAAAAAAAAAGATTCCCCCCCGGCCTCGCCTCTCGTATCCCCGCCTTCCTTTCTTTCTTGTAGCTTCTATCCCTCCACTTTATCATGCGCATTGCCTCGTTCAAAGTTTGTCTCTCATTATGTCTTTTGTCGTCCCGGCCCCATATTGGTCTAATCTCTTGGGCAGCAGTAGCTTCACCGGGGATGGGCGGAGCAGGGCTGAAGTGTCTTGACTCTGGTGCTGGCAGTAGCAAGGGAAGAGGAGTGGCACAAGCCGGAAAGAGGAGTCCCAACAGGGACTGTTGGAGCACAGCTGAAGTGCCTTGATTCTAGTACTGCTCTTCCCTTGCTACTGCCAGCACCAAAGTCAAGACACTTCAGCCCTGCTCTGCCCATCCCTGGTGAAGCTCTCCTTCGCCCATCTCGGTTATCCCCATCGTTTCCCTTGCACTCCTTCCCTCCCACCCGTTCCCTCCTCCTCTCTCCTACTCACCCTTGCAGGATCGACCTAACATCCAATCATGCCAAGATAGGAATGGCAACGTTCGCCCTGGGGTGCTTCCAGCCAATCAATGCCTTCTTCCGCCCGCCCAAGCCGTCGCCTGGGGAGAGGCCCCAGATGAAACGAGTCATCTGGCAGTGGGTACACATGTGAGTGCGTTTCATCTGGCAGTGGGTGCACATGTGAGTGCGTTTCATCTGGCAGTGGGTGCACATGTGAGTGCGTTTCATCTGGCTTTGGTTGCACATGTGAGTGCGTTTCATCTGGCAGTGGGTGCACATGTGCATGCGTTTCATCTGAGTGCATGTAATCTAGATGTATTTCCTACGCAGATGTGAGGCATCTTCCATGCATGCATGGAAAAATGTGCGTAATCAACCTCCGACCCCTCTTCCACATCCCCCATCACGGTTTCTGCGTGCAGTCTTTTTGGCCGGGGTGTGCTGCTGGTAGTAGCAGCGGCGCTACTAACGGGGATAATGAAGTTGGGGGAGATGAGGGGGGACGACTACACGGTGGACGGGTTCCTTTCCTCCCCAAACCCACTTCCCAGTTATCCCCATCCATCCCCACATCCATTTTCCGCGCAGACTATTCGGTTGGGGCGCCCTGCTGGTAGGAGCAGCGGCGCCCCTGACGGGGATAATGGAGCTGGGAGAGATGGGCGGAGATGACTACACCGTGGACGGGTTCTAAAAAACATTTCCAGATTGCGCAATCCAACCTCCCTCTCTCCTCTCCTCCCTCCACCCACCACTGTTTTACCTGCAGTCTTTTCGGTCGGGGAGCCCTGCTGGTGGGGGGAGTGGCGCTGCTGACGGGGATAATGGAGCTGGGGGAGACGGGCGGAGACGACTACACGGTGGACGGGTTCCTGTGGGCCATGGTGGGGTGGTTCGCCACCATCGCTGCCTTTGTGTGGTTCGTTGAACGGACCAGACGGCAGGACCAGTGAGTGGTGGGGGGAGGTGGCAGTGAGCGCCGGGGGGGGATGAGATGGGAGGAGCAGTAAGTGTCATGGTGGGGTGGTTCGCCACCATCGCTGCCTTTGTTTGGTTCATCTGCTTTCCTGAAACCCTCCCCTTCCCCCACCCCATTCCTTGTTTATTGCAGTGCCACACCACAGGAGTTGGCCAACATGATTCGGCACGACTGGAACGGGTCGTCTCCAGCATCACCAGACATGCACGTGACCCAACTAGACAGTGAGGACAGCGAAGACGACACGCGCACCCTCATCCCCTCCACCCTCCGCTCCTCCTCTTCTTCCTCCACCGCTGCCGCACCTTCCCATGCATTCAATTCTCCTCATACTGCCCGGCACGGACCGTCCGGCTCTCCTGCCCGGGGTAATTCTTCTGGTTCACCTGCCCGGCTGGGCCCTACTGCTTCTTCACCTGCCCGAATGGCGAATTCTGGGTCGCCTGCTCATGGCCTGCCTGTGATTCGGGAGGGTCGGGAGGGTAGGGTCGGACTCGGTGGCCATGGGGGAGGCTCGGGGAATGGGAGAGGGTTTGTGGAGGATCACGATGGGGAGATAGAGATGGGGGTCATAAAGGGCTGAATATGATTTTGGGAAGTATCTTCTCATCGTTTTGTAAGCTGAAGTCGCATATATTGATGCCCCTGAAGCCCATTGCTTGGGGCATTGCAACAAAACTTGCTGCTTTTACAGTGGACTGGGACTCTGTTCTCCAACAGTAGGTGGGTGGGACCAAAAGCAGCACTACCGCAGTATTTCCAGTCAAATGACACATTTCCAATCAGCACCATACATTTTCAGAAACTTCACAGCCAACCATTTTCAGATTCTAGTCCAGGAGCAGCAGTCGTTGCAGGAGAATCAGCTGCACCACCCACTACCTCCCCACCCAGTCCCTCATGATCCCTCCTCCCTACTTCTACACTCCTCTCCTCCATGCCTGAATCCCTTCCCTTCATTTCCGCAATTTCCGCCTGAAGCAACGCGATCTTCTCTCTAAGGCTCTGAACAACCACCTGGTTTTCCATAAGAGCTTCCCGGTACACGGGATCCGGATCCGCGACGTCCGCGGCTTGGAGCTCCTCGTTAGAGCGTATAAGATGCCGGACTGCGTTTTGCAGGCGCTTCTCCTCTAATTCTAACAGCTCCAGTCGCTGCTGCTGGTCCTGGGTTAGTTGTCCCATCGGCAGGAGGGGATTTGATGACTGGTCCGGAGGAGGGCTGGGAGAGGTTCGGGATAGAGGAACGGAGGAAGAGGGTGGAACGTGCAGGTTTGGTTGCTCGTGTAGGTGCTGGGACGGTTGCTGATGTTGCGCGGATGAATCGCTCTGGTGATTATTGCTGCGATCCTGGTGGTGATGGTGATGGTGATGATGAGCGTGGGTGGATGGGCGAGGTCCGCCAGTCCGCGAAGAATTTCTGTCGACGTCCATGTCTGATGTCGAACGTAAATCCATAGAAATTCGGTGGGAGGGGCGAGGAGAGGACCGAATTCGTGGAAAATACGGAGGAATGCACGCAGCTGTTGAGATGGTGTTGCGTAGGACGAGGGCGGTGGTGAGGTAAGATTGGCTCCTTGGAAGGCACTCTTGCAAATAAGAAAGAAACCAATACACAGGGTGTATTAATTGTTCGTTTCAAGAACACATGGGAGAAGTGCAGGACAATTGTCTATATTGAGACAAGGGAATTGGGACGGGTTCATTCGAACCTTGCATTCCTGCCGAGTCACTTTGTTCCACGTGGGCAAGAAAGTTCCAATTTCCAAAGCTGCTTCCTCAAACCTCGGGCGCGTCATCAACAAATCCCAGAGAGTCGAGTGCCTGAAAGATCAGCCTTCGTCAGCTTTCCCGCAGCATATCTGACCTCGCTGGACCGTTCCACCAATCACCGCCTTCAGCCTGACGCGTGTGGGGACTCAAAGATGCCCTTTCCCACGCGGTGTGAAAGAAGGTGCCACGTAGGGTTGTGGCTCGACAAGCAGAACCCGAGGTTCCTGCGCAACTCATCCCATCCCACTCGCCCCGCCATGGATGAGAGAATTTGTCCTGCAGGACTCCTTTTCTCCTCTCGCGTCTCATTTCTTGCTTTGCATCTGGACTAAACTGGAGAATACTTATAAACGTCACCATTGTTACTGCTCGCTCGCACCATCCAGATTAGCATAAACATCGCCCTTCCTTCCCTTGCCTTGCCTACTTTTTCTCTCTTTTGTAGTCTTGTCAGTTTGCAATGGCGACCATTGTGAAGCACGCGTCTCGCGTAAATCTTGGACGGCCGTCGTCCAGCCGAGCGCGCCTCGGCGAATCTGGTAGCTCTTGTCAAGCCAGCCCCTTTATCCCTCGCGGGGTATCGACTCTAACCGACACCTCTGCCGTAAGATTCGTTAAAGATTCGCTTCAAGTTCGCCAGACCGCGACAATCCGAAGGACAGCAGTCGGTTCGGCTCGAGCCTCGGCGGTAACCAGTGCTGATGTGGAGGAATGGAGCAAGGCGGCGCGGCTGGTCCGGCAAGAGCAGCTGGAAGGCCAAGCTCTGGACGCTCTTCGGAAGACCATCGATTCCTTCGAGCGGCCCACGTTCCCGTGCGCGCTTATCGCTGGCGACGTGGTAAGCATTCACACAATACCACCAAAGCGATCTGATCAGTATCGCCCAGCGCTGCAATGCTAATCGGAACATTGACCCAATTAACGTTGGTGTTCTTTTGTTAACCTCCTCGCGTTCCTTGCAATGTGATCTCGCATCGCATTTCTTTCCTCTTTGTCTAATTCACCCGTTCCTCTTCGTTTTATTCACCCTCTCCCCGTCGGCAGGTGATCCTCCACCTGCTGCACCGGCTCGGCGCGCTGGGCGACAATCCCAAGGTGAAGGTGGTGTTCATCGACACCTTCCACCTCTTCCCCGAGACGTACCAGTTCCTCAAGGACTGCGAGGTACGTTGCGGTGCAATGTGACTGCGAGCGGTGTGTCCTGGTGCAGAATGAAAGTAGCGTCGCGTCTGAGTCGTACCAAAATTCTGAATTTCAACCCACACACGCGTTTCCACCTCTTCCCTGAGACGTAATAGTTTTCAACGACTGCGAGGTACGATTACCGAAGTTAGAATCAATTATTGGCAATTGTGGAAATGTCAGCTCTCAAAAAAGGAAATTTGAGTCTAAACAAGCCTTATTTTAAGCTGTGATTCCGACCAGCATGTTTTGCTGACCGACCTTCCGATTCGTATTTCTCTGTTCGCCGGGGTGCAGGAGCGGTTTGGGTTCAAGGCGGAGGTGTTTCAAGCGGCGGGGCTCAACTCAAAGGAGGACTATGTCAAGAAGCACGGCTCGGACCTCTTCATTCGGGTAAGCATCCAGGCTCCTCAAAAGTGCTGTGATGTACGCTCGACTATACCTTGATTGTATCAAACGCACAGGTCGAACGTCTTTATCCGGGTAAGCTTGACGGCGCCTTACAAGTTCTCAAAAGAAATTCTGAGGCTCAAAGGTAATTCTCAGTTCTATCCCCTCAAACAAATTTCCCTACCCTGCCCCAAGATCCCCGATTCTTTTCTTCCCTTCCTCTTCACTATCATGGTCAAGCACTGTAAGTACTATTCCCCTTTTCCTCAATCCTCCCCTTCACCCCACCAACTTCCAAGCTTCCTCCCTCCTCCATCCGCCGCCAATGGCAGGACATAGACGAGTACGACCAGATCTGCAAGGTGGAGCCGTTCAGCCGCGCGCTGACGACGCTCAACGTGGATGCCATGATCAACGGCCGCCGCAGAGACCACGGCGCTGAGCGGGCGCACTTGGAGGTGAGCTTGTTGTCTCTGGTTGCATGGTGGTCAGAGGGTGCAGCTGGAGCGCTGACGACGCTCGACGTGTTGTTTTGTGCCACCTGCCAGGTACCACACGCCACATGGCACCATAATGTGCACAATTCACTGCATGGCACACCACATGCATCATCCCATGCACCATTCCATGATCCATGCAACGTAGTCCCTTGATGTTCATGCCACGCCACCCTTCCTGTGCTTCACCCCCTTCCTCCACTGCCACACATCCCACCATACATCGTCCCTCACAGCTATTTGAAGACGGCACACCAGTAAAGGTGCAGCCCCTCGCGTACTGGGAGTTCAGGTATGCTACAATGGGAGTTGCCGATGCTGTCATCTGATGCTGTGCTGTGGGGGGATGGTCCCTCGGTTCCTGATGGTCCCTCGGTTCCTGATGGTCCCTCGGTTCCTGATGGTCCCTCTGTTCCTGATGGTCCCTCGGTTCCTGATGGTATGCCTGCCTTGAGGGGCGCCTAACGCTGTAATGTCATGGTATGGGCCGGCTGTGACGGATTGCCAATGCTATAGGAGTGTCATCCCCCTTCTTGCATGCAGACATCCCCGCCCACCATTGGCATGCACACCATTCTGCCAATCCTCCGATCCTCGTTTCAAAACCTCAACCCTGCTCCTGTATGGCCCCCGCGTTGCCCCTCATCACCACCAGGGATTGCTTTGACTACCTGGAGAGCCACAGCATGCCAGCCCACCCTCTTCACGCTGCTGGCTTCCCCTCCATTTATGACATGCAGACCAGACCACCCTGCTAAACCACTCTTTCGTCCCTCCCCCCCTCCCCCTCCAGGGATTGCTTTGACTACCTGGAGAGGCACGGGGTGCCAGCCCACCCTCTTCACGCCGATGGTTTCCCCTCCATTGGCGACATCCAGACCACCCTGCCTGTTCCCCGTGCCAAGTGGTTTGAGTACGGTGGAGAGCGGTCAGGGCGGTTCCAGGGGCTGAAGAACAGAGACGGGTCGGACAAGACAGAGTGTGGCATTCACGTGGAGGATGCAGTTGCCTCCTCCCTCTCCTCCTCCCTCACTCCGCCTTCCTCCTCCCTCACACCACCTTCCTCCTCCCTCACACCACCTTCGTCGTCACTCACTCCCCCCTCTTCCTCCCTCACACCTCCATGAGTTTCCAACCTGCCCTGCACTGGAGTGATAGCTAAAAACGAGATGCTGGGTAGGACTGGATAGGGCAGGTGGGGACAACTCATCATGAGGCATTATGGTGTACGGTATTATTGTTTGTTTTGGGTCATGGCATGACATTACCATGGGTTCTGATGGATAGGTTATGAGCACGAACGTTCTGCTTTGCGGCAAGAAAAAAAAAAGCATGTCGAAGTAGCCAGAGTTGCTTTCTACCTGAACAATAATGTTCATCACTACACTGAGTTCTTAGGTTTGGAAAAGGTAACACGTAACACCACCATTAGTATCATAATATGTATGTTGCGCGCATGTGGATGTAAGTAATGCATGTGTGATGCGCATGATGCACGAAGCAAGACAGATGTTCATCTTCAGCCGACGGTGAGGGCAGCAAGCATGGCGAGCATGGCAGCATGCATGGCCAACCAGTAGAGCACGAGCAGCAGGCGCATCATGGGCCGCGCCATCAGTGACTGGCCTCCCGCCACACTGGTGCAGAGGGGGGCGAAGTGGGGGGGGGGGGGGGGGGGGAGGGGGGGGGGTTGGGGGGGGAGAGAGGGAGGGAAAGATAAGAGGGGAGGGAGGGGCAGCAGTAGGCGCATCATGGGCCGTGCCATCAGTGACTGGCCTCCCACCACACCACACTGGTGCAGGGGGAGCGAGCGGAGGTGAATAGGGAGGGGGGAGATGGGACTGGAGATAAGGAAAGAGAGAAGCCAGTTCAGGGGGGCAAAAGGAGGACAGTGGACAGGACAGGAGGGGACGGCAGGGGAGGGCAGAGGAGTGTAGGGCAGGGCAGGAATAGCAGGGCCACTAGAGTAATGGCAGGAGAGAGGGGCAGGTGCAGCATAGAAGCATGGAAGACTGGCAGCAGCAAGCAGGCACGTACCATAGGCGGTCGATGCCCTTGGCGGCTGGGTGCAGGAAGGATGGCAGGAAGCGGAAGGCACTGACAATCGACTTGAACCCGTGCACTGCGATGGGGGGAGGGTGGGGAGGGATGGAGGGGAGTAGAGTGTGAGGAATAGGAAGCGGAAGGCACTGACAATCGACTTGAACCCGTGTACTGCGATGGGGTTGAAGGGGAAGAAATAAGAGACATTTGGAAGTGAGTGTATTGCGGGGAAAGAGAGGCAGGTCCACGCGAGATGAAATGGCTTTGTTGATGAGTCAGCCTTTGCAGCCAATAAAGCCATTGCAGCCATTACAGCCATTACAGCCATTGCAGCCATCGCAGCCATTGCAGCCATTGCAGCCATTGCAGCCATTGCAGCCACCGCAGGCACTGCAGGCATTGCAACCATTGTGAAAGAGGTTACATGGACAGATGAGCCTTCTTTGCCAACCCCCAAGAACATGCCTCTCCAAGAGCCAATCTGCCACTTTCCCACCTTCATCGTCGGGGTACGAGTCAGCGATCTGCAGTGCCGTGTGGCCCGCCAGCGAGGCGGACGATGATGTGGCGAGCTGCTGCGCCAGCAGAGGCAGGTACTCTGCTGACGTGTCAGATGCACCTCCCCCAGGTGCTGCCTTCCGCTGTATGGTGACTGGTAGGAGCGTGGACGCTGATGCCGATGCTGATGCTAATTGTGAGGAGGAGGAGGAAGAGGGCAGCGGTGATGAGCCTGCCTTGCGCTTCTGATGAGGACAGGGAGATGAGGGGTGCATGGAGATACAAGAGAAAGACAAGTTACAAAAGCACAAGTTAGAATTCACGTCTGGCCGGACAGGCCATTCCAAGAAAGCACCATCCAAACATGTACTCTCACGAGATTGTCTGCCATTCAAACCACCTCAAAACCTCCCCCTCCCCATTCAAACTCCCCCAAACCCCCCAAACACACACACCCCCTCTGCCCCTTCTGTGCTCTCACCAGGTCCTCTGCCTCTCTCCTCGCTGCCTCCAGTTGCCCTCCAGTACCCTCACCGCCACGCCACTCCCCATCAGGCAATCCCCCAAACCCCATCAACCAACCCATCCAACTCCACACCCCTTCCCCCCACCCCTTTTTGTGCTCTCACCAGGTCGTCTGCCTCTCTCCGTGCTGCCTCCAGTTGCCCCTCCAGCGCCCTCACCCCCTTCTCAATCCCAATATCAACTCTAAATACCCCGCACCAACGACCCATTTTTCCCCCAACCCCCTTGCGCTCTCACCAGGTCGTCTGCCTCTCTCCTTGCCGCCTCCAGTTGCCCCTCCAGTGCCCTCACCGCCTCTCCTGCCGCTGCCACCTCACTGCGTAGCCTTGCCAGCTCAGCATCCTTCTCTGCCACGTCAGGAAGACCAGCGTTTGTCCCAGACTTCTGCTGCTGTGGCGCCAAAGCAACAGCTTCCTGCCACGCGGCTGCACCAGAAGTGATGCTCTCCCCCTCACCACCTGCCGCAGCATCACTACCAACACTTGCACCAGCGCCAGCACCAGTTGCAGCAGCAGCAGCATCAGCTGCCTGATCCCCAGAGAAACCAGACACAGCACCGGCCGGGACAGCAGTAAGGGCAGCAGGAGCAGGGGCACTGCCGTCTGCAATCCCTCCCAATTGAGCCTCAATCAATCTTAGTCGGTCCCACACCCCCTGCAGCTCTGCGTCCTTCTCCCTCAGCCGCTCCTCCATCTCCCGGTCCTTCTCCTCCAGTCTCATCTCTGCCTCCTGCACCACTGCCTCGGACTGTAAAAGGGGAAAGGGATGGGGGCACGCAGGGTAGCAGTAGAGGAAAGAAGGCACAAGTAAGAAGATAGAGTTTCAGTCTCGTCTCTGCTTCATGAACCCCTGCCTCCTACTGCACTTACATGAAAAGGGATGGAGTGAGAAGGAATGGAGAAACAAGGGGTAACGGAGGGTGGGGAGGGATAGAAGAGGCAGCAAATAGAAAAGCACACGCAGTGACAGGGATATTTAGCCTCGTCAAAGTCTTCTTTTGAGGCGCCTCAAAACTTTTCAGGCGACTTTTGAGGCGCCTCAAAAGTCGTCTCAGTTCACGCGGATTTTATGTGGAGAGAATTTTAACTGCTTGGAAGTGTTCTCGTAACCTACAAAGGTTACTGGTGCGTGCGCGGTTACTGAACCGATCAAGTCGTTTGAAGACTTTCCGCGAAGGCTGACACAGCACATTGGGTTTACCCCCCTGCTTAGTTGGCGATTGCTTATGAATTGCGATCTGGGTAGTTGGTGTACAATAAGCAGATCTCGAGGGCAGTAACAGGTACATAGCTAGCTGCTGTCCGAGGCGTTTCTTTCTTGTGAACCTGTAAAGCAGCACTGATGAAGGCTTAGCGGGGTTCTGTCCCGTCAGGCCGAAACTAGTTTGCGAATAAGGGTTTTTTCGAGTTTGGAGGCTTTGAGACCTTCTTGAATTTCTAGGAGCAAGTTTCACAAGTCTTGATCCTATTGCTTAAGCGTTTTCTTAAGGTTTGCTGCTACTCCCGACATTAATTTGCATCTCCACATCATTGGTTCATTGAATCGATGCAATCCACCTGCGACATTAGCCCATCTGCGCCTGCAATGGCGCAGATGGGTGCACCAACGGATCAACCCATCTCCTCCTGAGCCCACCTACCTGCGCCATTAGCCCTCTTTGCATGAATCCAACCCACCTGCTGCTGCACCTCCTTCAGCTTATCAACCATCCTCTTCACTTTCCCGACTGCTTTGCTACAAGACATCACCTCTGATCGCGCCCCTGCATGGTTTGACTCACCTGCATTTTTTGCACCCAAATAGATGAGCCCACCTGTGCTTGCACCTCCTTGAGCTTATCAACCATCATCTTCAGCTTCTCCACCGCCTTGCTCCGTGCCGCTGCCACCGACGCCACTGCCACCTCCTTCTCCCCAACCTCCCGCCTCAGCCTCTCTACCTCCCCTTCCCTCTCCCCAAGCTCACTCCTCAACTTCTCAATCTCCCCAACTTGCCCTCTCAACTCCTCCAACATCGATTCCTTCTCTCCCACCTCGTTCCTCAGCCTCTCAATCTCCCCGTCCCTCTCCCCAACCTGCCCTCTCAACTCCTCAATCATCAGCTCCTTTTCCCGCACCTCCCTTGCCAGCCTCGCCATCTCGCCTTCCTTCTCTTGCAAAGCTCGCTCCAAATCATCTACCCTCCTCTCCTTTTCGCTCCAATCCGCTTCCACCCTAGCCACCTCCTCTCCCTCCTTCCTTTCCCTCCTCTCCCTCTCCCTCTCGTTTTCCCTTCTCATCTCGTCCATCTCACCTCTCATGGCCTCAACCACTCTTTCCAACTCACCGACTCTCCTCCCCCTCTCCTCAGCTTCCTCCCTCTCACTCTCCCCTCTCCTCCTCTCTTCTTCCAATACCTCTCGCAACCGCTCTCCCTCCTCCTCAACCCCCTCCTTTTCTGCTGTTAAACGAGAAACTTCAGCCAGCAAACCAGCCCTCTCTCCTTCCAGACGCTCCTTGTCCCCTTCTAGTCTCTCCTTCTCCCCTTCCAAACGCTCCACTGCTTCCTGCAACCCGCCCTTCTCCCCTTCCAGCTGACCAACAATTCCCTGCAACCCATCCCTCTCTGCCTCCACCTCTTGAATCCGACCCCTCAGCACCGCTCCCAGCTCCTCCAAACCCCGCTTCTCTTCCTGCACCTGCCGCTCTGCTGCAACAAGAGCATCTCGTTCAACCACCCACGCATCCCTCTCTCTCTCAAGCTCCAAGAGAGCACTCCTCAGTTGAGACACCTGCTCCCTTTGCTCCTCAGACTCGTTACAAGCTCGCTCCTTCTCTGCCTCAAGCTGTTCCTTGGTCTTATTCTGTTCCTCCCTTTCCTTTTCTAGCTGCATCTGTAGCTCTGCTACTTCACCCTCCAATGTTGCCACCCTCACTTCCAACTCCTTCGCTCTCTCTCCCTCCTCCCTCACTCTCTCCGCCTCCTCTCTCACTTTCTCCTCTTTCTCCCTCACTCTCTCCTCCTGCAACCTCACTCTCTCCCCCTCTTCCTTCACTCTCTTCTCCTCCTCCCTCACTCTCTCCTCTAACTCCCCCACTCTCTCCTTCACAGCAACTGAATCCTCATCCTCCCCACTGCCTCCTGTCTCACCTTCATCCTTCCTCTCCTCACCACGACCAGCCGCTGCCAGCTCAGCACGGACACTCGCCAGCTCATCACGACCATTTGCCAGCTCAGAACGTACACTATCCAGCTCAGCTTCCGCCACTCTCCTCGCCTCCCACTCCTCATCCAAACCCCTCTGTACCTCCACCAGATTCCTATTCGCTTCCTCCTGCCTCCTCCTCTCCTCCTCCAACTCCCCCTGCAACTCCCTCACTCTCTCCTCCAGTCCCACCAAGACCCTCCCTCTCTCCTCCCTCTCTTCTCTCGCCTCCTCCACTTCCCTCCTCATCCCCTCCACATCCTTACCCCTCTCCTCAGCCACTCCCCTCCACTCCCTCACTTCCTCCCTCACTCTCTCCAGCTCCAACTCCCATCCCCTCCCCTCCTCTCCCAACCTCCCCACTTCCTCTTCCAACTCCCTCACGCGCCTCTCCCTCTCCTCCCTCCCCCTCTCTACCTCCCCTTTCTCCCCCTCCAGCTCCTCAACTCTCCGCCTCGCTACAGCAAGATCCGTTTCTACTATAGCCAACATCTCTTCCACCTCCGCTATTTTCCCATTCTTAAAGCCCTCCATCTCTTCACTCTCCCTCTTCACCTTCTCCAGTCTCTCATCTGCTTCCGCCCTCTCCCTCCCACCCTCATCCTCCAACCTATCCACCTCCCCCATCAGCCTGGCAACCTCCTCCTGAGCGCTGCTAAGAGACTTTCTTAGCTCAGCAAGTTCGTTACTTAGCTCCTCACACTCCTTCTCTCTCCCCGCAAGAGCATCTGTCACTCCTTCCATCATCGCCACTGTCTCTTTCAGCCTCTCCTCAGCCTTCCTCCTCGCCTCCTCCTCTCTCCTCCTCCCCTCCTCCTCTCTCTGCCTCGCCTCTCCCTCCTTCCTCCTCGCCTCTTCTGCCTCTCTCAACAGTTCTCTTAGCTCATCTACCTTCTCTCCTGCTGCTACACCTGCCCCTGCCTCTGCCGCTGCTCCTGCTGCCGCCCCAGCCGCTGCCACTGCTGCTGCCCCTACCCCTGTTCCTGCCCCTGTCCCTGCTTCTGCCCCTGTTCCTACCCCAATGCTCGCCCTAAGAGCGTCAATCTCAGCCCGGGCAGCAGCGAGGTCTGCCTCTAGCTTCAGCTTCTGCTGTTCGATCGCCTTGCCCTTACGCACAGCCTTGCTCAGCTTCTCCCTCACCGCTGCCACCTGCTCCTGTGCCTGCTTCAGTGACTCCCTCAACCTCTCCCCCTCCGCTGCTGCCTCTGCCGCTGCCGCTGATGCTGCCGCTGGTGCCGCCCCTGCTGCTCCTTCTCCCCCTGCTCCTGCCCCGTTCCCCTCCCCTTGCTTCAACTGAGACAACTCCGTTTCAAGGAGAGAGACTTTAGCACGAAGCCCCTCCATCTCGGCCGCGTCCCCACCATCTGAAGCCTTCGCCTCTGCTCCTTTCTCCCCTGCCCCACCCCCTCCTCCCTCTCCTCCCCTTCCTCGCCCTCCGCCCTCTCCCCCTTCCAGAAGCTGCTTCAATCGATCAACCTCGGCTCTCGCGTCTGCAGCAGCCTGGGCCTCCACCACAACCTTTTGCTTCATGCCTTCTATTCTCTCCTTCGCCTTTTTCACCAGACTCGTGTTCTTCGCCTCTGCTGCTGCCCTTGCATCTTCAGCGACCTTCAGCAATGCCCCCTTCTGCTCTACCTCCCTATTCAGCCGCTCTACCTCCTGCTCCAGTCGCTCCCTCTCCCCGTCAGCTCCTGCACTTGCACTTACCTTTAGAACCTCCTCTTTCAGCCTACTAATCTCCTCGTCACGCCCTTTCACCTCTTCCTCCAATCTTCTAGCCTCATCTCTCAACCGGCCAGCCTCCTCTTTCAACCTATCGCTCTCTCCTCTCACCCTATCATTCTCCTCACTCTTCTCCATCAACTCTCCGAGCAGAGAATCCATTTTCTCCAGAGCCGCCCTCCTCTCTTTCTCACTCTCTTCTAGCCTCTTCTCACACTCACTCACCTTTTTCTCTCCCTCCTCCACCTCCTCTCTATACCCCTCCAAAGCGGCCCTAAGCTTCTCCACCTCCTCCTCTGCTATCACACTACTCTCCCTCACTCGCTCCATCTCTCCCCCCATCTCCTCCCTAACCCTAACCACCTCCCCCTGAGCCTTCTCAAGCTCCAACCGAACCTCCTCCAGCTCCCGAACCACCTCCTCAGCCTCGGCCACCCGAGCCTGCAGCTTCTCCAGCTGCGACTCCCGCATTCCCAGAACCTTCCTCAACGCTGCCACTTCCGCCTCAGCTTCCTCCTTCACCTGATCCCTCTCTCTCTCCGCCATCTCCCGTGCAGCAGCCGCTTCCACCGCAATAGCATCCTCTGCTGCTTTCGCCTCTGCATCTTGCGACGCACGCCAGATCATCTCTCGCGCTGAAATGTCGGTTTTCAGGGATTCGAGCTCTGTCTCGCGCTGCTCTAGGGTTTCTTCCAGCTCCTCTGCTTGCTGCCGCAGGGAAGCCAGCTCCGCTTGCTTTGCCTCGAGGGCGGATTGGACTGATTGAAGCTGCTTGGTTGCTTCCTCTGCGGCTGTCTCGCTTGCAACTACCTTCGCCTGGAGGGAAGGGAGAAGAAAGTGCGGAACAAACAATTGTGATCAGCCAAGAACGAAAAGGGATATGGGGTATGGAATCAATCGTGGAGTGAGGAAAAAAAGCAAGTGGGTCACAGGAAGGAGCAGGAGAGATGGTTCTGTAGTGGATGAGCGGCACACAATAAGGGGACTGCAACACAAGAAGATGAAGCCAAGAGCATCCAATCTGCAGGGGAGGGGACTCACGAGAGTGACCACGTCCTTTCGCTCTGCAGCCTGCACCTTCTGCAGCAGCTGCTCCACCTCCCCTTCCAGCCCTTCCACCCTCCTCTGCAGCTGCCCCTTCTCCTCCTCCACCTCCACCATCTTGCTCTGCACCTGCCTCACTTCCTCCTCCAAACCCTCCACCCTCTTTTGCAGCTGCTCCTTCTCCTCTGTCAGACCCGCCACTTGCCTCCTCTCCTCCTCCCTCCCCTCCGCCACAGCCTGCAACTCACCCAGCATCTCCCCACTCCGCCTCTCCTCCTCCTCCAAACTCCCTCTCAACTCCTCCACCTTCCGCCTCTCTGCTTCCACCTCTTCCTGCACCTGCCCCACTTCCTCTTCCAATCCCGCCACCCTCTTCCGAAGCTGCTCCCTCTCCTCTCTCAACCCGGCCACTTTCCTCCTCTCCGCCTCCACCTGCTCCTGTAACTGCCCCTCACTCTCCTCCACCCTCCCCTGCTCCTCCTCCCACCTCTCCCTCTCCCCCTGCAGCCTCCCAAGCAAATCTTCCTTCTCCATCGCCCAACCCTTCGCCTTTCTCTCCCACTCGCCCCTCTCAGCCGCCCACGCGTCCCTCTCCCTCTCCCACTCACCTTTCAGCTCCAGGAACTCCCGTCCCTTTGCCACCAAAAGCCCCTCGATCTCAGCCTGCTTCTGCAGCAGCAACGCCTCTTCAGCCTTCCACTCAGCCCTCCATGCCTCACCCTCACTCTCACCACCCCTCGCCTCACTCGCCTCACTCGCCTCACTCACCTCACTCGCCTCTCTCGCCTCACTCTCTCTCCTCCTCGCCTCTTCCACTTGTAGCAACAGTTCACTCGATCTAGCCTCTTCCTCCTTCCTCCTCCTCTCAGCCTCCTCTACTCTTGCTTCAGTTTCCTTAACTCGTTCTTCAGCCTCCGTAAACCGTACTTGAGCCTCATTTGTTCTCGCTTCCATCTCCCTAAGTTCCCTCTGAAGTCCCTCCCTTTTCTCCCTCTCCTCCTGCAACAGCCTCTCACTCTCCTGCAACGCTCTCTCACCCTCCCGCACTCTCTCCTCCACCACCTCAACCCTCCCTTCCCACTCCTGCTCCCTCCCTCTCATCCCCTCCAGCTCCTGCCGAACCTCTTCCAACCGTGCCTCAGCTTCGGCAGCCGAACCTGCAAACTCCCGCTCCCGACCAGCAAACCTCTCCTCCCAACCCACAACCTCGGCTTTAAGCCCCTCCACCTGCTCCTCCCAGCCCTTAGCCTGTAAATTCATCGTATCTAGCTTTACCTGTAAATCCTCTACTCTTGCTTCCAGCTCCCTCTTTTTCTCCTCCACCTCTCCCTTCTCTCCTTCCACCTTCCTCTTAGCCTCTTCCACTTCTTCCCTCATCGCCCTCTCATCCTCTACAGCACCCACGAGCGCCTCTTTCTGTGCTTGCAAGGACTCCAGCTCTCGAGTCAGCACACTCTCCCTTTCCCTCGCGTCTGCTTCCGAGCCACCTGCCTTCTGTGCGTCCTGAACCTCCCCTCGCAGCGTCTCCACCATCTCCTCCAGCTGTCTCACTCTCTCCCTCTCCCCACTGAGACTCACCTCTAACCCTGACACCACCCCCTCCTTCTCCCCTACCTCCCCCTTCGCCGCAGCAAGTTCTGCCCGCAAAGCAGCCAGCTGCCTTTCTGTCTCTGCAATCCTTTCCTGTAAACGTTCGATTTCTTTCAGAGCATCTTCCGCCTTACTCCTCTCCTCCTCTACCCTACCCTCCCACACCCTCTCTACTTCCCTCCTCCCCTCCTCCCTCCCCTCCTCAATCCTCCTCTCCATCTCCTCCGCAACCCTTCGTTCCAGTTCCCTCTCACGCCCCTCCACCTCTCTCAACTCCTCCCCTTTCCTCGCCAACAGAGCATCTCTCTCCGCCACTTGCCCTAGAAGCTCCACAGCACGCTCCCTCCCATCCGCCACTTGCCTTCTCACCTCACCCACCTCCTCTTCCGCCACCCGCGCCCTCTCTTCCGCCTCCCTCACTCTCTCCTCCATCTCCCTAACCTTCTCCCCGCCTTCCTCAGCCATCCCTGCTGCCTTCCCCTCTGCTGCAGCAACAGCCGCTTCCAATTCCTCCACTCGCTTCCTCCCCGCCTCCAATTCACCCTCCAGTTCAACCACCCTCCGCCTCCCCTCCGCCACTTCCCCTTCCTTCGCCTCCACAGCCTTCAACGCTTCCCTCCTCCCCTCCCTCTCTCGCTCCAGCTCCTCCCTTAACCGTTCCAGCACAGCAGTCTCTTCAGCCAGTGTCCCTTTCAGCGCCTCCCGCTGCTGCACAACCTCCTTCCCCTTCCTAATTGCCACTCCCAGCTTATCCTTGGTCGCAGCAAGCTTCTCACCTGCACTCGCCGCCTCAAGCCTGGCCGCATCTGCCTCTGCTCGGAGCCTCTCCCTCTCCCTCTCTCCCTCTTCCACACGCTCTAGCAGAACCCTAGCTTCCTCCTCCTTGCCTGCCAATGCGGCTGCGGATTCCCGCAGCTGCTGCTGCCACTGCTGCTCGTCGCCCTGCAGCTTGGCTCGCAGCCTCTCCTCCTCGTCTCGGGAGCGAGCTAGCAGCTCCTGCAGCTGCACCAGCTCCTCCTCTAGCAGCTCCCGCTGCTCGCCGCTCAAGTTCACCTGGTGATGGGGAACAGGGGAGAAGAATTAGACGGGAGCAAGCAGAATGGAACTAATTCTGTTCAGGAGCCCCCTGAGATCGTTCCCAGGAACAGCGAAACACCTGGTGAGAAGGCTGGTCCAAGGTAAAGACAGGCAGATGAAGGAAGGAAGGAAGGCACGAAACTATAACAATGGAAGTCACCAGGATTCTGGCCATCAACACGCAAATCACCAACAGCAATATCACCAAGGTGCAACCTAGTAAACCTATCCCTGACTCTCGACTCATACACAGACCCACCTTTTCCCTGACTCCCCATCTCCCGCACTCACCCTTCTCTCTACATCCCTAGAACCCTCGGCCCTGCCCCCAGTTTCCAGGGCCGCTGCAATGTCACTCTTCCTCCGCCTCTGCACCTGCTCCCTTAGCCTCTCCAGCTCTTCTTCAAGCCCCACCCTCTCTTCCCTCATCCTCTCACTCTCCTCCCTCACTCTTTCACTCTCCTCCCTGAGTCTGTGCGTCTCCTCTCTCAAACCCTGCGTCTCCTTGGCCTGCTTCCCCCTCTCCTCCTGCAAAGCTGCTACAGTCTCCATCATCGTCTCATACTGCCCCCGCACCACTGCCAACTCCTCCCCAACCCTCACGTTCCGCTCCCGCTCCCCCTCTATAACCACCTCCTTCTCAAGTAACTGATCCGCTAACCTCCCCTTCTCCTCCTCCAACCCCTTCCACCGAGCCATGGCAGATGCCACCTGCCGTTTCAGCTGCTCCGCTGCTGCTTCCATTTCCGCCTGCATTTTCGCCAGCCGTTCTGTCTCCGCCTTCTTCTCTGCCTGCACCTGTGCTGCGACCCTCTCCATCACCTCCTCCCTGTCCCTTTCCAGGAACACCAGCCGCTCCTCCTTCTCCTTAAGTAACTCTTTCAGCTCAGCAACCTCCGCCCCGTGCCGCTCTATCAAATCAACAAATCTGGCATCAGCGCTTCTAGACTTCCTCCCCATATCCCCACCAACGCCACCAGCAGCACCATACGCCGCAGCCTTAGATACAGCCTCCCCCGGATCCAGTCCAACCAGGCTCTTCAGTGTCGCCAGCTCCCTTTCCAAAGCATGAACTCTACTCGCCTTCTTCCTGAGCTCTTCTCTCAACAAAACCTCCCCTCCACTGGTACTCCTCCACATCCCACTCAACCCAGCACCACCGCCGCCAGCACCACCACCACCAAAACCAGCAGCGCCCGAACTAGCAGCGCCGCCAGCACCAGCGAAACCAGCGGCGCCTCTCTCCCTCTCCTCCATCAAGACAGACAGCCTTCTCTTCAGCTCCACCACCTTCAGCTCCAGCCGCTCCACATACTTCTCCCTCGTGGTGGTTACCACCGACCCTCGCTCCGTCAGCGACCCATCATCACTCCCCGTCTCAAGGGAGAACCGCCTCACGCCAGCAGCGAATATGCTGTCCAGAGCACCGCTAGCAGACCAAGGGACGGAGGAGGAGAGGGAGGAGGCGGAGGGGCTACGAGAAAGAGGGGCGGTTGTGGGCCGAGTGGAGTGACTGGGAGAGCCTGCGTCATGCTCTCTCTCACGAGAAACATGTGTCTCATGCGGCTTTGCTGTGGCTGGTCTCCGCAACTCCTCTGCTCCTCCCTGCCCTCGTGCTCCCGCCCCTGAATCTCTCTGCCTCCCTGCTCCCTCTCCGTCTGCTCTCTGCTCTCCTTGCGCTTCCTGCCCTCGTGCGCCCTGCCCTTCAGCTCCCGAGCCCTGCCATGCGAGTTGGAGTGGAGCATTGGCAGGGTGGTTGGCAGAGGCGGGTTGTCAGTTGTCAGGCAGGCCTCTCAGAAGCAGCTGCCTGGGCTTTCCATCTTCAAAAGCGCAACCTCCCTTCTCAACATCTCCCTTTCCTCCTCTTTCCTTCTCTACCACCATCCCTCCATCCTCGATCCCTGGGTATTTGGGCCCTCCTAGACTTTACCTGGCTTCATCACTCTACCATTGCCTACCGGTAAGACCTACAGCACATGCCATTCCCACAACAAACCCTAATCCCTCGTAATCAACCTCATTGTACTGCCAAGCAACAAGGAACTCACCTTATTCAGAATGCCCTGGGCGATGGTGCGGAACTCCCGAGGCCCAGCAGCGAACGGCCGCAGCACAAAGCCCCCCGAGGAGGAATCCGAGCCGTAGCTGGTGGCACTGGACGGCGTGTTGCCGCCTGTGGGCGTCATGAAATCGCCGTCCCCGCCGCCGCTGCTGCTGCTAATCGTCCTCCCCACGGCCGTTCCCACTGAATCTGCGGATTCTGCTGTCATTGTCGTCGCTGCTGTCGCTGCAGAGGCTGACGACTCGCCCGTGGATTCTCTAGGCTGGCTCTGGAGCGAATCCCGGGGTTGGATTGGCATGGGTTTTCTTGGTTGGACCGTGGTGGAGCCTCGAGGTTGGATCTGCACGCTCAGGCCCAGCTGGGGGAGGTCGCTTGTGCTGCTTGAAGCCTGGCCTTGGGATTGCCGTGCTGCGCTCTGATTGGATGAGCCCTGTGGAGTCGTCGGAGCCGTTGATGGCATCTTGGCCTGCGAGATGGACGGCGGGAGAGAGGAGTAAGGAGGACGCCGTTCAAGCTAGCTTGTCAAGAGGGAAGACTGTCGCTTCCCGAGCAGCAAGAACGTACACGATTTGATTAAAATTTTTGGAAAGCCAGCTAAGTGGTAAGGCGAAAAAGGTCAGCAGAAATGTGGACGAGGATGTCAAACGATCAACCAGTAGAAGAGTAATCTGGACGCGACAAATTGTTCAAATCGTCCGGGAATAGATAGGAAAGAGAAGGATCTAGAAACCATCGCGAGCACCTTGTCTTGCTGTCCTCCTTTAGAGCTTCCTCCCGATTTCGCTTGTTGCTTCTTCCGATACTCCTCGAGCTGCTCGTACGATATCAATGGCAAGCACAGTTCGATGTAAATGCACGAACAATAAATCAATTCCGTAAGGTTTCAGGAAGCATTTAGATACGGCGCAACGGAAGCACTGGGAACTGATGTAAGAACGAGCTTTGAAGCAGTGTGATTCCGAGAGGCTCATTACCCGCTTCTTCCCGGCGGTCATGAGCTCCCTCCGATCCATCCTTAGCCGACCACCATGTCACACCATCGCACCGTAAAAATCGGTGAAATTTGACTGACAGGGACGAAAATTTGCACAGCGACGTGCACTATCCAGTCAGGTTTGACGAATTCAAGTACCACAGAAGCTGCTCGTTTCCTCAGACATAACGTAGCATGCAACAGCGGTAACAAGCCTGATACTGATCTGATGCTTTCACTCAGGATACAACCTACTTGAAAGCACCTGGATTCTCCCCGAAAAACATAGGCTAGCAGCACAAGCGATTACTTGGTTCCTGTTTCTCGAGATTGGTTTCTGGGCATCTCAGTAGGTGCAGCCAGCGAAACGGGAGATCTCGTCTGGTTACGCCCGAAAGTGGACGAGAAAAATGTATAGCACTCGCGGAAAAATGTTCACCAGGTAAAAATGAACTGCGAAGCGAATGTGGTGACCGCAACGAATGGCGAGAATGCTGCGACGTCTCCTGCCAGTATGGATGAGAGCTTTCGCGCCTCTAGTTGTCAGATCCACCAGCCGAATCCATTCCATCTCCAAGGTGTACAGTAGAAACTGATTTGCATAAAACATGGTTGCGTTTTGCGGTGTACGCTTGGTGGAGTCTGAAAGTGTTATATTTTTCAAATCCTCCCAGCTTCAATCAAGTCTGAATTGGCAGCTACATTGCAAATTCGACCCACACTCTGCAAAAACACGGGGAAATGGCGAACGCTGAAGGGCCTCCAGACGAGGCGATGCGTGGCTCCGCGTCGTCTCAACAGGCTGCGAAACTTCCGCGAAGCATTCTGCTGGAAATATTCCAACGGCTTCCAGCTGAAGGGCCTGGCGGAATAATCTGCGCCATGCTCACGTGCAGGTGCGCTCCCCCCACTTGTGGATTATCCCCCACATGTTCCCCGTAGGCGCAGAATATTTTCCATTACCCTCCGCTTCCGCCTCTCGTCCGCGGCTTGCCCCCACTTGCTCCCACTCCGAGGCCCCTTGCGCAATTCCCCCCACCTGCCCCCGATTCCCCCTTGCGCCTCTGCATTGTCTTCCCCGCCTTCCGCCGATTCCTCCTTCCGCAGGGACTGGCGGGATGCGGTGGTCGCGGAGGAGCGAGATGCGGGGGGCGCAGGGGGGGAGGCGTTTTGGCGGAAGGTGTTTGAACGGACGTTTGGGGAAAGGGCTGCCCACTGGAGCAGGGCGGAACAACCGCGCACGGAGGGGGAGGTGGAAGGGGAAGGGGGAGGGGGAAGGGGAGGGGGAGGCGGAGGTGGAGGGGGGGAGGGAAGGGGAGTGAGGGAGAGTGGTGTTTGGAAGAGGAGGTATAGAGAGAGAATGGAGGTGGGGAGGAAATGGAAAGAGGGGAAGTGCGACGTTTGGGGGATTCATGCAGCAGCAACACCAGCAGCAGCAGCAGCAGCAGCAGCAATAGCAGCAGCAGCAGAAGGAGAAGAAGCTATCAGCATCACAGTAATGAAGGTGGACGACACGCTTCTCCTCCTGGGCACCTCTCACGGCCACCTGCAGGTGTGGCATCTCCCCTCCCACTCCCTCCTCGCCTCCCTCCACCACCCGATACCCCTCCCCCTCACCTCCCTCACTCTCTCTGAGAGCCTAGGGGACCCCCCAGAAGGACCCATTTCTTGTTCTTCCGGTGTTTGTAACGAGCACGGCCAGTGTGCTTGTAACGAGGGCAACCGGTGTGCTTGTAACGAGGATGGGTGGAGGCTGGTTGCGAGTGCAGCAGAGGACGGGTCGGTGTGCGTGTGGAGCCTGCCCAGGTGGCCCAGGGCCGGGAGGGGGGGTAGCCCATCACTTCAAGTGGGAAGCACTTCCGGGTGCCGGGGGTTCGGAGGGACGTGTGTTGCTGTTGTTCCTGCTTCATCCGCCTGCTGCTCGCTCTGGTTTGTGGAGGGGAGGATGGGAGAGCAGCAGCTGTGGGAGGACCTGGAGAGAGTGGGAAGGGGCGAGGGGTGTACAGAGGGAGGAGAGGTGGGAGGGGAGGGCGAGGAGGAAGAGGGGGAGCAGGTGGGGTGGAGGCCAAGGAGGGGCAACAGAGGGCCACGGGAGTGGTGGGAGGGTGGGGTTGTTACAGAGCCTCGCCCGTGCAGGGGAGTGATGGCATGCCCCCGCCCGCGGTATTTGCTGGTGGAGGGGCGGAGTGGGGGCACAGGCATTGGCGCGTATAGCATGCGCCTGTGGGACTTTGGCTCTGCTGGTTGTTCGTCTGTACCTAGTCAGCAGAATTCAATGCAGTCAACGCAGTCAACTCAGTCAAAGCAGTCACCGGCACACGCCCCAGCACATGCCAGGCTGCAGTGTGTGTACTATAAGGCGTTAGCCTTTGATCCGTGGACTGGGGTGATAGCTGCATCCATGCCTCACTCTCACCCCCCCATGGCATCAATCGCCTCTGCTAGTGACGCGACCTCCATAGTTACTGGAACCATTCCTGTGTGGGCTTCTGAGGCTGCTGCTGCTGCTGCTGCTGCTGCCTCCAGTGGAGCAACCAGGGAGGCTGCTGCTGCTACTGGTGCTGCTGCAAACGAATTTCTTTCAGCAGAAGCTGGTTTGTTGCATGAGGCTGAGGCTGAGGGGGCATCTCGCATGGGAGGAGAATGTCCTCGCCATTGCATCATTCGTTTGCAGCACCTTCTCTCCAGTCACACTCTACTAGACATTCACCCCCGTTTAGAGAACTCTGATACTCTCACAGATGTCGCTTTCAGCCACTCGGAGCGGTACAGCTGGCGGCTTCTGATTGGCTCTAATCATGGGGAAATCCGGGTTTACAACTTAGAGAGAGGAAGGAAAGGGCCGGCAGGGAGTGGAGACAAAGGTGGAAGAGAAAGAGAAGGTGGAAGGAGGGAAGGAGTTGCAGGACAGGGAGGAGGAGGAGAAAGTGGAGGATTGAAGGGAAGAGGAGGAAGAGGGGTGAAGAGAAGAGGAGGGAGCGTCCGAGAGGCGTCGATTTCATTAACCATCAGCGAATGGGAGCAGATGTTGGAATTCTCCCTTAACGAGCGGATCTTTTGTGTCACTGTATGTGCCTACTGTACTCTATGTTCCTATCGCTCAAATATAATGTTCATATCTACTATTCTAAGCATTGTTACTGTCCACGTACAATGTAACAATGTTCATATCCTGTTTTCTGCACCCCCCTCTCTCTCGCCTCCCCCACTCTCACCACCCCGCAGGCCGCAAACGATGGCGTGCGGCCTTCTGTATAACTTAAGATGTTCATTTTCACCGTTCATAGAAACAATACAATCGCTCCCCCACTCGTACCTCCCTGCAGATGGTAGGCGATGGCGTGCAGTGGGGTGTCTTCGCTCGCCTGTGGGACGTCGATGCCTCTGCTGTCCCCGCCCTCCTCCCCCAGGTGCGCCCTCCTCCCCCAGGTGCGCCCTCCTCCCCCAGGTGCGCCCTCCTCCCCCAGGTGCGCCCTCCTCCCCCAGGTGCGCCCTCCTCCCCCAGGTGCGCCCTCCTCCCCCAGGTGCGCCCTCCTCCCCCAGGTGCGCCCTCCTCCCCCAGGTGCGCCCTCCTCCCCCAGGTGCGCCCTCCTCCCCCAGGTGCGCCCTCCTCCCCCAGGTGCGCCCTCCTCCCCCAGGTGCGCCCTCCTCCCCCAGGTGCGCCCTCCTCCCCCAGGTGCGCCCTCCTCCCCCAGGTGCGCCCTCCTCCCCCAGGTGCGCCCTCCTCCCCCAGGTGCGCCCTCCTCCCCCAGGTGCGCCCTCCTCCCCCAGGTGCGCCCTCCTCCCCCAGGTGCGCCCTCCTCCCCCAGGTGCGCCCTCCTCCCCCAGGTGCGCCCTCCTCCCCCAGGTGCGCCCTCCTCCCCCAGGTGCGCCCTCCTCCCCCAGGTGCGCCCTCCTCCCCCAGGTGCGCCCTCCTCCCCCAGGTGCGCCCTCCTCCCCCAGGTGCGCCCTCCTCCCCCAGGTGCGCCCTCCTCCCCCAGGTGCGCCCTCCTCCCCCAGGTGCGCCCTCCTCCCCCAGGTGCGCCCTCCTCCCCCAGGTGCGCCCTCCTCCCCCAGGTGCGCCCTCAATAACTACGTTGTTCCCTTATTCTCCCCAGGCCCATCCCCCATGCACGGAGATTCTCCATCTGGATTTTTGAGAATTCTCAAAAGTGATTTCAAGACTCCCAGCAGCCCTGCATCGCCCCCCTACTCTGCCACTGCTGTCGTGCTGCGAGCTGATGGTGTCATTGATCTCTTCCTTCCCAACTTCCTTCCCCTTCGCTCCCACGTCGTTCCCCTTACCCTGTCCAGAGCCACCCTCCATTCACCGAGATACTCCACCTGGACGCGCAGCAGCCCTGCATCGCCCCCTACTCTGCCACCGCTGTTGTGCTGCGAGCTGATGGCGCCATTGCCCTCTGGACCAGCACGCAGTGGCCTGACCGCGTGGCTACGTCTCCCCTGGTGCGCACCGACGGGGTCACGGCTCTCTTTACCGCCACCCACTGTCCTGACCCCCCGGTTACGTCTCCCGGCGGTACATCTGACACAGTTTCATCTGGTGCAGTTTCGTCTGAAACGCAAGCCCGCACTGGTGCGGCTGCACGTACGGCACAGCAGGTTTACGAGAGTTTATTTAGTCTGCCTCGCCTCCCTCTCGGGCAACTTAGATCAGCTGCCTCTGCTTCTGCCACTGCTACTCCTGCTGCTGCTGCCGCCACCACCGCAGCCGCCGCTGGTGCTGCTGCTGTTGCTTCCACTGGTGATGGTGATGACACTGATGGCATGGATGGTGATGTGAATAGAGGTGACAATAACGGTGAGGACAGTAGCGAGATGGTGATAGCAGACAGCAACTGGAGATGGCTGGTGGTGGTGAGGGGAGCTACAGCTCAGGTGTATGATTTCCTGATCAACTGATTTGCTGTTGCTAGTTACTTGTACAATATATTATCTCAGCTTCTTATCTGCTCTGCGTCATCATTCATATGGTATTGCCGGGCTATTGCAAGTTTCTCTTACAAAGCTACAGTATGATTTGTTACAATCGTTGACATCAAAACTCTTACATGCTACTGTACATACTGATAGCTAAGCTAGTGTAACAGCCAGGGCACTGTTACAAACTGTCTTATTTTGCAAGTGGTTTATTGTGAATCGCTAATCCAAGCAGAAAGTGGTGTAGCCGCATGTCCTATTATCTGAAGCAACACTTCCAGTGGAAGAAACCACAGGTACCTGTGGCACCCAGATAAATGAGGGTAATTGGAAACAGGGAGACCACGAGTACACAAAAAACTGGAAATTTGCACCCACGGGAAATCATATACGTAAAGGAAGCAACACTTCCAATGCACACACCCACAGGAAGCACCTGTCCCCTCAATATGATCAAGGATAAACATTTTGAAACTGGAAACTGGGGAAAGCACAAACAGCGACCAACTTGAGTCAACTCGAAACTTGGTATATCATATCTGAAGCAACACTCACCTGTTGTCAGGCTGCGTCTGGTTGCAGCGGCTGTCAGTAGCATAGTGCCCCAACAGCAAGAGCCGTACCACCTCCTGCGGTCCAGGTTGGTTGACAAGGAGTGCGGATTGGTGGAAAGGTGCGCAGATGGGTGGTGAGGTGTGCGCAAGGATGAATGAATACAGCAAGGGGTTTTGATGGACAAATGATATGCGGGGACTAACGTATGAATCTGAAGCAACCGAGAGAGGAATACATGCATGGGCACACATGGTCACACATGGTCAGACATGGTCAGACATGGTCAGGCATGGTCACACATGGTCACACATGGTCACACATGGTCACACATGGTCACACATGGTCACACATGGTCACACATGGTCACACATGGTCACACATGGTCACACATGGTCACACATGGTCACACATGGTCACACATGGTCACACATGGTCACACATGGTCACACATGGTCACACATGGTCACACATGGTCACACATGGTCACACATGGTCACACATGGTCACACATGGTCACACATGGTCACACATGGTCACACATGGTCACACCCGGTCACACCCGGTCACACCTGGTCACACCTGGTCACACCTGGTCACACCCGATCACACATGGTCACACATGGTCAGGGCATCCATTCGAGCAAAAAAAAAACACAAAGACAGAAAGAGAGAGATATTTTGCAAGACAGGCACACCGTCATCCTGAAACGCTGAACAACACGAGCAACGATGAGACATCTCGAGGCACGGAACGGAACTGCACTGCACTGCACTCACCTTGAAACGCTTGGGATAGAGGCGGTGAGAGGTGGGTGACCAGGCGCCCATGCGAGGATACTGCAGTGAGTGAGTCCATGGAGGGAGGGGAGGGGGGGTGTGTAAAGGAAGAGAGGAAGATTCGGTCAGAAAAACGATTCACAAGGCGGTGAGAGGCGGATGACCAGGCTCTCATGCGGGGATACTGCAGCAAAGGGGTTCCATGGCGTGGTGGGGGGGATGGGGGGTTTGTGTGTGAAGGTAGAAAGAGATGGATCTATTGAAATCGCTTTTGAGACCACTCCGCTAGCTGCGGCTCGAATCCAAATCTTCTTGGGGATGGGGAGTTGTGTGTAAAGGTAGAGAGAGTGTATGTTTTTTTAGAATTCTCAGAATACATATACGGCTCGAATCCAAATCTTCTTGGGGATGGGGGGGGTTGTGTGTAAAGGTAGAGAGCGATGGATCTTTACTTGTTGAACCGGGACAGCACGGCGCTTCACAAGGTAGTGAAAAGGAACTTTACTTATGAGATCTCTCATCCAGAAGGCACCTTCTCTTTGCTGGGCGTCCTCTCACCCGGAAGACAGTGGTTTCAGTCCCGGGTGGTGGTAAGCTGCGAGCCCCACCACCTCGCTGACAGGCGGCTGGTTGCATTCCTCAGTGCATCGAAAACATGCCGACTCAAGGCATCCCACCAACGCACGCTCACTCTCACCTGGAACACGGTGGTTTCGGTAGAGACAAGTACTCCAGGGTGATGGTAAGCTGCTAGCCCCACCACCTCACTGACAGGCGGCTGGTTGCGGCGCTGCAACAGCTGCTCCAGCTGCTGCAGCTGGCGCCTCAGCTGGACCTGTGCTGCGTCCACCATGCCCCCCACCACTCCCCCCACTGTCACACGAGCAGACACAACAGCCCCTGCAGCACGACCAGCACCATCGGCAGCGCGCGCAACACCCGCAGCAGCGGAAACAGCCCCAGCGACGGCGGCCGCAGCATCAGCAGCGGCGGCAGCAGCACCAGCAGCAGCACGAGTGCCACCAGCAGCAGGAGCAGCACCAGCACCAGCAGCAGCAGCAGCAGCACCAGCACCAGCAGCAGCAGCAGCACCAGCAGCAGCGGCAGTAGCCGCATCAGCAGCATCGGCAGCACGAGCAGCAGCAGCAGCAGCAGCAGCATCTGGCCCAGCGGTGGTGGGAAGACCCCCTAGCGCCACGACCCAGCGGCCATCCTCCCTTGCTTCCTCCCTCTGCTCCCTCTGCTGCTCTGCTTCTGATGAGGGTTCGCGGTGCTGCATACGAGAGACACAATGAGAGAGGCGGGAGAAGGAGAGAGGTGTGAAGGTGAGAGACAAAAGAGGACAAAGAGGAGGAGGAGAGGGGAGGAGAGACTGGAGGAAGGGAAGGGCGGGGAGAGAAAGGGAGAGGTAAGAAAGGAGGAGGAGGGGAAAGAGGGTGCTCACTACTTGTGATGAGGCGATTTTTTGTTCGACTAGAAAATCGCATCCTCACACGAGGAGAAAGAGGTAACGAGGAAGAGAGCGACAGGAGGAGGAGAAAAAGGGTGCCCACCACTTGAATCTGCTGCCTGGCATGGGGTGCTCGCACGTCCACAGCGTGCACCGCACTGCACCGCTCTACAACCAGCAGGAGGTGCGGGTTGAAACAGTCAAACTGCAGGGCAAGGGGGGGTGACTGGAAGGCCTGCTCCAGCTTCACCAGGGGGGTCATCTGCACCGCTGGCACTGCTGCTGTTGCTGCTGGCGCTGCTGATCCTGCTGATGCAGTTGCTGATGGTAACTCCTGTGCTGCTGCTGCTGCTGCTCTGGTAAATGGCCGTGCTTTCGATGGTTGGGAGGCGCGAGACACGCCCCACACGTACACGGCTTGTAGCGAGTCGCTGGAGACTGCTAGTAACGAGGATGAGGGGTTCCAGGCCAGGTACTGACAAGGGAGAAACGAAGCGTTCAAATGGTGGGTCGGGAGGAGAGAGAGAGAGCGAGTGAGTGAGCGGGTGAGAATGCATTCATACACTAGGTGCAAAAAAAGAAAAACGAAAAACATGGATATGATTTTTATGAGTGTACTCGTTATAAGCTGACCTGGCATCCGTGAGTGGCGCCCCTGTTCCTCCTAGAGGCCACTGGAATCCGGCTGCTGGCCATGCCACTCACTCTGAACTCAGATGCTCGGTCCAGCACACACACCTGGGAGGGGGAGAGGGAAGTTCTCGTAAGGTTTCAAGAGGTTTCGAGGGGTTCCAGAAGGTTTCAGGAGGCTCTTGCAGTGCCCCTGGTCGTCCTATTCCTAGAGGCCACTGGAATCCGTCTGCTGGCCATGCCACCCACTCTGAACCCGGGTGCTCGGTCCAGCACTCACACCTGCAGAAAGGGGGGAAAGGGGTCAGAGAGATGAGAGACAAGCATAGGAGTCTCATGAGGTTTTTCGGGTGTCTCACAAATGGCTATTCCAACAGCAGGAGAGGAGGGAAGGGGCACTTACAGCAGCAAGATCCCCGACAATTGCGATCCACTCCCCGTTTGACTTTTGAGAATTCTCAAAGTCGATTCACTCCCTGTTCGAAGAGACAAGGACGAAGTTGAGCGGCATGGGAAAGGGACATAATGTTGCTCTCTAGGTGCCTCAAGAAAGGGAGGGGTGAGGGCACTTACAGCAGCAAGGTCCCCGACAGCAGCGATCCACTCCCCGTTAGGCGAGACAAGGGCGAAGTTGAGCGGCATGGGGAAGGGACGTTACGGCACTTGTTTCTAGGCGCTTCCAAAGAGGGAGGGGGACGGAGGGGCACTCACAGCAGCAAGGTCCCCGACAGCAGCGATCCTCTCCCCGTTAGGCGAGACAAGGGCGAAGTTGAGCGGCATGGGGAAGGGACGTTACGGCACTTGTTTCTAGGCGCTTCCAAAGAGGGAGGGGGACGGAGGGGCACTCACAGCAGCAAGGTCCCCAACGACGGCCATCCACTTCCCGTTAGGCGAGACAAGGGCGAAGTTGAGTGGCATGGGGAAGGGACCGATGGCGTTCACGAGGCGAGCAGACGTGCGCACCAAGCTACCACCTGGGGCTGACCTAATGGTCACTGGGGCTGATGTGCTGGTTGGGAGGTATGGTGAGGGGTTGGGACGGTTTGGGAGGGATGTGCAGGCAAACAGGGGAATGATTTGGCAAGGACAAGGGACCATGGTGGGCGTTGACAAGGTGAGAAGAGGTGCGCAGCAACTCACTAACTGGTGCTGACCAGCTGGTCCCCGGGGCCGATGTGCTGGGGGGTGGTTGGAAAGGATTAGGAGTGGTTAAACCATCTATTAATAAATGGTTAAAGTAAGTAGCATCTTCAAAGGAATGATAGGTTTTTTACCATACATGCAATGAATGGTAAAAAACCTATCATTCCTTTGAAGATGCTACTTACTTTAACCATTTATTAATATCCTACCTACTAGGTCCACTCCTAATCTTAGCATCACATAAACTGACACCCTCAAACAGGCACAACAGTATGAACTAGAAAGGTATGTTGTAAAGCATATACTTCCAATGACTTAAAGCCAGCTACCCGTTCTTCTTGATACCATCGTTGAAGGTGGTGCTCCTGCTGACACCATGGAGAAAAGGAGAAAAGGGCCCACTCAAACCATGCTTACTCACCACCTGTCTTCTCCCCGCTCACACCATGCCTACCCACTGCCTGTCTCCCCACTCACTGCCTGTCTCCCCACTCACTGCCTGTCTCCCCACTCACTGCCTGTCTCCCCACTCACTGCCTATCCACAGTAACTCACAGCATAACCACCTCACTGCCTGCCTGTCTCCCCACTCACTACTGCCTGTACTCACGGCATGTCAACAGTGGTGAGGTCTCTCAGGTTGAGCTTCACATTCGGAGGCACCGACCCCGCAGGGTAGTGTGCCGGCACTGCTGCTGCCGCTGCTGCTGACGCCACCGCGGCAGCCGTGGCTGAAGCTGCTCTGCCTTCACTCCCCTCCGCACCCATGTTCAAATCCAGCCCTGCACTGCCCCCACCATAAGCCGTGGCAGCGGCTGTAGCAGCAGCAGCGGAGGTGGTAGCAGCTGTAGCAACAGGACCTGCATCATCACCAGCAGAAACCTCACGCCTCGTTCCTTCCCCTGCATCCTTCCTAGGCTCGCCGCTCTCCGAACCTTCTTGGGAGGTTCGGCACCGAGCCTCCAGGGCCATCTGCTGAGCGTCTTCCAAACTTTGAGCGCCAAACACCCAATCAGATCGCCCCACTTGGCGTGCTGTGGCTGGCTGGAAGGGTGGTGGCAGCGTGAAGAGGTAGAGGTAGCCGTTCTGATGGGCCAGTAGCATGCGCACCTGTTGAGGGGGGGACGGGGGAGGAGGGAAGTGGGGAGGGAAGAGCGGTAGTCAGTAAAGGTAGGGAGCAGCGTGAAGGTAGAGATAGGCGTTCTGATGGGCCACCAGCATGCGCACCTGATAGGGAGGCGGACGGAGGGAAGGTTAACGGTGGGAGGTTGGGGTGAGGGGTTAATTAGAAAGGGTAGGTAGTTGCGTGAAGAGGTAGAGGTAGCCATCCTGATAAGCCACCAGCATGCGCACCTGTTGATTACTCAGCCACGGAAGGGACCACAGGGGACGTGGGGAGGGGAAGAGAAGAAGGAAGGGTAGAGATCAGATCAGCATGAAGCGGTAGAGGTAGACATTCTCACGCTAACAGCGCACCTGTTGATTACTCAGCCACGGGAGGGACAGGGAGGGGGACGTCGGGGCAGCATGAATGGTTCAGAAAGGCTAGTGGCAGTGTGAAGAGGAGCCAATCAGATTGCTCTCAAACCCCCCCACCATCCCTGCCCTTGCATCCCTCCCACCAGCCCCCTCTCTTATGTTTCCCCCAGCCCCGAAATTCCCCAACCACCCAAACCCACGCACCCAGTTACCAACGGTGCCGAACCGCACTGAGTTGCACATAGAAGACCCGATCAGACTGCTCTCGAACCCCCCCACCATCCCTGCCGCCTCAAACCACACTCTCTCCTCCTCTTCCTCTGCCGCTGCTGCCCCTGCTGCGCCCTTGCCCCTGCTCTGCAGCTGCTGTGGTTGGTAGTGGTGGTGATGGTGGTGGGCGGGGTGGGATGCGGTAGTGAGCTCTGGAGCGCCGTCCTTGGTCCAACCAGCTGGGGGGGGAAGAAGGGGGGAGGGATAGAGGGAGGGAGGAAATGAGGGGGGGAGGGATGGATGGATGGATGGAGGGAGGGAGGGACGGCGGGAGGGAGGGAGAATGAATTGCACCAGTAAATACCGCTTGGTGGGCAGCAAACGAGGTAGGTAGTGGCAGACCGTCGCATAATGACCCGTGATTATGTCGCATAATGACCCGTGATTATGTCGCATAATGACCCGTGATTATGTCGCATAACGACCCGTGATTATGTCGCATAATGACCCGTGATTATGTCGCATAATGACCCGTGATTATGTCGCATAATGACCCGTGATTATGTCGCATAACGACCCGTGATTATGTCGCATAACGACCCGTGATTATGTCGCATAATGACCCGTGATTATGTCGCATAATGACCCGTGATTATGTCGCATAATGACCCGTGATTATGTCGAATAACGACCCGTGATTATGTCGCATAACGACCCGTGATTATGTCGCATAATGACCCGTGATTATGTCGCATAATGACCCGTGATTATGTCGCATTTACGAGAGCACACAAAACCCACCTGTTCTTTTCACAAGCTCTCTGCGGATAAGGTAGAGACAGACAGTGCCATAACACCCCGCGACAACGACGCCTCCGAATCTATCAACGCTGTAAGGCTCCGAGGGCAGCAACATCACCGCCACTACCCGGTACATGATGAGGGGGGAGAACGGAACACATACCTGTCTTTTTGACAAGCTCCCTGCGAATGAGGTAGAGGCACACCGTGCCATAGCAACCCGCCACGACCACGTCTCCAAATCTGTCAACACTGTAGGGCTCCGAGGGCAGTGACGTGATGGCCACCACCTCCCGCCGTGCCGTGCTGTAGAGCGTCACTATGCGCTGCACCGTGCATATCACCTCTTGCGAGAACGGTGGGGGCGGTGATGGGCCGGCGGAGGAGGATGAAGGGGAGGAGTGGGAGTGTGGTGGTGGTGAGAGGGGAGGAGGTTGTTGCGGGAATGATGCTGATGCTGATGCTGGTGCTGGTGCTGCATCGACCCGGGCAAAACTTTGTGCGGCATACGTGGAGGCGACAGGGCCGGGCCCTGCCACGAGAGTATCGCAGCACCTGGCGCGGAGAGGCACGGCAGGCAGGGGTGATGGGGAAACGGAGGCGTGTGAAGGCGGGTGAAGAGGTTGAGAAGGGTAGCAATGGCACATGCGGAGGCTACAGGGCCGGGCCCGGCTACCAGAGTATTGCAAAACCTGGAGCAGAGAGGCACAGCAGGCAGGGGTGATGGGGAAACGGAAGTGGGTGAAGGGATTTAGAAGGAAAGCAACGGCATAAGTGGTGGCTGCAGGGCCCCACGACCTGCCACTAACTGGCCTTTCAGGGGTCTATTGCTTATTTCAGGGACTTTCAGGGCCTTTCAGGTGTCTATTGCTTATTTCAGGGGCTTTTCAGTGTCTAGTCAGGACTGCTTCTAGTCAGGGGCTAACTGCGACTTTTGGGGCGCCTCAAAAGTCATTTCAGGGGCTTTTCAGTGTCTAAGTGGCAGACTGCTTCTAGTCAGGGGCTTACTGCGACGCCAAGGTCAAGGTCAAGGTCTAGGGTCAGGAAATTACTATCGCTAGTCACGGTCAGGGGCTTCCTGGTGGAGAGGGGCTTCCTGGTGGAGAGGGGCTTCCTGGTGGTGGCACACGCCCGAGGGCAGGCGGTATGTGGAGCAGGCATTATCCACCAGGTACACAAAATCAGGGGCTTAGTGGTAGAGGCGAGCTTACTGGTGGTGGCACACCCCTGAGGGCAGGCGGTATGTGGAGCAGGCGTTATCCACGAGGTACTTGGCCTCCTCGTGCACCTCCGCGCCTTTCACCGCGCTCCAGTCGTCTAACGGGGCTGCTGCTATCGCGGACGCGACCCTCAGGACCGATCTCCTCCGCTCGTTATAGTGCGGGTCTTCGACCTCGTTATAATCCTCCTCGCTATCATTGTCCGAATCATCATCTTCATCATCGTCGTCATCTGTATAGTCGTCATACATATCCCCCTCGTCAGTCATAACAATCTCCCCATCCTCCGCCATCTCCGCATCCCTCGCAGCCCTCGCTTCCATCGCCTCCATATCCCCGTTATTGGCCTCCTCGTCCTCCTCCTCACTGTCGTCGCCACTATCGCCATGGTCGTCCAACGACAAGTCATTATCGTCCTCATTCACGGGGTTCACGGGGTTAACGGGGTTCGCGGCACGGTAGATCATGTTCACCAGCTCCTGTGTCGATAGAGCACCACCTTCCGCAACCGCCGCTAGCGCCTCTCCAACCGCCTCCCGCACCTCCCGCGTCGCCTCTCGCGCCTCTCGTAACTCTCGAGCCAACACTCGCGCCTCTCGTATTTCTCGCCCCAAATCTCGCGCCTCTCGCGTCGCCTCTCGCGCCGCCTCTCGCGCCAATTCTCGCGCCTCTCGCACCGCCTCTCGCTCCAACTCTCGCTCCTCTCCCGCCACCTCTCGCGCCTCTTCCGCCTCTCCCCGGCCCCTTGCGGCTCCCCCATCGTCCGGTTCGGTCGATTCCGCCAATTCCATTTCGCTATCTTCGCCAAGCCTTTCGGCGACACCTGCTGACGGATCTGTGCGGTCTTCCCGCCTTGGCTGATCCATTTCTACAAATGCTTCGACTGAAATGTTAAAGCTCAGATATTAAGGGAGGTGTCGGCTGAGCGATCCTGTTTATGACTGGACCGCTTAAGTCGGTCGGAGGTCGGGTGGATCGCCAGGTAATTCTGCTCTCGCGATGGAAATCGTCTGAGCTACTATCAAGATTAGAAATTCCGGAGAAAGTCGACAGAGCCTGACGGGTCTGTACTAAGAGCGATATGCAAGCGAAGTAACGACCACAACCTCCGGCATCCTTGCCCTAGTCCTCGCCAAAACGTGAAATTGACAAAATGAAGAAGCTTGCAGAGCACGGCATTCAAGAGACAGGCACAACATCAGTGGTTTCTTTCTCTTCAGCCATCTTTTGGTATCCCTCTGGCGGTGGCAATGACCGCTCCCAGGGCCAGCGAAATCTGGAACTCTTGCACGAATGGAATGCGACCCTGTAACAGCCAATGAGTCGCTTTCGTCAGCCGTAACTGTGCGAGGCTGATTTCGTTGCGAGAGATGGGCAGAAGAAGCATGCAGGCGAGTCAAGCGTTAGGTCCGTGTGATTGGCTCTGGGCTCTGCACACCTAGCCACTGCTATTGGCTGCACAGCTGTTGGTGCATGCCACGAAGCCGATGGTGTAGAGTGCGCACACTGCGAGGCAATCCATCCTGACATTAGAGAAATTGGGGAGTCAAAATGGAATTCTGGGAGCCGTAGTTTCGTCTGATTGGCTTTTCAGTTGCCAAGCTTCACGAAAACAGAAGGAGTGTTCTTTGGAAAGGGTGCGTAAACACGCCCTAGTCTGAACTCGCCTACAAGTCTTGCTTTTAGGGCGTGTAAGATCCCCGTGCATCACCATTCGGCCATCAAAATTAGGTGGCCGAAAGCGAAACTCGATGGTGTTTGAAACGCTTTCAAGACGGTTCAGCGCGGTGGCGTACGATGTTTAGGGTTAATTTCACAACGGCCACCAAATTTTGATGGCCGAATTGTGATGCACGGGGATCTTACACGCCCTTATTTCACATTGCAGCCTTTGTCACATACACATGTTTCTCCAATGTCGTTTTTCCTCGAATTTTACTTGCTGAACGCATTGCGTTCTTGGCACACTTAGATTCTTAGTGAACCTAGAGATCTTAGTGGTATAGTTCATAGTAGGGTTTGTTTCTCATAATCAACGACGAGTCTCTGAATGATTTCGACAGTTTCAGTCGCTTCGTCTTCCCGCATCTCCCGGCGCCATTTCCGCCGCTCCTTCCGCTCACTACCCGCGCTCGCCGTCACCGTCGCCTCTCTTCTCTTCGCAGACCGCTCGCTCTTCGTTCCCGCTTCCTCGTCGTACGCCGCGAAAGGCGGGGTGCACAGTAACAACGATCATTTCAACAAGGGTGGCGGCGCGGGGGGAACGGTGTCGGAGCCGGCGATCGCGACACGAGAGGGTGGCAGTGGCGCAAGAGACGGGGGAGGAGAGAAGAATTCAAAGTTCTGGGAGCGTGTGAGGCGGAGCGAAAGCATGAGCTGGACGTGCCATGGCGATAGCAACAGCGAGATGGTCGATAAGTTGCTCCGTGCGTAATAGTTGGATAGGTTTGATGAATAGTCATGCAGTTTAGTCACATCCACATTCGTGTTAGCATTGAAATCGTTCTCGGAAGATTCCCTAGACAATCATCATGCTGAATAATTTGCTGAAATTCGCCAACAATCATGCAAAACAATTTTCATACTTACATACATGCATGCTGAGATTCATTTTGACAGCCATGCTGACCTTTCTGCAGACATTCATACTGACAGTCATCATCATACCTCGAGCCTAGTCTCCTCCCTTCCACTCGTCTTTTCAACATCCTCCCAAACCGCGCCTGCCTCTCCCTGTCTGTGCTCCCTGCCAGGCAGCGGAATTGTTCAATCAGAGCGTATCGCGGAGGCCATGAAGCAGATTGACCGCGCCGACTACGTGTTGACCAAGTCAACGGCCTACGACGACTCCCCACAACCCATAGGTGAATAGTTTATCATACGGGCTTTATAGTACTGTTTGCATGTGCGGTATGAATGCTGAGTGCCATGAGCGGTATGGATGCATGTGTCATGTGCGATATGGATGCATGTGTCATGTGCGGTATGGATGCATGTGTCATGTGCGGTATGGATGCATGTGTCATGTGCGGTATGGATGCATGTGTCATGTGCGGTATGGATGCATGTGTCATGTGCGGTATGGGTGCATGTGTCATGTGCGGTATGGATGCATGTGTCATGTGCGGTATGGATGCATGTGTCATGTGCGGTATGGATGTATGTGTCATGTGCAGTATGGCTGACGTGGGGTGGCTGACGTTTGTTACTGCATACATTTGACACCCAAGTTTTTCCACACTCTTTTACGCTCGTCGTTTACCGCTTGTCCATTCTTAAATTCCCTCTGACTTGCGTGCGTGATGGTTTGTCCATGCCATTCGTGGTATTATTGCATGCCAATGTTGACATTGGATGTGCACTGTGTCGTGTGATGTGGCATAATATGTGACCTGTGGCATGACATGTGGCATGGTATGCGGCATGGCTTAATGGCATTCACCGTGCATGAGCAGGTTTCAACGTTACCATATCAGCACCTCACATGGTACGTAACCATTCTGAATGCTGCCGCGTAACCTTGCTCGCTTTCCTTCCACACACTCCTCCCTTCCGTCTTTAACGCAAACTCCTCACCATCCCTCCCCCAACCCCATCCCCCACCCCACCCCCGCTCCCCCTCCCCACCCTCCCCGTCCACCCGTGGCCTTTCCGTTGCTCTGCCAGCACGGCTACTGCCTTGCTTTTCTCGTCGTCGCATCGACTCAGCTACCAGTCAATTTGTTCCTCCCTTCCCTCTTAAACTTCCCGTTCTCACCATTCTCCACAACCCCACACCATCCCCCATCCCTCACCCCCTCTCGCTCCCCCTCCCCCTCCCCCTCCCCCTCCCCCTCCCCCCCCATCCCCTCCAATCCTGGCCCTTCCTTCCCCCCGCCAGCACAGCTACTGCCTCGCCTTCCTGGAAAATCACCTGCAGCCCGGTAACCGCGTGCTTGACGTGGGGTCAGCCTCGGGGTACCACTCAACTCGCTTCCTCCTTCCCCATTCAGCATCCCCCATCCCTTCCCCCCATCCGCGATCCCCCCCACCCCAAACCCCCCCCCCCCAATTCCCCTACCCCAACCCGCTTCCTTGACCCCACCAGCACGGCTACTGCCTGGCCTTTCTAGAGAATCACCTGCAACCCGGTAACCGCGTGCTCGACGTGGGGTCGGGCTCGGGCTACCTGACAGCTGTCATGGCGCTATTGGTGGGCCCCACGGGGCGGGCGGTGGGCGTGGAGCACATCCCTGAGCTCGTGGAGCGATCCCGGGCGGCGGTGAGGGCCGGTCGGGCGGCGGAACTGATGGAAGGCGGACAGCTGTCGATACATGGTTGGTTGACATGGCAGGGATTCGAGGGGGAAATGTCGGGGGGGGTAGGGGGAAGGGGGGCGGTTGGGAGAAGGGGAAGGTATTGGGGGGAGGAAGGGAGGGAGCAGAGAAAGGGAGGTTTGGGCACTACTTGTTTTTTTCTTCTTTCTTTGCTGGCCTGTTCCTCTCTGGCCTGTTCCTCGCGGGCCTGTTCCGCTGCGGCATCGTGCTGCTGTGGCCCTGTTCTTCACACCCCGTGCCACCCTCCCCGTCCCCACGTACCACGTTTTTCCTTGGTCGTCTTTTGAGACGTCTCAAAACACTTTTTCCTTGGTCGTAGGTGAGAATGAGACTCGAAGCGTCCTTTGTGACTCGTCCTTCGTGTCTGCATCTTTCCTAACTCCTTCCCTTCCACACACGCACAGCCTCTTTCCTCTAGTCCGTCCTAGCACAGCGCTGCTATCATTCCTCATCTTACCCTATTCCTCCTCCCATCTCGCTCATCCCTCTTCTTGACTCACCGCTTTCATACCATCTCACCCATCTCTCCTCCTTCCACTTTTCCAGAGGCGGATGGGCGGGAGGGGTATCCGGATGCGGGGCCATACGATGCCATCCACGTGGGGGCTGCTGCTCCGGGTGAGTGACACAGCGTGCATGCGTGTCACTCTGCATGCTGTGGCTCTGTGCACAGCGGGCCCACATGATGCCATCCACGCGGGGGCTGCTGCGGCCGGTGAGGCACTCTTCATCATCTTCCACTGTTCATCATCAGTCGTTTTGAACCACTGTTTGTCGTGGGAAATGTGCATGGGCGCCACGCTCTCTGCCAAGTTGTCTGAAAACGAGCGCGGCCATTGATAGGACGAGGCTGGCGGACTTGAGCAGAGCAGAGCAGACCAGACCAGACCAGACTTGAGCTGACCAGGCAGCCACATCGTTCTGAAACCACCTGCTGCTGTCTGTCACCTCTCCAGCACTTCAACCCAGAGTCAGTCATTTGGCGGGTCATTATCCTACACCCAGACTGGCGTCACCTTCCCCTCTCCATGTTTGTACCCTTTCCACGTACCCCCACTTTCCCCCCATTCCCCCACCCTCCCCTCCCCCGTTTTTTTCCGTTTTCCCCCAATCATCCTCCTTCCCTTTCTTTTCCCCCACCTCCCCCCCTTCCCCGCCTTTTCCTACTTCCCCCCCCCCCCCCCCCCCCGTTTTTCCCCTTTGCCCCCACTCCCCCCCTTTCCCCCCATTTCCCCCCTTTTCCCCCGTTTTCCCCCACTCTCTCCCCCAGAGCTCCCCCAGGCGCTGGTGGATCAGCTAAAGCCGGGCGGCAGAATGGTGATTCCCGTCGGCCGTTTCATGCAGGTGCGAGGGCGGCGGGCGGGGAGGACAATGGGAATGAAGGGGATGGTGGAGAGAGGGGGGGGGGAGAGGGGGGGAAGGTGGGGTAAACAAAAGGGTATAACTTTGGGAAAGGGAAACAGGAAACATGGGTGTAGGGGCCTAGAGGAGATAGACAAGGACGCAGCCAGCACTGTCACGCTTTGAGGCGCCTCAAATTGCATTCCCGCCCTCTTTTCTCCTACCCTGTCCCCTCTTCCCTGCCCCCTCTTCCCTTGCGCACTACCCCCCAGGACCTAGAGGTGATAGATAATGGTGCAGACGGCACTGTTACGCTATAAGGCGCTCACACAGCAATCCCGCCCCCCTTTCCCCTCCCCTGCCTTCTCTCCGTGGTTGCGTTACCCCCCAGGACCTAGAGGTGACAGACAAGGGTGCAGACGGCACTGTTACGCTATAAGGCGCCTCACACTGCAATCCCGCGCCCGTTTCCCCTCCCCTGCGCCCTCTCCCCTTACGCACTACCCCCCAGGACCTAGAGGTGATAGACAAGGGTGCAGACGGCGCTGTCACTCGCACCACAGCCATGGGTGTCCGATACGTGCCACTGACCGCTAAGGAGAAGCAACTGGGGAGGGAGTGAGGGAGGGAGGGAGTGAGTAAGAGAGTAGATAAAGGGGGGGCCAGGTAGGGTGGCAATGGGTGGTTGAAGCACACCAGCCATGGACATGCGTGCGCCAAGTGCAGCTGACTGCTAAGAAAGAGGAGGGGGTCTTTAGTGAGTACATTAGCAGGAGAGGCGGGTAGGGGTGGTAGGGAGGTTGGAGGGTGAGGCACATCAGCCATGGGAGTGCGCTAAGTGCGGTTGACTGATAAAGCCCAGCAGCTCGAGGGGAAGTGCGATCAATTAGGGTGTTGTTTATATGGTGGTAAGGGGGCGGTTGTGTGATGCACTGCCACACGCGCATCAGCCATGGCCGTGTGCTACATGCCACTGACTGCTAAAGCCAAGCAGCTGGAGATTGAGAGGAAGTGTGTGTGTCTACAAATTAAGGTAGTGCATATGCCTCTTGCTGCCAAAGGGACAGCCCTAAGGTGATAGGGATGAGGAGCAGTAGGTCGGGGTGTTTCTGACTAAGAAGCAAGAGACATGCAGCATGCATTGCATGTACACAAGTGCAGATGGAGAGGGAAAGAGGGGAGATGCTAGTCAAGGCTGGTCTGGATGCTCCTAGAAGGGCACCATGAGCTAATGAAGCCGATTAAGCACACAAGCCATCGATGTGAACTGACCGCATGGCAGCTGCACGTGCAGGCAAGGCAAGGAAACGTTTAGGAGTGGAGTGGAGAGCCACAATTGTCATCACAATTGAATTCGGGCACTTCAGAGCTGCACAGGAATGTTCATTTTGCACAGATGTTTTTGTACTGTATATATTAGTGGAAGCATGTACAGTACTGGAATTCTAGTCAACCTCATTATCAGGTACTACAGATGATTAAGGTGGAACTCTAATGTGCTAGCTATAAACGTTTTCCCATCATCACCTCTCCCTGGTCCCACCACAGCAGCTCCTGCCTGCTGATCTGAAGCCTTTTCAACCTCCATTTGCCTCTGCTGCCTCTGCTTTATTCTTGTCTCTGTCGCCCACTCAAACACGGACTGCCTTGATTTGAAGCTCCCTCCTGCTATTGTTGTTCCACATGCTCCTGCGCTTCCTCTTGCGTTCGGCATCGCCCGTGCTGGCATTGCTGCTGACTCGGACACTCGTCGCTCCAGATACCGAGGCTGCTCGGCCAGCTTCGGTAGTGGTGCCGAGCCTCCGGCCGAGGTCAGGGTCTTGCTCTCTGCAGATTTCAAAAATTCGAAACGATCCAATTGGCTCTGACCACCACGGTGGCTGGAAGATGTTGCTGAATGGACGACACCAACGTCACAATACACAGACGTCCAATCTGCTGATCCTGTTACGGGGCTGACTATAACGGGGCCACTTCCAAAAATTCCGCTGCTGATGTCGCAACTTCGGGAATTGTTCCGGGTGTTTCGTCGCCGACCCGCATCCACGTCAGCAGATTCGCCGGGAGCTCCATTTCCGCCGCCGTGACACGCAGCGGAAGTGGCTGTCACGGAGAGGGAGGCGCTTCGAAAGCGGGGACACCGTGATGTCGCGGCCGAGGCGGAAGTGAAATTGCGTAGGGGATTCGCCGTTGTTGGACGAATTGCTGCGTTGGAAGCTTCCAGCGGACTTGTCGGAGAGCGACGATCGGCCGCTTCTGCGACGTTGGAATCGCCGAAACCTTGGCACACGCAGTCACGGTTTGCCCAGGTGCCGTGGAATGAAATAATTTCGTTAAAGAAGGTTACTCCGTTTGACGATCGCTCCAATAGTCCATCAGAATGGGAGCTGCAGCATTTTTCGCAGTGTTTGCTGGAAATTTGTATAGAATTGAGCGTTTCTGCGTGAGTTGTTGGCGCAGACATCGCGAGAGTATTGAATAGAAAAAATAACGTCGATATATACCCTTGTACTCGAGAACGTCACGTCTACTAGGCGATCTTACAACGCTTCAGAAAATCGAAGGCGCTGGCTGATTTGAAGCAGCTGTCGATTACCACAGAAGCTTAACTTTCGGAGAGAGGTGGAGCAATAGAAGCCAGATTGAGGGGACACCGAGGGCCTATCTAGAAACTCTGAACACGATTGAGAAGTACACATCCACAAAAGTGTATCACTTACAGCTGGGCAGCAATTATACGAGGCTGATACACGCGATGTAACGTTTGCCAACGGGGTTGTAAAGTACGGTACTGTACCGGAAGCGTTTTCTGTAAGTGAGCGCAGTGCTTAGGAGTAACGAAATTGCGCCCACCCAGTCACTTTCCAAAACACACCAGCGGCGACTTGAGGTTGTGGTGGGGAAGAAACAGACAAGGGGGGTGGGTTGGAATTGGGTTTGGAGGTCGAGGGGAGGGAGGGGAGGCGGCATTTTTAGAGCACGCGGCCCCATCGACCAATCTCAAGGGGTCGTCTTTCGTGGCTGGCGATTGCCAGTTGCTGCCAGCTGGAAATCATTCAGTCGACGCGGATTTGAAGTCAGGGGTGCGGAACATTTATGGTGGCCACATATGTCTTGAGAAAGTGCTCTTGTGTGACTGCTCCTCAGCGAAATGTAGCTACTTAGATGGTATATTGTACAATATATCTGTAGTGGTCAGCCGGTTCTGTATGTGGAGGGCAAGTACACGTAGCCCAGTCACAAAATTATCCGCGATGAAAGTTACTGTTTTGCACACGTTTCCAGCCATTTGACAGCATGAAGGAGGTGTCTTTCTTTGTCACTTTGTGTTCCTGGGGGGATGCTCTTCAGTTTTGAAGAATACGTTTCGTCCCGTCCTCAGACAACCAAACAAGCTACACCTAGCCACCGCTATTTTCAACTTCTGACCTTGGCACTGTTCCCGATTTTCATGTAATCCCTGCCCAGCTTTTGGGGTTTTCTGTTAGAAACCTCGTTATAGGGGACTATGAATGACATCAAATGGAGATTTCAATCGGGCGAGTGTAAGACAATTTCGGCTCGTGTGGAGTCTGCTTGTTGTTGCGCATCCCATTGCGTAGCTTTCAGGAGTCAGGAACTAACTCTGCGTAGAGCGTATGACGTCCGACACAACCCTCGGTCAAAAACGTTTTGAAGGGTGCCTACCCCTTTGCACACGTGGGGGTTGAAGATAGACCGAAAGAAAATAGCGGTGGTTAGGTGTAGATGCCATGTTCTTGCAACAGTTCAAACAAAGCCGGAAATTTCCAAATGGCGTGCGCTTTTCCAGAAAATACGCGATCAAATTCAACCTTTCTGCTTTCTGATTTGCTGAAATGTTCTCAACGGCGTCAGCTGCAAGTATGGACGTATCAGATTCTACCGCGAAAATTTGGGGTGGTCTGCAGCACGAGAGAGTGAACAGATGTACTGTAGAATGCCGGAAATTCGACCAGGAACGACTGTTTTTGCTGCTGTGTTAGCACAAACCGGATCGCGCATTTTGCAGCCGCAAAACTCAAACGGATATGGCTTGTACACCAGCGACGAATTTTCAGATAAAACCTTACATGTTTATACGGTTTATACACTTTAAGCATGATGTCAATCCGTTTACCAGTTTTAGAGGGATATAAATTCTCTATATCTTGTGACTCCTACCTTACCACCTGATGAATCACCCGTAAAAGCGAAATCAGCCTTTAGAGAGGATATCAGCTTATCAGCTAACACACACAGCGAGATTTCAGAAACCTAGAAGCAAGTCAACGGGCGAATCCTAGTCCTTGTCGCGGTGCGTGTATGGCGGGAGTGCTGTTTAGTTCGCATCGCCCGACAATATCGCTGCTGCTCATTCCATTTTCAAAGAGTATACCGCGGGGCGATCAGGGAGTGGCGGAGGCAAGAATCTCATTAGCTCCTGGTCCGCTCGACAGTCGCGGCCGCCTGTCGTCCCAGCAAAATAAGACCTCTGGATTTCCGAATTTGGTAACCTCTGGACCTCTGGATCCTCCTCGCGAAGGATCAACGACTGAATCAAACGGTTTCGCTTCGGAATCCGAGATTCGCCGCGGATCGAACCTCCTCGCTGGCAGCAACATGTCAGACGTGGAGGGTGCGAATGCTCCGATACAAGCGGACTCGATGTTAAATATAAAAAGTACACCTTCTTTGGGTGCTCCTCGAGGAACCGAACCGGCGAACGCTGCGTCAGTGGAAATGGAGCAGTTTACCCGCTTTGATCCGTCGTCCAAAGAGGTGCTGCCACGTGGCAGGTTTCGCGGAGTGGTTGTAGCTGGGACTTTCGATCGCTTCCACGACGGGCATCGTACGCTGCTGCGTGCGGCTGTAGCGATGGTGGCGGCGACACGAGAAGGGGGGGAGGGAGAGACCGGCAGCAGCAGCAGCGGCGGCAGCGGCAGCAGCTGCATTGTTGTAGGGATTGCGGATGGACCTCTTCTAGCCAAGAAGTATCTGACTGAGGTGCGGTGAAGCATGGCAGTGAGGTGTGAGGTGTGGTGAAGCATCCCCGCCTCCTTGTGCTCTTTCCCTCCATCTTCCCTTTCCCTCCACGTTCCCATCTCTCCATCCCCAAATCCCAATCCCCCCCCCCCCCCACCCCCCCCCCCCCCATCCCCCATCCCCCGTCCCCCATCCCCCGTCCCCCGTCCCCCATCCCCCGTCCCCCATCCCCCCATCCCCCATCCCCCGTCCCCCATCCCCCCATCCCCCATCCCCCTATCCCCCATCCCCCGTCCCCCATCCCCCCATCCCCCATCCCCCATCCCCCCATCCCCCATCCCCCCATCCCCCATCCCCCCATCCCCCATCCCCCCATCCCCCATCCCCCATCCCCCCATCATCCCATCCCCCATCCCCCATCCCACATCCCCCATCCCCACTTCCCCAAATCCGCCACTCACAGATAATCCAGCCCTATGACGAGCGCAAGGATGCTGCCGAGAAGTTTCTGCAGGAGGAGCTACAGCGACAGGGCAAGGCTCTCAGCCTGGTCCGGCTGGAGTTTACGCCGATCCGGGATCCCGTACCTGAGGGGGGAGGTTCGGATCCGAGCCTGGACTGCATTGTGGTTAGCGAGGAGACAGTGGGGGGCGCTGTAGCCATGAACAGAAAGAGATTGGCCAATCAGATTGCTCCGTTGCATGTGAGTGCAGCATCGTGACTGCTGTACACGTCATCGTTCCTGCTCCTAGTTTTTGCAACCCAATTATCATCAATTCTGTGTTATGTTTTATGTCTCATACCTCATGCTTGCGCCGCGCCTCTTTTTGGTGCGCCTGAAAACCAAACCCCTCTTTGTGCGTGCACGCGCCCATGCCTATCCACCAGGTAATCGTGACTCGTGCCTTTTAACAGTGCCTGCAAACAAAAGGTCTTGTGTTGTTTAGGGTGGGTCCAACTTTGCACACTCCCGTTTTTTTCGTTATATTTACGTCAACACACTTGTCAATTTTGACTGTACCCCAGGGTGTACTCCTAAAGTTTCCTGTCCAGTTCGGAGTGTACAGTGCGGACTTTTGACGAGGTACATTAACGTTGCGAGGTACAGTACCTGGGAATGAGAGTTACCACATGTTGCGAGGGTTTCCGCGTCATGGGCGAAGGGAATAAATTAATGACGAAAAGCGTTTGGCGAAAAACGGGAGTTACTGTTTGACGACTTTGACGGGAAGCGAGTTGGGAGACGAGCCTTCGGATGTGTTCCTCTCGTCCCGGGGCACGTTTCCGAAATGAGCTCATTTATGTACAGTCTCGTGTCAAACGGATTTCGTACGTTAAAAGTTCTGTTACATGCTTTATTCTGGTAACTGAGCTGAAAATTAACCGTACATGTGCAAAGTTAGACCCGCCCTTAGGCGCATCAAAAACAGACGATGAAAGCAAAATGTCTTCTGTGTGTTGGTGTGCCCATCCCATCCACCAGGTAGTCGTGGCATCAACAGTGCCGGCGCCGCCAACCGCTGCTCTTCCAGTCGCTCCCACCACCGCCCCTCCAGCAGCTGCTGTCAGCAAGCTAAGCTCCTCCTTGCTCAGGAACACCCTTTCCCCCCCTCCACTGTGTGTGTTGGTGTGCCCATCCCATTCACCAGGTAGTCGTGGCATCAACAGTGCCGGCGCCGCCAACCGCTGCTCTTCTTTTGAGGCGCCTTGAAAATAGACCCCTGTGTGTTGGTGTGCCCATCCCACCCACCAGGTAGTCGTGGCATCAACAGTGCCGGCGCCGCCAACCGCTGCCCTTCCGGTCGCTCCCACCACCACCACCCCGGCGGCTGACGTCAGAAAGCTGAGCTCCTCCCTGCTCAGGGAGCAATGTCTCGGAACCTTCCTCCCTCTGCCAAGGCAAGCTCTCCACACGTTTCACCGTCTGGTCGCACCTTCAGATGCTTTTCTTCTCTCACCTTCAGATGCTTTTCTTCTCTCACCTTCAGATGCTTTTCTTCTCTCACCTTCAGATGCTTTTCTTCTCTCACCTTCAGATGCTTTTCTTCTCTCACCTTCAGATGCTTTTCTTCTCTCACCTTCAGATGCTTTTCTTCTCTCACCTTCAGATGCTTTTCTTCTCTCACCTTCAGATGCTTTTCTTCTCTCACCTTCAGATGCTTTTCTTCTCTCACCTTCAGATGCTTTTCTTCTCTCACCTTCAGATGCTTTTCTTCTCTCACCTTCAGATGCTTTTCTTCTCTCACCTTCAGATGCTTTTCTTCTCTCACCTTCAGATGCTTTTCTTCTCTCACCTTCAGATGCTTTTCTTCTCTCACCTTCAGATGCTTTTCTTCTCTCACCTTCAGATGCTTTTCTTCTCTCACCTTCAGATGCTTTTCTTCTCTCACCTTCAGATGCTTTTCTTCTCTCACCTTCAGATGCTTTTCTTCTCTCACCTTCAGATGCTTTTCTTCTCTCACCTTCAGATGCTTTTCTTCTCTCACCTTCAGATGCTTTTCTTCTCTCACCTTCAGATGCTTTTCTTCTCTCACCTTTCAGGGTGTCTCAAAGTCCACCCAGGTGCTGTTGCTTGCTTTCTCTCCTTCCCCTATTGCGGCTTTTTGCTGCCTTGACAGCAGCGACAGCACAAGGGGCGGGTGCAGGCAAGGCCGTACCTGGTGGGGCTGACAGAAGGCGTTTCCTTTAGCTAATCCACCGTTCGATTCTTGCATGGTGTTGCTGTGTGGTGACCTATGATTCCTGTAACCCCTCTCTTCTCTTCTCTTCCTTGCACTCCCCTCCCCTCTTTCCCCCCTTCTGCCCCTCACTTCGTGCTTCACCTGTTTTGTCTCCCCCACAGCAGTGAGCAGAAGAGGCAGCAGCAGAGGCAGAGGCGGCAGCACAGGGAGCGGCTGCAGGCAGGACCATACCTGGTGGGGCTGACAGGAGGCATCGCCTCTGGCAAGTCCACTGTCGCTCGCCTGCTCTGCTCCCTCGCCTCCTCCTCCTCCTCCTCCTCCTCCTCCTCCTCCTCCTCCTCCTCCTCCTCCTCCTCCTCCTCCTCCTCCTCCTCTGCTCCTACCTCTGCTGCTGCTGCCCCTGCTGCTGTTCCGATTGAGCCAGCAACGAGCGAGGAAGGTGTGAGGGAGGGGCGGCAGTCAGAGGAAGGGGAGGCAGGGCAAGGCCAGCGTTCAGAAGAGGGGGAGGCACGGCAGGGGCGGCAGTGGAGGGTGGGGGCGGTGGACTGTGACCGGCTGGCCCATCGGGCATATGAGCCGGGCACACCTGCTTACCGCCGCATCGTGGACCTCTTTGGGCCCTCTGTCGTGCGCGCTGCAGGTCAGTGGTTGTGCTTGTTGAGACGACTCGTGCACAGGTGGGTTGTAAGTAGCCATTCAGGTGCGTTGAGGCAGCGGAGGGTGGGGGCGGTGGACTGTGATCGGCTGGCCCATCGGGCATATGAGCCGGGCACACCTGCTTACCGCCGCATTGTGGACCTCTTCGGGCCCTCTGTTGTGCGTCCCTCTGGTGGGTTGTGTGGGTATGTGTGGGCATGTGTGTTTGCAAGATGGGTACATGCGCGTCCACTCCCTGCTAGACTCATTACCCTCAGTGCATCTCTTCCATTCGTTACTTTTTTTCATTCCTCCTCTTCTTCACCCTTTCGTTATTATTTTTTGTTTTTTTCCGTGTTTTTTCCGGTGTGTCTTTCAGATGGTCAAATCGACCGGGCAGCACTCGGAGCGCAAGTTTTTTCCTGCCCGGAGAAAATGGCTGCCCTGACAGGAGTGGTGTGGCCAATGGTGCGACAGATAGTGGAGGAGGAGAGAGAGGCTGCAGGGGCAGGCGAATGGGAGGTGGCATTCGCATCAACTGAAGTAGCATATACTTTTCCGGAGTCTACTGAAAAAGCATCCTCTCTCTCCAAGCCGACTGCAACCGCGTCTTTTTCTAAGACGCGTGAAAGCTCGTATACTATCCGCCCCATAGCTCCTCCTGCGGATGTGCTTATAGTGGAGGCTGCAATGATGGTTGAAGCAGGCTCGGACCGAACCGTGGACGAGGTCTGGGTGGTGTTTGTCCCCGAGGCTGAGGCGAAGGCTCGGTTGATGGCACGGAATGGGGTGACTGAAGAGGAGGCTGGGAAGCGGATTGCCGCTCAGGTTGGTTGGGGTTATAGTGTAGGTGGGTGGACGGGTGGATGGGTGTGTGAAGCTTCGTTTGTGTGTGTGTTGAGGAGGGATCTTTGTCTGGATGAGTGTGGGGAATTGTGTGGTTTTTATTTGTTAGTTTGTGTGTGTTTGTGTACATAGGAGCACCTCTCCCTCCTTTCCTCCTGCCACAGCAGCTCGTTTTTGTCATCTCCCCTCCCCCTCTTCTCCATTCTCCCTCTGTCTTCTTACCAGTTGCCCTTTCTTCCTTTCTTCCTCCAACCTCTTTCTCGATCTTTTCTCTTCCTCATCTTTTTGTTCCTTACTCACTCCCGACCCTCACCATCCACCATCCCAGATGACGTCATCTGCCAGGCTGGCACACGCTGACGTGGCCATCTACAACGGCGCCAGCGAGGACGCCACGCAGCGCCAGCTGGAGCGTGCTTGGTGCGAGGTGGCAAGGCAGCGAGCAGGACCGTGCTTGGAGGAATGGGGGGAGAACTTCAGTCGGCTTCAGGAGCAATGGAATTTATCCCCACGTTTGCAGCCTCATTTCCTGGAAGCTGCGCGGTCTGTATGGACCCGTTGGGCGGCGCTGATGTGGCGCCTCGGTGTGGAAGCTGACGTGGCGGAAAGGTGGTTCCGGAAGCTGGTGTTGGTGGAAAGGATGGAGAGAAGGGAAGAAGAAGGGGAGAGGCAGAGGGGAGAAAGGAGGGGCAGGAGGAGGAAGGGCAGGTGGGGAGGGTGCAGCAGGTCGGGGTGGCAGGGGGGTGGGTGGCAGCTGTGATCCTCTCTTTCCAACATCTCCGCAGGTGCGCCCTTGCTACTTGTGTGTGCTGCAGGCTGCACCGCTGCTACTGCTGCAGCAGGTGGGGTGGCAGGAGCGTGGCTGGCAGCTGCAGAAGCTGCCAGCTCCTCCTAAGCTATGCCATTACATGTGGTAAGTCGCTGCCATTTCTTCCTTCGTTTTCTCATCTTCTTTTCTCTTGAGAATCGCCCATACACGAGCGAGGTTGCATCCATGTGTGTGTGTGTGTGTGTAGGTGGGTGTGCCGCAACTTGTGCATGAGGGAGGGAAGGTGGGGGAGTGAATGACACTGGCTCGCATGCATATTCGCGTCTCTCTGTGTTACATGTCTCTCTTTCTCTCTGTGTTTCACGTCTCTCTGTGTCACCGTGTGCATGCAGCCAAGTCCATCGTGTGGACCATCCCAACTCCCTCAAGCTCGCACTCTTCTTCGCCCTTCATGCCGCCTCCCTTCCCAACCCCACCTCCGCACCCCTCCCTCCCTCCACCACGCAACCACCCACCTCCAATCACTCTCCACCTGCCATCCCTTCTCTCACACCCCCCTCGGAGCTTCTTAATGTCGGAATGCTTGTCGCTGCAGAGGAGGCACTCCAGCGGTTCGCCATGGATGCGGGCCTTTCCCAAGAGATTTTGGTGAGTGGTGGGGTTTTGTCTTGTCAAGTGTGGTGGTGGTTGGGTGTGTGAGCTGTTGCTTTTGTGTGCTGTGTTGCATTGTGTGGCGTTGACAGAGGGTCCGTAACACGCATCGTCCATTGCGGATTATCGGTCAATACACATCGCATCGCTCATACGTATATAATATTAGATGATCCACACGATTTTCTATACGATTTGTTTTGGCAGGATCAAACAATCTTTGTTATGGCGCCGCAAGGTGATGGAGATGCAGATGCTTCCAGTGATAGAGGCTTGTTTTGGGATGTGTTTATGAAAGGGTGTAGTATGTATGCTCACAAATAAAGACTTCAACAATGTAGAATTCTGGCGGGGGAGCTACAAACGCGGATCATTATGGGCAAAGGCGAGAGATCCACAATTCCATTTCCATAACTGCTCAAGAAAAATTGCATCGTGATTTCTATCTGCCGCTATGGCTGCTCCGCCTGTTGCGCTGCAGTCAACGCCCTCTTCAGCCGTCCTTCATCCTCGCCATAAACATCTTTGGAGAAGCGACAATCCGCACCGATTCGCCTGTATCGCGCTTGGATCCAATCAGCGACCCGGCTTCACACACTTGATTGGAAGATCCGCGCACCACTACCACCACCATGCTTGCACGTCGACTTGCCAGCTTGACTCATCCTCACGCTTGCCCCGTTCTCCCGCTTCTCCCGCTTATCGTGCTTATCCCGCCTATTCAACCGCTTCTTTCTCCGCCGGAGCCTCGGGATTGCCTTCTTCCGCCGCCTCCCATTCCGCTTCCCCCTCTGCCTCGGGATCTCCGCGCTCCTTCCCCTCGTCGTCCTCCTCCGCCTCGAAACTGTCAAAATGCGCCTCATTCCCGTCCGCCGCCGCTTCCGATTCCCCCGCCGCCTCGGGAGAGCGCGCCTTACCTTGCAGCGGCGCGTCGCCCGGCGGCGACGCGGCAGCGGTCGAGCCACAGCGCGCCTCAGCTGGCGGCGCCGCCACAGCAGACTGCGCCGCCTCTCCTGGCGGCGACGCGGCGCCTGGCGGCGAGCGGCATCTCTTCTGCTTCGGTCTGGGATACGTGGCAGTGGCGCTGTCGAATGTGCTTCTAACGAAAGGCTGGTATGTTGTGCTGCCAACGAGAGGCTGTAGGGCCTGAGGCGTGATGAGTGGAGCCAAGCCAAGGCAACCAGCAAGGTGACTCAAAAGCCAAGGCAGCCAGCACCAAAACGTACCCTTTTGAGTCACCTTGCCTCAATGCACAAAATCTCTCCGAAATGTGTCCCCCTTCTCCCCACGCCTTTCTCTCTCTCTCTCTCTCTCTCTCTCTCTCTCTCTCTCTCTCTCTCTCTCTCTCTCTCTCTCTCTCTCTCTCTCTCTCTCTCTCTCTCTGCCTGCCCCCACCCACCATGCCAGGCGTGTGTCAGGCACATGCAGGAGCCACGAGGACTGGCACCGATTGTGTCACATGGGCGTACAAGCACACCTGCTGGAGGACCATGGCACTGACAGGTCAGCACCCTCTGTCCTCTTTTGCACCCCTCTGCACTCCTTGCCACGCCATGGATATTTATTTTCCAGGTTTCCTTTTTTCTGCCATGCGCTTCCCCCTCCCTTCCCGTCCTTACCATTCCCCCCCTCCACTCCTAACTCTCTTTCGCTCTCTGCACCTGTCCCATTCAGCCCCTTGTGGCTTCCCCAAGCCTCCCTCCTCCGCCCTTGGCTCTGCCACTCACACACTCGTCTCCTTCTCATCCTCTCTGTCATCTCAACTTACCACCCTTCTCTCCCCTTCTTCCCCACCCCCTTCTCTCCCTCGCTCCCCTTCTCCTTCCCCTCCCCTCCCTTTGTCACTCCCTTTTCCCCCACATTTACCCTCTCTCTGCTCCGCTCCCACCCATCCAGTCCCTTGTGTCTCCCCAGGCCGCTCTCTCCGCCCTTAACTCTGCCGCACACGTGCTCGTCTCCATCCCCCCTCTCATTCATCTCAACTTCCTACGCTCCCCCTCCCCTGTCCCCCTAATCACTCCCTTCCCCCCTCTGTCTCTCCCCCCACGTTTACCCTCGCTGCACCCTTGCCATCCAGCACCTTGTGGCTCCCCCAGGCCGCTCTCTCCACCCTCCACTCTGCCACACACGTGCTCGTCTCCGTCCCCCCTCGCCTCTCTCCTCGCCTCTCTCCTCGCCTCTCTCCTCGCCCCTCATCCCCTCAGCACGTTGACATGGTGAGCCTTGTAGCGATACATGGTGAGATTTGTTTGTTTGTTTGTTTGTTCCATCTATTGCTACCGCAGCAGTCACACTCGTCTCGTGCTGCTAGTGCATGTAGTATCTTGGCAGTCGTCATCATGCCCACTTTTCATTCAGCTCAAACAACTTTCTTGCCCACTTTCTCCTCATGTGTTTTCTCAGGTGCTTTCCTCCTGTTGCCAGCACCTGATGGAGTCTGCCAGGCATCGGCTCAGGTGGATCGGGTACCTGTCCTCCACAGGCGTCTATGGTGACTGGGACGGCCAATGGGTGGATGAAGAGTGAGTGAGTGAGTGGGTGAGAGTGAGTGGGTGAGAGTGAGTGGGTGAGAGTGGGAGATTGAATGGAAGCAGCAAGGGATTGGAAGCATCGGCTCAGGTGGATCGGGTACCTGTCTTCCACAGGCGTCTATGGTGACTGGGACGTCCAATGGGTGGATGAAGTGAGTAGGCGAGTGAGTGAGTGAGTGAGTGAGTGAGAGAATCGAGCAGTGAGTTAGCGGGTACAGCGAGTTAGTGAGTGAGAAAACCGATTACCATTTTCCTTCATATCTTAATTTCACAGGCCTCCAATCGTAACTGCCTTCAACACCTTTCTTCACCTCCCTTCTCTTCTTTCATATAATGTATTTTGAGTTCATACGCATTGCTTGCCCCTTTCCATCCCATGCGCACACATCAGCTCCCCTCCGCGCCCACTCGCGCCGAAGGCAGTTGCTCGCTACGCTGCCGAGAGGGAGTGGCTGGCTTTTCAGGCGCACCTGGGGGAGGCGTTATCTGGTGCACTTGAGCGAAAGGAGGAGGGCACGAGTCTTCTGGAGCGGAACCAGGGCGAGGGTACTGCTGTTGCTGTTCGTGTGTTCCGGCTCGGCGGAATTTACGGGCCTTTCCGCAGGTATCCCAGTTAATACTGGTGGCCTGGTCGATTACTTTTCTTCTGGTCTTTTGCAAAACCTCCCTTTTCTCGCCTTGGCTCTTAGCACCTATCCCCCCGTTATTTTTCATCCTGATGTGTCACCTATCCATGCTTCTTGCCCAACGTTTCTTCACACCTGTTCCTCTCCTCTTTTGTTCTTTCTCTAAACCACTTGCTGCTCCCCTCCTGGCAGTGCTCTGGACACAGCAGCAGCAGAGATGCAAGCAGGGAAGGGGCCATTACTCCAATCGGCAACGGCTCTCAATCCCTCGAGAGATGGGCGAGTGGAGAGCAGTTACGAAGGGAGCAGCATCAGCGTTCAGGAGCTAACTTCCAATGGGGATAAGAGCAACACAAATGGGAGCAGCATGAGCAATCTGGATGGCAGCAGCAATGGGTTTAAGAGCAGCAGCAGCAATCTGGATGGCAGCAGCAATGGGTTTAAGAGCAGCAGCAGCAATCTGGATAGCAGCAGCAATGGGTTTAAGAGCAGCAGCAGCCGCGAGCGCAGGCAGAGGAAGCGGTTCACGTCGCGGTGCCACGTGGCAGACATCTGCGCTGCGATTGGTGCCAGCATGGACGGCCGTGGCAGCAGGTGAGGGACGGGGGAATGGGGAAGGGGAGGGGGGGGGAATGGGGAAGGGGAGGGGGGGTGCCACCTTGCCACTGCTCACATTTCCTGCACTTGTCCGTCCTTGTCCTTTTATGAGCCGTCTGGAACTAATGGTTAGGAGGAACAGCCGGTGGGGGATGACGTCTCGCCATTCAGCCGTGAAGGCCAGGCTTCAATGTCATCTGTGAAAGGCACGGGGCATGTGGGCTAGAGGTGACTTCTGAGTCGACTCAAATGTCATGTTCAGCTGTCCAGGCCAGGGGGGGCTGTATCAGCTATGTGGGCCGAGGGCCATCCTTTCCCCAATTTCGCCCCTACCCTCCCCCTCCCCCTCTGCTTCTCATCCAGTCCAATCATCAACATTGTAGATGACGATTCGTCGCCTCTCCCTCTCCCCCTCCCACCTGCCCTTACCGTCCCCTTGACTCACTCCCCCTTTTCCCCTCCCCCTCCGCTTCTCCCCCAGTCCAATCATCAACATTGTAGATGACGATCCGTCGCCTCGCCGCCACGTCATGCAGTTCGCTCGCCAGCTCATCGCCTCGGGAAAATCAGATCCCTATTGGAAGAAGCTGGAGGCTCTGCGGACCACTCTGCCGCCCGGAATCATCCAGCGGGGCGGCAGCGGGGCTGTGAGAGACGCGGAGCAAGAGCACAAAAGGACGCTGCGTCCCGCCGTTGCCAATGCTACTGGCCTATTTGTTTCCAGTGAGGTGGAGAGAAATAAAACGGAGCTGGGTACTCGTGTGAAAAAAACAGGGCTGGAGGTAAATCCCACACATGAGAAGGCTTTGGGGTCATGTGGCATGATTGATGGCGGTGGGTTTCGGATTCCTAATGGAGATTCCAAAGAAGACCTTCAACAGGGATCTCCCATTCATGATAAAAAAAGCGTAACTGAACTCAGCAATCAAGTCGTCAGCAAGAGCCTGCTGGATGGGGAGAAAAGGGTAAAAAATCGTCGGATGAAGAGTGAATTGCTTGAGGACCTGCAGTTCCCTTCGTTTGAAGTTGCTCTCAAAACCATGGCTTCTGGATATATACAACCATTTGTTGAAGTGTAGTGGCAGAATATGACCATGCAATAGAAGATGTAAATTGTTCAGTGGGAGATGAAGTTGGACAAATGAAGCTGGTCAGGTCACATGATCAAGCCAGAGCTGACGTCAACCTACGACTTTTAACGTTTCTGCAGAAGCTGGATGCACTTGCACTGAATGCAGAAAGCGACAATCCGATCGCATTGGCGTTTCAAACAGCCACACGATTTCGTTGAAAATCGACCACAAAATCATTTCAGATCTGTCTTTGTTCGATCTCGTTCCGTTACATTCGTGATTGCGCAGAAGCTTCTCTCCGCCGTCTTCTAGCAGATCACGATTCGCTATCACGGCTCGGCTCATATTGGACGGTGGGGTGGGGGGAGTTTGAGTGAGAGGTGGGTTGGGGTGGGGGGAGTTTGAGTGAGAGGTGGGTTGGGGCGGGGGGGAATGGTGGGGGGAGGGGGAAGGGAGGGAAGGACCTTTGCGGTTCCAGCTCGGCACTTCAATGTGCATTCTCATTATGCAATAAATTTGGTGAAAGTGCTGCAAACTATTAGTCAGCCATCATTCAACAACTGATACACAATATAAACTTAAAAATGCAAACGAGGATATTTGTGAACTACTGACCCTCCTCCTTGCTCTCCTCATCTTTGCTGCTGGATTGAAGCCTATCAAGCCTTGCCTGGAGGCTATGTATATAACTGACGGATTTTTCAATCATGGACCCAAGGTCTTGCCTATCTCCAAGAATCTCTTGAGGAATAGCAGTCTTCAGCCTCCTCAAGCAATCGCTTATCCTCTCTCTCCGCCTTCTCTCTTTCACCGAACGCGGCCGAATGGCCTTCAATGCCGGGTTCCCACCACTCGCACCACCAACCCCTCCACCACTACCAGCCCCCCCACCTTCTCTCCTGCTCCCACCAGCCCCTCCCCCGCCGCCCGCCCGCGCTGAAGCCGCCCTCTCTGCACTAGACTCCGAGACGCCAAGCGCGTCCGAGCTAACAGGTCCGCTCATGCATTGAGCGACATCCTGAAATTCAGATGGAAATCCAGAGAGTCTGTGAAGAGATGCGGCGGGTCCGCTGTGAGCAGTGAGGGCATTGTTACCAGCTCCACTGGCGTGCTGCTGTCTTGTGCCAGCTAGACTCTGATGGGGCTCGGCTGCGAAGGCAGGGGGCTGGTTGCCAATGATAGCCACAGAATCCCCCCCAAAATGGCCTAAAACGGGCGCCTGGGGAAAGATGATACCACGAATATTACCACTGGCTCCTCCAGAAGCGTGCATCTGATGCGAATGCTGAGAGTGCTGTGGTTGCTGTGATTGCTGCGATTGCTGCGCGTGCTGCAGGTGCTGCGACGAGTAGCCGGTCATACTGCCTGCAGCCGCCGCGTTGCTCCGCTGCATCTCCGCCATAAGCGCCGCCGCCAGCACAATGTGCTCCTCAGGCGCAAGCTCCGGCGGAATCTGCTGAAACAGCGCCTCTAGCTCGTCCGCTGAAGAAACAGGCGGCACAGCCGCTGGCCCGGGCACAGCAGGTTCCATATTTGCACGCGGCTGAGGCTGTGTCTGAGGCTGTGACTGCGACTGCGGCTGGTTCTGAAGCCAATTCGCGCCGATCTGAACTCCGGCGGAAGCCTGTGGTGTGGCGCCGCCGGAAGGCCACTGAGCCGGCGCTCCAAAGACGTTCCCCGCTGCGAGTTGGCTAGCCGCACGCGAGAATTGCGCCGTGGATTGCGGTGGAGCCGCCGGACGGATCGCCAGCGCGTCGCTGCGCGCAGCAGCGGGATCGTTCGCGATCATCCCCAATGCCGCGGAGAGCGCCGCCGCCGGTTCTGTCGCCGCAAAATGTGCAGCGTTCGTCTCAACTGAATTGGCCCCGCCTTCTCCCCCTCCCAACGCGCTGTTCGGCAAACCAGCCATCCGCGACAGCGCGGTAAACTCCTCCAGGTCTCGACCGTGAAAAGCGACCGCGGATGATGCGACGTTGGTCGCGACGTGCGGCATTTCAGCAGCAAGCTGCTGTTGCACTAGCGCCGCGTATAGGTCCGCCTCTTCACCACCAGCGGAACCGCCGCCGCCGCCGGCCGCGGAGTGCGCCGTCATCTGCTGCTGCAGCAGAAATTGCTTGGCATCGAGCGACTGTAGCTCCGCCGCGATCTCGTCAATTGACGATGGCTGGCCGGCAACGACGGCGGCCGCACCGCCGGCGAGTCGCGGGATCCATTCAGCGAGGCTGTCGAGATCCGTTTGCGAAATTTCGTTTCCTGCGCCGGCCATGAAGGCAGTCTCGTCTTGATGTAAAATTGCTGAGCCGAATGTCGAATCGCAGGCGAAGTGAGAAGTCGCCGATTTAAGCTCAGGCTGCTCTTCCAAAAGGGGCGCTATGTGAAGACCGGGGATGCTATCGCCTGGAGAGTTCAAGCTCGAAAGAAAGCCACCGAGTAGGCCGGGAAAGTTGATCTCCGTGTTTAGCGCCGGAAGATACGGCGTGGGGGTAGTTGATCGTGAAGTCCACGAGCCTACGCCTGCCATCGTTTGTCCCGAAAACAATTAAGGAGGTAGCTCCGAGCTAGAGTCTAGATTGTAGATTGCGAATGACGCTTCGTCATGAGCAGGTCTTGAACTATCGCAAGGATGGTTTCGGAACAGACGGGAACTGCAAACCGCGAATAGGGAAGTTTGTACTTTTAGAAGGAGACGACGCCCTCAGTTGAGGAAATCAGGAAGCAAATCACGTGATTGAGATGCGGAGTGTTGCTAGGGCGACGCCTGTGGTAACTCACGCCTAGCAGGGGAGGGAACGAGAACAGGAAGGCGGGACGGGGAAATCGAAACTGAACTGTGAGATTGCGAAGGCATCCCGTGTGTCGAATTGAGCAGTGCAGCGCTATTTTACTGTAGTACATTCTTCCAGTCCCATTCCAAGCATAAAAAATGGGTGGTGTTGGCACAATCAGCTCCAGCGGAAGCGCTGACCCCTTCGGGAACCTCCCTGCTCCCCCCAACATCCTTCCGCCTCCACCCTCCTCCCGAGCCGCTGGTGGTCTCCCCATCATCCTCTCTTGCCCCCCTCCGCTCCGCTCCCGCATTACTGTACAAGCCCAATCTCACACATCCAACCAACATCGACTCGCGAATTTTTGTTCCGAACGATCCTCCGGCATGCGTGTTCGTCATGCTGCTTGAAGCAAGGCTGGCTGGATCATGGAAGTCACGAAAATGAGACAAAACACCCCCCCTCAAAACAAAAACATTTTTCGGGCATGAGATGAATCATTTTTTATGAAGCGCGAACAAGGGAAGGGAGGTTACTTCGGGCAATGCAAGGTGCATTTGTTTTTGGCAATTCGACTTTCGCATCCATTTTTTTGTGGGTCCTACCTTGTGGCGAAAGAGGTGACAGGTTTCCGAAAACTGGCAAGTCTGTGGAATTTACGATGCCCGTTGGTGAAGCAACAGAATACAGCCTGGAATTCTGCGTCGCTTCCTAGCAAAACAGCATCCGATTCGATCAAACCCATGCTCCACCAAGAAAACATTGAGCCTGCGCCTTTGGACTCGTCACGTGATCAGCAGAGAGGAAACAAACAACAACGGACAGCACTTTGCCAGGCTCACTCAAGAAACAAGCGGCAGTGCACACCGGGCAAGGCGATTGTCAAACGCAATCCGTATCGTTGGTGCATCAAAGATTGGGACAACTGGCTCTGCGTCGCTGGTTCTTGCGTCGCGAACCAACCGACAATCCCAGGAACTGTTGACCAAAACTTTTGCCCATTGTAATTCACGATCACCAAAGAATAACTAACACGATAAAGGTTACGAACATCGTGTTGTATTTTTCGTGTATGGACGGAGTCATTGCAAAAATGTTGAAGGCTCCAGCATCGTCGCCACCTGTGTTCAAATGCAACCAGCCCGGAGAGTGAACTGTACGTGCAGCACGAGGAGGTCGAGGGACAAAAGCCCCAAACCTATCCTGCCTTTGAAGTGGATAAAAATCTACACCTGATGCCCATTTCAGTCCCGTTCCCCATCTTTCCTTGTGCTCGTCTTTCGAGCTCGCGCTCGCTACGGGGACTGTATCTGGGTAGCCTGGCGTGTCTTGTCTGGGAAACTCGAATAACTTATTCGAGGTCAAGAGAATCTTAGTTTTGTCGTGGGCTAGTAACGCGCGGGCCGTTGGCAGTGAATGTCGACCACTGGGCGTATGGAGTGGCAGTGGGCGTGTTCAGAATGGGCGGTTGAGTGAGCATTAGGGTGTACAAAAGTCGGTTGTTACGGACAAGTAGACTGACGTCACGGCTATTCAGTTGGGTGATCCTTTTGGGGCTGGGTCCATTTCTATGACGTGATTTGGGGTTATGGAATCACTAGCCGCTTATCGGAGACTTCTGGAGCTACTTTAGCACACTAGGCACACGGACGACTCGAATTCCCACCCAACCCGAATGAGAACCAGCAAGCTTTAAATTTGAAATCATGCTTGGTTTTTTTACCCCTCTTGATCGATCACAAACCGATTTTGGGGTCAGCGACGCGCAGCGCAATAAGCATGCATGATAAACTGTAAGTTCCTCCCAGCCACACATCCCTGATTGGTGGAAATTGTCACATGGTGATAACACGCAGCAACTCGCTGGTGTCGTGTACGCACATTCTCTCCCTCTCACTCTTCTACACCTCACTACCGTTTATAGTACACATACACTTTGGTCGTTCATTTTAGTGCTCCAGCTACCTCAGCAGAAGGAAATCTTATGCAAAACCTCGTGTAACAATTATGTATGGCAACAGAAGTGCTTTGCAAATCTGTGTGGGGGTGGGGAAATGGCTTGGCAGCCCAGCCTCTCATTCAGCTCCCTTCCAGTATGCAAGGCCCTCCACAGGGTGATACCGTACTTGCCAGGAGAGCATATAGTCAAACGGCGGTTCATGTGAGCTGGCAGCAGAAAGCAAGACGAGTGAAATTACCAAGAAAGCATCTTCTGATGGATTTGTGAGTTGCACGTCCTATACGATGAGTGCATTTCTTAATGATATACATGGTTATATGCAGAGCATGCACCAGGTATGTCTGTATCCTGCAACCTCCATTGTTACGGGAGATCAAAGAAGCGGTGCTGCAAAGCAGAGTCCGCTGAAGGCCGCTGGCGATAGTCTGGGCTGAGCATGGCCTGCATGGGCGGGGCACAGAGTGAGACGCGGGGGCAGGGAGATGCAGGGAGGTCAAGCAGCAGTGGCAAGGCAGAGTCTGCTGAAGGTCGCTGGCGATAGTCTGGGTTCAGCATGGCCTGCATGTGAGAGCAGCGAATGAGATGCCGTGAGACACAGGGGGATCGGAGTCAAGAGGCCAGAGGCGCGTGAGATGGGTAACGGTCCAGAGAGGAGGAGGAGGAGGAGGAGGAGGAGGAGGAGGAGGAGGAGGAGGAGGAGGAGGAGGAGGAGGAGGAGGAGGAGGAGGAGGAGGAGGAGGAGGAGGAGGAGGAGGAGGAGGAGGAGGAGAGAGAGGCAGGTGAACAAGAGAGTACCAGCACATACAATGAACCTCATTGATGCATGTCAGAGCATGTATGCAATGTTAACAAGTGGAATGTTGTGTCAACTTTTGAGGTACCTGAAAGTTACCTTGTGAATAGCTGGAGGGGCATGCATGCATGAATATAAAAAAAAAAAATCAATAGTGAAGCAGGCGGAGACACTGAGCGTCGTTGATGCATGGATCATGTATGCATGCATAGCAAGCACATGGCATGCTCTGAGTGCAGATGCCTGCACCACACATGCAGGAATTGCCCTCACAATGCCACATACATGCCACACCACATCACACCCATGCACCCCATACCCCATGCCCCCCACACCCCACACCCCATGCCCCACACACCCTCACCTGCAAGACCTCCCAACCTGCACCGTCTCTCCGATCCAGAAACGCCACGGCATTGGTCCACCGGTCGTCAGCAGAGCAGTACCTGCAGAGAGCATCGCATGGGAAGGATGGGAGGATTTTTGAGGCGCCTCAAAAATCGCCTCAGTACCTGTAGAGAGCACCGCATGGGAAGGATGGGAGGGTGAACATTCGCGCAAGGCAGGGGAGAGCAGTGGAGCGCTTCTCAAGTCCCCGCACTGTCTCTCCGATCCAGAAATGTCTCATCGGTCACTGCATTGTTTCATCGGTCACTGCATGGTTTCATCAGTTACTGCATTGATTCATCGGTCACTGCATTGTTTCATCGGTTACTGCATTGATTCATCGGTCACTGCATTGTTTCATCGGTCACTGCATTCTCATCGGTCACTGCATTGTTTCATCGGTCACTGCATTGTTTCATCAGTTACTGCATTGATTCATCGGTCACTGCATTGTTTCATCGGTCACTGCATTGTTGTTGGTCACTGCATTGTTTCATCGGTCACTGCATTGTTTCATCAGTCACTGCATTGATCCATCGGTCACTGCATTGTTTCATCAGTCACTGCATTGATTCATTGGTCACTGCATTGTTTCATCAGGTGCTTACTCTCGAGCCAGGTGCTTACTCTCGAGCCAGGTGCTTACTCTCGAGCCAGGTGCTTACTCTCGAGCCAGGTGCTTACTCTCGAGCCAGGTGCTTACTCTCGAGCCAGGTGCTTACTCTCGAGCCAGGTGCTTACTCTCGAGCCAGGTGCTTACTCTCGAGCCAGGTGCTTACTCTCGAGCCAGGTGCTTACTCTCGAGCCAGGTGCTTACTCTCGAGCCAGGTGCTTACTCTCGAGCCAGGTGCTTACTCTCGAGCCAGGTGCTTACTCTCGAGCCAGGTGCTTACTCTCGAGCCAGGTGCTTACTCTCGAGCCAGGTGCTTACTCTCGAGCCAGGTGCTTACTCTCGAGCCAGGTGCTTACTCTCGAGCCAGGTGCTTACTCTCGAGCCAGGTGCTTACTCTCGAGCCAGGTGCTTACTCTCGAGCCAGGTGCTTACTCTCGAGCCAGGTGCTTACTCTCGAGCCAGGTGCTTACTCTCGAGCTGCTGGGATGTTGAGCGAGAAGGCGGACTCTAGCGGTCTCTGGCAGAGGGGGAGGTGGGTGAGACTTTGAGTCGACTCAAAACAGCCAGGTGCTTACTCTCGAGCTGCTGGGATGTTGAGCGAGAAGGCGGACTCTAGCGGTCTCTGGCAGAGGGGGAGGTGGGTCAGACTTTGAGTCGACTCAAAACAACCAGGTGCTTACTCTCGTGCTGCTGGGATGTTGAGCGAGAAGGCGGACTCTAGCGGTCTCTGGCAGAGGGGGAGGTGGGTGAGACTTTGAGTCGACTCAAAACAGCCAGGTGCTTACTCTCGTGCTGCTGGGATGTTGAGCGCGAAGGCGGACTCTAGCGGTCTCTGGCAGAGGGGGAGGTGGGTGAGACTTTGAGTCGACTCAAAACAGCCAGGTGCTTACTCTCGAGCTGCTGGGATGTTGAGCGAGAAGGCGGACTCTAGCGGTCTCTGGCAGAGGGGGAGGTGGGTGAGACTTTGAGTCGACTCAAAACAGCCATGTGCTTACTCTCGTGC